GGAATCGAGTTCTTTGCATTATTTCTTGTTGCAAAGAACGGTAGCCCATGGATATCACTTGGGATACCCACATCGACGTGACCTAGTCACAATATGGCGGCCACCTATTGTCAGCTAGTGCACTCTTGTATGGTTGACATTAGGATGGCACGCCATTAGCGGTCGTTGTGCGGGACACAGTGTAACGGGCATACGTCCGAATATCCTTGCACTGCTCAGTATTTGCGACTAGATTTTAAGCAAGGGGCTTCCTCAATCCAGATATTATCGATTGCGGGCTGATCAAAGCAATCTTGACGAAGCCAGCTTTAGAGCAAAGCCAAGCCAAGTCTTTGCTTAGGTCAGGCCCAGTCGATCCCAATCCAGTGCAGATTCCCCAAGCTTTCCAACGACGATTGAGTCCCAGGAGGAGCTTCTCATACCGGAAGCATGCACTACTATGTTACCCGGTGGAGTTAGTTTCCGATCGGAACTCAGTCCGTATTCAGACTTCTTTATTTTTTCCGAGCAGACAAGATTTGCCTTGTTAGATCTTCGTATCCAGGAACGGCGCATAAATCTTTTGCGCTGCCCTGGAAGACGGGGTCCTACAAGTGTAAATTTCTCGTTGGGCTTTCAACCCATCGAGCTCAGAACTGGAATTTTTTCGGGCTAGAACCGAACTCAGAGAGAAGGAGCAACAACCAACGCAGACCTTCTTACTAACGATTGACTATGTCAACGACCACGCAGCCGCCTCGGAAGCCACTTCATGGTCAACAACAGCCATGATAGGATGTGACCAGGCAGAAGAGGAGCGGCATAAGGGCCATCCAGAAGAAACGTCAGCGATATCCAGACCTGATTCTCGGTTGCTACCTTGTGGCACCGAGTTGAGAAAGCAGACTCCTTCCCCTCTTTCGCTCGGTTCAGGCCGAATTCCAGATTCCCTTTCCCCCAGAGCAGGAAATGAGCAAAACCGTAAGGTTGAGCTTATTTCTTCTCAAGTCGCCCATCGCAAGGTGTGTGCGACTTGATTTCACCCTCCACTCAGAACCCCAGTGGTGCTGCAAGCTTGCCTTCCAGTATCATTGGTGGTTGTATTCCCTTCCAAAGCAGAAAGCCCTGCAGTATTTTACTCAGGCAACTCCCTAGTTTGCCCAAAGAGATTCCGATCTTGGCGGTCAGACTTTGTGAGTATAATCTTACACGCAGGCCTTCTCTTCAGTTCCAAAGAGACGCTCTTACATAGACGTCATCTGGAACAAGAAGTGAATATTCATAAGCTGACTCGAACTTTGTTCGGGGAAGCCGCATATCAGAACTCGGGCAACTAGTTGCTCGATCGTCGAATGGATAGACACCCGACCTCAGAAATTTTCTTTGGCGCTGGGACCCGTCAATTCATTCGACTAGCAGATTTTTCTTTTGCTTTCGCGGGCTAATGCCCACAGTTCAGACAACAACGTCTTTGGTTTGCCGAAGCAACTTAGCTAGGCAACGATCAAATTGATCGGAACCACAGACGTCATTTTTCTACAAAGCAGTAGCTTCGGCTAATTTTCGTCTCTGTCGCTGACACAGCTTCAGGGTGCCTACATAGGCAGTTCTGCTTTACCAGATCTTCTGGCATAGTGGATATGATTGTCGAGAAGAAGACAGAATCTCTTCGGTTCAAATGTGCGCTAGGGCGAAACGAAAGCTTTGGGCCTCTGCTCCATTCTGAGTATGTTCCAAGCGTTCGGCTAGCTTGCAGAACATTTACCGTTGATTCCAGATCGACTTCGAGACGTCCACTTGGACAAAACAGATTTTTTTCTTATCCCAGAAATGGATGGCACACAGTCTGCTCAGTTGTGCGCGCTTTATGCCCCAACTGTGCAGTGTGAGTTCATTACGAAGATAGACCAGATTGTCAGCAAGATTGCGATGCGAGTATGGAGTTCTAGCTTTCGAGCCTATGAATTCTCGAACTTGGCGGAGCAGTTCCAGCCTCACGGCCCAGACTTAGCAAAAGACGGTCTCCGTCTATCACAGGCCCTTTTCAGGCCGTCCAGATTCTGTAGATATACAAAGCAGATAACTAGGAGGGCTTCGTGGTAGATTCTTTCTCCACCTAGTCCCCCGCAACCAGGCCAGTCTAAATTTATTAGAGTGTCTTCGTGATTTCCAGAGGAATATTTCGTTTTCGTTCCTCTGGATAGCGATTACACGCACAGGTCAGAATAGGGATGCTTTTGTGGGCTCAAAAGCATTTCTTTATTCTTAGCCCTAAGCAGTCCCTGTCTTCACCTCAAGCAGATCGGTTCATCACTGCCCTTGGCCGCCGCTGTCAAGCCTGTTGCCGCTCCACTCGTTCCGCGCCTTCCGCCGGCCCAAGTCAAGCTCAACAAGTCCATCAACAGTCAAGCAGCCAAAGCCATAAAAAGTGAGTCCCCAGTTGTTCGGCAGGAGTACGGGCTCCTTAGCGCCGTTCAGCTCCCCCCCGGTATTTCATTTGTCCCTAGTGAGCCCCACCCCCTAGGAGTCTAACCTTATTTTTTGGCCCTCCCGTCCCCATACCGAGATCCTTGTAATACCCAGTCGGTCCACTACCCTTTTGGTTTGCGCTAGTTCGCCCCTCCACTATCTGTGTACCACTCTGGGTGTAGGAGTCTTTTTTTCTTTTGCTGTGGGCGGAGGTCCCACTCGCCCTCCTAGTCTTGTCCTATAACCTCGTGCGGCCCCCTAGACTGACCCGGAAACTGCAGAACTACACTAGTTCTCCACCCCAAGCAGACCGCAGTTTCCGGTGCTCAGTAGGCAGAAGGTGGAACGCGAAATACCCTGGTCTATCTGAGATCACTCCAGAAGCGTGAAACCCTAAGCCACCACCCAGACACGCACGCACTTCCGCCTTGGCCTCGGCCGGGCGGGAGTGTCGAAAGTTCTGTAGAGATCTTACGATTCTACAGGACTTACGAGGGTTTAATTAGGCGGACTTGGCGGGCGGCCAAATTCTCCCTGGGTCCCGGCGCGCGCCCCCCAGCGGGTCCACCGTATGGCGGCCGCCCTCGGCCCGGGGAAAGGGGCATTTTCCCCAGTCGCTGCAATTTCTCCCTTCCTGGGAGAATTGCTGCCGGTCATTTATATGACTGGTAGGGCGAATTGGTGTTGGTGTGATGTGTCCTGCATCCCCGATACCGGTGACCCCGGCGAGCTCCTATTCCAGAGTGTTTCTCCAACCCTATCCAGACCTAGCGCATTCCCCTTATTCCCAGACCATTCCCCGACTTGTATTATATATGTTCTCCGGTATTTTCTTGTGTATTAATAAACTCTTATTCCACGAGAGTGTCCCTTATCCAGACAAATGCATTACACTACCGCTGATTAGCCGTTCGCGCGTCTTCTATTGGTTCAGGTCTTATCCCAACAAGGGATGCGGGTGGCAAGCCTTCGCGTGGGCGCTATTCTAGTATTTATTACTAGTCTAGCGTAGGGTGCCGCTTCCTTTCGTCACGGTAAGCGAAATTAGTAAAAATCCGGAAGCCATCCTAAAAAGAGCCCGCTAAATCCGTTTAAAGGTAAGATTTTTAAAAATCCACTTTTAAGCCTGATCTATAAATCAAAATACATGAGTAATGAAGTTATAATTAATAGCATATACCTTTAATACCTTTAAAAATGCCCGAAGCACGTTGAGGAAGAACGGCAACCCGGTCCTCCCGCCCAGCTGTCTGTGGAGAAGAGCAAAGACGGGTGTGACAAATGGCACTCGATTCGATAAGTGGCCAATGACTGTTGCTCTTTCTCTCTCTGTCTCTCTCTCTCTCTATCTATCTCTCACTCTCTCACTCTCTTTCTCCCTCTCTCTCTCTCTCTCTCTCTCTCCCTCTCTTTCTCTCCTCCCCATTTTATCCAAAGGGCATCATCTCGCTGTAACAGTTGGCCCCAGGAACGTCGTGAGGTCCCGAAAGGCCCCGGGCCCTTTTTAAAGGGGCGGAGAAGGCAGGTCCGTGGTTTTTTTATCTGCTGCCCTGGAACAGCGACGCCAAACAGCGCGTATGCCTGACATTCCAGCGCGTACGTTGCGTGCCGCGGGCGCAGTTTTGGAGAGAATCCATAGCACAGCCTTGCGAGGCCCTTTAAAGGAACCAAGAAGTCAAATTCTTGTGCTCGAAAATCGTGAATTTCATGGAATCAGCCCCGATGGGGGTCGATCAGACTTATTTGGCTCAAAAAAGAAGCTGCATTTGGTGAAAAAGCAAAGAATTTTCCAGCGGGCGGGAGTCGAACCAGCGATGGTTCACCCCGCAGCCCAGCGTGCTAACCAGTGCACCATGGCGCCAACCAGGCGAGCGCGGCGAAAAGCCCTCAAATACCCTAGAGGTCCGGCACAGGCCGTTTCCAGGGTTTCTCGCCGCCGGCACCGAAATTAGGCGTTGCATAAATATTACGAATTCCTAATGTTGGGTTACGTCGATGGTAGCCTCCTCGGTCGGTCAGTCACCTCGGTGATCTTTCCCGCGCCCTTTAAACCCATCTGTATCTCTCTCCCTCTGCCCATAGCATGTGCCCACACCCCCAAAAAATCCCCTCGAAACGACGCATTTATCAGAGGGCCCAAAAGAGGCCACACAAAGAGCGTCAATGGGCGGAGCGTCGTGTAGTCGTCGTCGTCTAGTTGGGGCCAGGGGGCGGGGCGGCGGTAGGCTCAGTCGGGGCCGCGGTAGGCTCAGTCGGGGCTTCGGAGGCCTTGCTCGGCTCGGGACTCTAAAAAGTAATAGCTTTACTTACATAAAATCGACGTAAAACCGTCAACCCGGCCCAGTAGAATCTCACCTACTGTATCTCGGCTCCCCTTTGAGCCACCGGGTTTGCCAGTATACCAAAATACGCGCCAGGCCAAGACGAACATTTTGGTGTACTCTACAACCCGGCAGACAAACAGGGAGCCGAGATACAAAGGTTGCGAGTCTTCCGGTAATAGCGAGCCGCGCCGGTTTCAAGCCTCTAGAGCCAAACTGAGATCAACCTACCCCAGTTGGAGCAGTAGTCGGGACCGTGACGCCGTCGGGGAGCTTGGGGGCCGGCGAGTACGAGGGTTCCACCTGGCCACCCTTCGACTTGTCGGCGATGTACTTCTCCTTGATGCCGATCACCTTGCCGAGGTGCTGGGGGTCCGGCTGGAAAAGGAGGTGGAGGTGAGGGAGCAAGAGATTGAGCGTCAACGAGCGAGCGAAAACGTACGAATGGCATATCGACGTAGTTATTGGAGCGGCCCGCGTAGTAGCCGTCCTTCTCGTATTTGGTGCCCTTGGCAAGCTTCTTCTGCACCATGGCGACGGCCAGACGGGCCAGTAGACGAACATCAGGGTTGTTCAGCTCGTCGGTTTTGGCGATGGCGACCTGAAGAGGGAGAGATAGAGGTTGGGCAAGAGAGAGAGAGAGAGAGAGAGAGAGAGAGAGAGAGAGAGAGAGAGAGAGAGAGAGAGAGAGAGAGAGAGAGAGGAGAGAGAGAGAGCGAGCCAATGTACAGGGTGTCCCAAAAAAAACGAACCATCTGGCATTTCGCCGTGTTACATCCAATCCGCCCCAAATTTGGACCAGAAGTGTATCTGACTCTAAATAACAACAATCCTGACTTTTAGCCCCGGCGCTACAGTTGTTCTCGAGTTATAACGAAAATACTGTTTTTTCCGGAATTCTGAACAGTTTTTTTCGGCTATCTTTTTGGACTTTCCATCGATTTGCATCGACTTCCGGCTGCGAATCCCTAATTTCGCTTAAGAACTTGGGTAATTTTGTGTTGTAAAAAAGCCTAAATCGAAGCTTATTTGATTAATTTTAATCCGCAAAAAATTTCTGACGGTAAAGAAGGCCTACCGAATCATTTTCACTTAATGTTTAGGGGGTCTAATTCCACGAAAACCCTGTGAAAAATGGAAAATCGAGCTTGTTTTTGCGATAACTCGAGAACGACTGTAGCGACGGGGCTAAAAGTCAGGATTGTTGTTATTTAGGGTCTGATACACCTCGGGTCCAAATTTGGGGCGGATGTGATGTAACACGGCAAAATGCCAGATGGTTCGTTTTTTTTGGGACACCCTGTACATACCCGAACGGGCACAGCCTGCTTCTGGTCGGTCTCGAACTTGTCGTCGAGCGGGTTCAGCTTGGGCGTCGTCGACTCCTGCGCCATGATGGTGGTCACGCTAGAAGAAAAAACCATTTCTCTAATCTTAGCATAATAAGCAAAATTTGCATAATTAGCATCCAGCCCAAAAACCCACAACAAAGCGGCGACTACGAGGAAGAAGAATCGGCTCATAGTGTGACTAGTCGGGACGGGCCGGTAGAGAGCGAGATCCGCGCACGAAGATAAGAATGCTTTGCCCGGTAAGGTTGGCTTCTTTTATACGGTAGAATGGATGCAAAATAGGCATGCTTCCGGTCTGGATCAAATTCGGTAATGTTAACGCGTTTGATGCAAATATGTTCATGGTAAAACGAGAATAGCTACCAAAAATGGACTTCTTTCCCGGTTCTGTGGCATTAGCGGGGGGGAAGGGGAGTGGCGCTCTTTTTCTAAGGTGAAAAACCTTAAATTTTCGTTAAAAAGCCAAAAAATATCGATTTTCTATCAAAATTTCAGCAAAATCTTTTTCTAACTTTTTTCAACTGTTTTTCCATTTGAAATTTGGTCCAATTTTGTTAAAGACGTTATTAAAATGCTTACTATTATGTTACTAAACATTTTTAGACTTAATAACAATTCTCTTTGTGCTAATTCTCATTCTTCTCACCCCAGCCACCATTCACCCCAGAACAAACCCGGCCGTGTTGGCTGGATGGGCCGGACTGAAAGTGCTGTTGACCTGGGCGAGAGAGAGGGAGAGAGAGGGAGAGAGAGAGAGAAAGCGAGCGAGAGAGAGAGAGAGAGACCGATGAGAAACATATCCCGAACGCCGCTCCTTCCCATTGAAATCGAGCGCTATCACGCCTACAAAAAAACGGAGGCAAAAACGTGGCTTCAGCCGGATATTCCGGATTATCTAGGCTCAGGCGAGCGGCTACAGCTTTTCCTATCAAATCCAGATCAGAGCCTTGGGTCCCTCTGTTTTCAGGTCTTTTACGGCAAACCGCCCGCTGTCTGACATTTTTCCACAGCTTGCCGGGAACTGGTGCGTTATCGGGGGGGGTAACGAGGAATCCAAATTCGCCTAGATTACGGCAGATAAAATTCAAGAAGCTGCTTAGACATCAAACCCCATATAAAAATTAATAAAGCTTGCAAAATTGCACGTTTTGTGGAAAATGAATAAAAAGTGGCCAAAAATTTCGTAATTGTGTTAATTTTACAATTATATCCTAGAGATTTTGTTGGCTTAAAGTTACTAAAAAAGCATAAAATTATCTAGGTTTATTACTAAGGAAGTTAGGCAGAATGAGGGCATTGAAGCGCTCTGAAAACCCTCGCCACCCCCACTAACTCACCAGAACCCTTAAATTCCATAAATTTCCTGAATGATCTCTGCTAGACTGCCCAGTATTAACCCAAAGACGGTCTCATTCCATCCGAACTCTTGACAGCTGGATGGGAAAATTTGATCAATCGAGAGCCCGATACCCAGGTGATCAGATATCTTTTCCGGTCACATTTTTCTCCCGTCATTTCCTGACCTTTTTAGCGCAAAATAGCTTATCATTTTCAACGCAATTTTTTTGAATTTTTGAATGTTTTAGGTAAATTTTTTAGGTATTTTTAGCTCTCAATTTCTCTCCTTTCCCACGCTGTATTTCCAGGGTTTCTCGGGTGGGATTTATCGACAATTGAAGGTCATTTCCGCTCTCGTGGCTAGACTCGCGATTCTTGCGTCTTTTTCCGGCGGTCTACATCAATTTTTCTGCGGGTTTGCTGCTGCAAAATTTCGTTTTAATCTCTAAACTTAAAATTGAAGATTTTAAAACCTTTCTTATCCACGGAAAGTAATAATTAATATTGATTCTATTTCCGAATTTTTCATTATTTGTAAATTCTTAAAACACGAATTTTTTTAAAGGTACCGGCAAGGCCTGGTTTCGGAATTTTGGCTCTGGATTATTTAGATAGTTTTATGACGCCGCGAGACGCGATGCTTGCACCCCTACATTTCATTGCGTAATCGATTTTTTTTTCTATACAGTGGTCCTATGGTGGTCAAGCGAGGCGTGCGCGTCGCGGTTCGCGGTCGCTGTTAAATTGAGATAAAATATTGCTAGCTCTGGCATGCATTTTAAAGGACCATGCAACCCATGGCTATGATTCATAGAATTAAGCCGTGCCCGCGACACGCGACGCGCGACTGCGGCATTTCGTTGCGTAATGGAGACGATACTTTAAAGGAACAGGAAAGGCACGACTATAGAGTCTTTGTCTTTTTTACGGCGAACCCGCCACGCAACGCGCACGCGCCGCTTTCCATAGCGTAATGAGTTACGCCGCATTTACAGTAGCCAGCTAGCGGACGCGTTGCGGGTCGCGGCGGCGGCAAAATCTGGAGAAATCGACACCAAAAAATGATAACCATGTCTTGCTCTGCAATTTAAAGCCCTAACGCTTGATTTAATTGAAGAAAAACCAATTTTATGTTTTTGAAATTGGAGTTTTTCACCGCCAATAATGTTGAAAAATCAATCGGGAACCCGGAATTATTTTGAATTCGTTCGATGGCCACAGGGGGGGCTGTAAGATGATGATTCATCCTCCCCGCATTGGGTGGTGGCGCTCCAAAAAATATTGGCTTTTCCCCCCGGCCCTATCAGTTTCTTTCCCCCATCCCCCACCAAGCCCCCCACTCCCCTGAAATAAAGCCCATTTTCCCGGCTTGCCAATCGCCGGCACTCGAATTTAATCTGTGCCAATGATTTTACTAACGTTAAATAAATAAGTTTTATTTTTTTCGAATCTATCTGAATTTTTGCACTACTTATTCTTCATACTATATTTAATTTTATTGTTTTTGAATCAATTTCTATAAGCCGACTTTTATACCACTTTTACAAATAGTTTTTAGCCGATGCCGGCCCACGGCGAGTACGCGCTCCATGAATTCCTCAGCCGGCTGTGAGTTCTCACTCGGTTTTGGTTCTTTGGCATTATCGGGGGGGCAGTTTTTCTGTAAATTCAAATTTGTTGATCAAAATGTAATACTGTTTTTACTGTTTTTAGTATTCCTAAACGTCAAAACCTTACAAATTTTGAGTAACCTTACGTTTAATTGATTTTAATTAAAACCCTTAAGATTGCCTTTTTAGAAATTTCTGGACTGATAGGAAAAATGGGTTCCACCGATAACGCGAAAGAACCTAGAATTTAAAATATGGTGTAAGCATTTCCACAGCTAGTGGTGCGTTTTAAAGGGATGGTGACAGCCCGTTTTTAGAGCTGCTGTCGAGGAGAAATTTGCCGAAGAATTGAAATCTGTAATCGAGTGCTTCATCGAGTCAAGGTAGTCTTATTCCGTCATCAAAAACCGTCAATTTCCGGCTGGATTTGCCCGTTAAGAAGCTGGAAGATATAGGAAAGGTGCGGTTGAGGACGGCGAAAAGTTTGAGAAAAGTTGGTTTCCCAGGGATCACGAGTATCACGGATCAGGATCACGAGTATATTCCCCAGGTTGACCGAAAAAGGCGGACACGCTGAACTTGTGGAAGGTGTGCAACATCTACAGTGTTTATGCAGTTGATACGGACAATGTGGGTTTGGAAAAAACGAGGCAAGCTAGAGGAGTTTCTTTAGGAACCGCAAAAATCTATTAAATTGTTTTAGGCGATGCGCGAGGTCCGGAAATCCCTCAGAAAAATTATTGTCAAGGCGGAGAAGCAGCAGGAGAAGGAGAAAGCTAAAGATTTTCAGCTGACCGTCAATGGGAGCCAGGTAATTGTGGATTAGCTACCGTAATCGATTACAGTACATTCCTTCGCGACGGCTAGGGGATGAGTACCGCCCGCAGAGCTTCTTGAGCTCGCTGACAAAACGGAAACCCAAGGTAAATAATTTTAAAGGGACGCTGAAGACTTCAGCTTGGGTTTTTGGCTATGGATTAGATATAAATTATGTTCTGGCTACAAATTCGAGAATTTCGACAAGAAGAAAAAGGTATAGATCGACCTTTCAGCCAACTCCCTCCGAAAGAATCCAGTTGCCAACACGAGCCCCATCTCCTCATTCTCATCAAATTCAAGTAGGGGATACGGTAAGTAGTCATGTTTGATAGCTATCCTTTTTGCAGAATCTGGCGCTTCCGGAGCACGAGATTTACGATAAGCATCGGCCGAGTTTGGAGGAGGCACAGAGGTATCTCGCTCGCTCGTTCTCTCGTTCTCTCTCTCTCTCGCTCTTTCGCTCTCCCCTACTGTCTCTCTCGCCCGCTCTCCCTCTCTCGCTCGCTGTCTTGCTCTCTCTCTCTCTCTCTCCCTCTGTCTCTCTCTAACTCTCTCTTCCCATCTCTCACTCTCTCACTCTCTCACTCTCTCACTCTCTCTGTCTCCCTCTCTCTCTCTCTCCCTTCTCTCCCACTCCTGAAAATCTCGATTTTCAGGGCCCGGTCAACCTGGAGAAAATCGTTAGAAGAAGAGACCCAAGAATCCACCGCCAAAAACCAGCAACACCCCTTCGTCCCATCCTCCCCAATTGACCAAAGACCCCCGCAACCGGCCGTTCGTTCTCGTAGCCACCCGGGACAGCCTAATAAATTGGTATAGTTTTCCATACACCTATCTAGCTTACTACCGGCCTTAACAGGACCCAACCATCACTCTTCCACCATCATTCGACCATCAGAAAGTACCATACCTTCCGCAACCCGACTACGATGGGCACCAGATTCCGGTTGGTATCGCTAACTGGTTTATAACTCTGGTGTTTACTGCATTATCGGTGGGAGAACTTTTCCTGCAATTTAGCGTTCTGGTCTTTTTAAAACATATCCTGATTTGAAGTGTAAAAACTAGCTAACAAACTTCGAAATTTTGACATTTTGACCAAAAAATCGTTTTTTACGAATCAAGCCAATTTGGGTCCTAGCCCCCCCCCGATAATGCAAAAGCACCATAGCTCAATTCCAGCCTGAGCCCGAAATGATCAAGGATCGAAATGGGTCGACCCGACTCCGTGATGCTGGCCATACGCCCAGGCCGATTGTTAGGAGACGATCATCTTCAAAAGTGGTGGGTAGCTAACGCTACAATGCTAGGTTTCTGGAGTTAAGGCTCAAAATAATCCGATTTTCAGGATCAGGAAGTTGTTGCTCGACCTTTGAGTGATGTGGAGAAGCCGAAAACGAAGCCACCACTTGCCCAGCAGCTCACAGACAGCACCGGTCAAGTCGAGGGTTGATGACAGGCCACGGCCACAGGTCAGCTTGGGAAATTGGCTAGGTGGCTATGTCTCTTTAGCTCGCTCTGGCTCTCTCTCTCTCCCCTCTCTCTCTCTCTCCCTCTATCGCTCTCTCTTCTCTCTCTCCCTCTCTCTCTTTCTTTCTCTCTCCCTCTCTCTCTCTGTCTCTCTCTCTGTCTATCCCTCTCTCTTTTCTCTCTCTTTCTTTCTCTCTCTCTCTATCCCTCTCTCTTTCTCTCTCTCTTTTTCTTTCTCTCTTTCTCTCTCTCTCTCTCTCTCTCTCTCTCTCTCTCTTCTCTCTCTCTCTCTCTCTCTCTCTCTCTCTCTCGCTCAATCTCTCTCACCCGCTCTTTTTGCCGCTCTCGTTAGTCGTTATGGCCGGCCTTATAGAATTCGATTACGCCACTTCCAGGCCCCTCGTAAACCTCACATCCTGCGCCCCGAAAATACCCCGCCACGCCCGATGCTACGCGCCACCATCGTCACCCAGGATTCGTGCGGAATGGTCGAAAAGGTGGGCGGTTGAGCTTCAAAATGCCGAGAGCCAGAATGGCTAGATATGTTTGACAAAAAAATAGCAAAACTTTCGTTTAGCAACCGGTGGCTCGTCGCCCAAGCAGTCGACTCGACGAGCCCCAGATTGTCAAGCTGTGAAAAAGCCTATTTTTCTCGATTTTGTGTATTTTGATTGTCCGGTGGCGTGTCGATGGGTGTATTGTGTACTATCAATTTTTCGGATCATGAAAGAATGGATTTATACATGCAAAATAGACAGAAACCGAGAGAAAGAGAGAGCGAGAGAGAGAGAGCGAGTCAGAAAGTGAGAGTGAGACTGAGACTGAGAGAGAGAGAGCGAGATAGAGAGAGAGCGAGCCAGAAAGAGTGAGAGTGAGACTGAGAGAGAGAGAGAGAGAGAGTGAGCGAGAGATAGAGAGAGAGAGAGAGAGAGAGAGACAAAGAGAAAAACGAAACAAGAACAATTATTACACAGAGATCATGAGGTAGAAATTCTCGATATTGCACAGTCATGAGGAGCCTAGCGTAGTGGACGAGTCTCAAAATGTCACAGTCAATAGGTGCGTTGCGGAATCGAGGATTTTCAGTTATTCTTCCGCTTCTCGGCGGCCCTCGCGTATTGGGCCAAATTGTAGATCTTTGAGAGGAGTGGATCTCCATTTGAGGTAGCCGATAAAGAGCTCGATTGGCTTCCGCTTAAGCCGATTGTTGAGTCGAAGCCCGAGGAGGTGGAGGCGATCTGAAAAAAATAATAGTTTACGCGCGCTTCTCTCTCGCTCTGTCTTTCTCTCGCTCTCTCTGTCTGTCTCTCTCTCTCTCTCTCTCTCTCTCTCTCTGACCCTGGCACAATCCGAAAATTAGCATAACTTACAGTAGGATTATTCTGCACTCCATTGAGCCCCATCTTTCCCATCATCGATCCAATCGACGGGAACCCTACGCCGACACCTGTGGACACCCCCACGCCCACAAATGGCACCGAAACACCCTGAAAAATAATTTAAAACTCTGAAACTTTAAATACAACCTGGGCTAAACGTTAAGGCAAAAAAATTCGTAACCTACCCTCTGTGCCGACACTCCGCCATTATACCAATCGATTCCAACCCTGGAATTTGGTGAAACTAGAAGTTTACAGTTTTTGCTTTCCAGGGACTCATCAAAAATTTAAAGATTTATGTTATTTGTTGTGCTGTCTTGTATCGATTTATTTGTGTTCCCACCCCCGATAAGAGTCCAGTACCAAATATACTCACTTATCAGCAAGGCCAACATACGGCCCAACAGAATACGAATTTGTCACTTGAATCGGCTGCCCCAACGAGCCCTCTTTCAGCGGCACGCTCACCTGAATAAAATAAAATTATTTCGGCTCAGAATTTAAATTCCTTTGAAGAAAATATACCTCTTGAAATTTAATACGATAATTTGTCAAAAAACACACCAAGGTCCCACTGGCGCCCTCAATTCCCATAGAGTTGAGGATCGGCACGCTCCAGCCCTGCTTCCACCCGTACACACCTAATTTGCATAACTTATATCTAAAATTTTGCTCTCCAATTTTAAGACAAGATTTGCCATTAAAAGAACAACATAATTATGCCGAATTTTAACGAAAGGACAAGCTACAGTACCCATAAACCTTACCTTCATACCAATTTGCCCCCATACTCCTGATTTCCACTCCAGAAATCCCGAACGCCCGTCTCATCCGAATATCCACCACCCCACGTGCCAAAATCCACCTGAAATGATGTAAACATTAGAAATATATGATTTAAGGCACCTTTCCATTATGGCCATTGCCGATAGCGCCTTCTTCATTAATTGGGTAGTACGGTATGCCTTTTACTCCCCAGTTATAATAAGTTAAACCGACGCCAGAGGACCAGGAATTAGCGATCGCACCTGAAATGGAGAAATATTTATAGAAAACCAAGGTTAATTTTCTCTCTCTCTATCTCATTCTCTCTCACTCTCTTTCTCTCTCTCTCTCGAACGGCAAGTGTACTCCCTGTCTCTACCCCCTCTCACGCCTGAGGATTCTTTTTATCTGATTCCCTGTCTCCTTCTATCTTTCTCTTGCCCGCTCTTTCTCTCTGGCCCTCTCTCGCCGTTTCTCCCCTCTCTCTCCCTCTCTCTCCTTACCCAATGGCTTCGCCTGCTGTTGATATTTTGCACAATCCGCAGCATATCCCCGGCATCGTTCCAAGAATTGCTGCTCCACCTTTTGCACATAGCAATGCTAAACCCAATTTTAAAGGGATGGCGACACCCTGACCTTGGCGGCGACGGGCGCAAACTTGGCACACAGGGCCAACACTTCTTTATCCGAGACGCCAAGGGAGGAGAGCGGGACACGGCCTGTCTGCAAATTTTTAAAGGTTGGATAAAAAAAATTCAAATCCGTTTACCGTAGCCTTGAGGCGCTGCTCGATTTGGACCGTGTTGAGGCGGGCGGTGGACTGAGAAAATGGAAAATTATAAAATTACTTAAATCGAGCGAGAGGGTGCGACAGAGAGCGAGAGGGGAGAGGAAGAGAGAAAGAGAAAGAGAGAGAGAAAGAGAGAGAGAGAAAGAGAGTGAACTAGGGAGGGCGAGAGAGTGAGAGAAAGAGGGAGAGAGAGGGAGAGAGAGAGAGACAGATAAACAGAGAGAGAAACGATCGACTAAATTAACGCGGTAAACTACAAGCTACAAACCTCTTGATCAGCCAATTTCTGCCCCTCGACCCCGTCCTCCTTGTCAAACGGCGAATCCGGCTTCTCCACCATATCCGCATCATCCACCTAATTCTTTTCCTTACCTGATTTGACCCTATTAATTACGGTAGCTACCCTAACCCTCAATATAGCGTGTTTTCTACTACCGTCCTACCGTACCGCTGTTTTGGCAGCCAGCGCTCGAAAACGAGCATAACCCGGGCGGCTTTTAATCTGGTCGAATGGATTCGTGAATTGCTCATCGTCGGCCTGAAAACGAGCATGTTTCTCTCGCTTTCTGTCTCTCTTTCTCTCTCTCTCTCTCTCTCTCTCTCTCTCGCTCTCTGTCCCCCTCTCTCTCTCGCTTTTTTTTCAACTTTGTAACGTACCAGTTTTGGAATTCTGTTCTCGGGCGAAATTTCCTCGAATGGGGTCAGCGGGACGGAGGGCTCAGGATCCTGGCCATCCAGATATGATTTTGGCTGGAAAGGTAACTTTAAAGGGACGCGGAAGAGCCAAAAATCCACCCCTTACACGACTAGGTCTCGACAGCTAGCACGGCTTGAAAAGACTACACAAAAAATTCCGAAGCGCTACTAAGGGCGAATTAATACACGCTATGTCTCCTCCATTGATGCGCAAATTTCCGGAAAGAGGCTACTAGACAAAACGCGCAAAGACTACAAGCTACACTGAGAGTAAACTTCCGAAAACGCGTACCTTTGGGTAGTACAGATCGGACAGCCGCTGCTCCTCGTCGCTCAGCCCCGATTTCTCCTCATTTTTCGGGGGTGGCAGCTCGAGGAATGGGAATACTAAAAAAAGTAAGTAAGGTAAGGAGCGAGAAATCTCCTGGTTTCTCTCTCTCTCTCTTTCTCCTTTTCAGCTCTAGTAAAATTAAAGCAACTTACAGGCCTTTGAGAAATCGAGTAGCCCGGTGCCCTTCTCGGCGTTGTTTTCAGAGACGAAGGATCCAATTCCACCCAAATTCATACGGGTTGAGGAGCCGGCAGAACGACCGAGGGTCGTGTCGCTAGATTACGGTAGATAATGCGATTTTAGGCGGTCCTACTGCTCCATATAGCCCAAATCTGGCTTCTCGCCCAGCGTCCAGGTGCCACTGTTGGCCGTTTCCGATTCGGTGCCTTCTGAAAATAGGAAAAAATAGCGAAGATTGGAAAATGTTCTCTACGTCTCTTTGTCTCTCAGTCTGTCTCTCTCTCTCTCTCGCTCTCTCCGTCTCTCTCTCTCTCCATGTCTCCCCTTCCAATTCTCTGTCTCATTCTCGCGTTCTTACCCACTCATCCTCTGTCTCTCTTACTCCCTCCCTCTCTCTCCCTCTCACTCTCGCTCTCTCTCTCCCACCTTGTAAAACTTACCCGGCACAAACTTCATCATTTGCATATGGCCATCACCAATCCCGACTTTCCCAAAGTTGGGCACATCCCATTTGATGTCATCCCCATCCTTCTTCCCGAACGCCAACGGCCCTATTCACGAATTAATGGGCGACTCTAAATGTTCCCTTACCTATCATTTGCATCATAGCTTTGGCTGCCGGCATTTTCGGGGCTCGTCACTGTTGATCGGGATTTCTCGGGCTAAAATGAAATCGGGTTTTTAAGGATTAGCCCTGTAGCGTTGGCTTTAAAGGGATTGGCAAGTCAGGAATTCCCAAGGATTTTGTGGGGCCCATTTTCGTAAATATTTATAATTTTTTTGTTATGATTTTTAGATCTAAAAAAACCCGCTCCATCATAGCGCCGTACGGGATTCCTTGGAAAATTTGTTTCTCCCTCCCCCTCAGAATCCCCCCCGCTAACAGTCCAGTGCCGGAAAATTCATAATGATGCCTTATTCGTTCCGTTTAACGTCAAAATCGTATACCTTCTTGAGCATGAGCTTGTAGCAATATAGGAAATATGATTAATAGATCTCGAAGTATCATGGTCAAGTTAGTGAAGCCTCCAAAGCCGCCAAAGTAAGTCGGCTTAACCCGTCGATGATCAATACTCGGCCTTGAAATCGTCTGGAGATATCCGGGGGAATGAAGAAAAGGGCTGCTTTGTGATGAAGTGAGGGAGATAGGAGTGCCGCGGAAAATAGGCTGGACAAGACAACGCTTTTGCTCAGCTCTCGACCGGTTCTTCGGGATGAAGCCTCCGGGATGGCATGGCGGAGGGAAGGGTGCCATATTCACTAACCGGATAGACACTGGAAAGAGAGGAAGCACAGGAAAGAACACCTCGAAATAAGTGATTAGACCGGAACGCGGTACTAAAGGGGCTGGGAAGGCAAGTTTGGTTGTTTCCAAATGGTTTCTGCTAGCTTGCCCGTCACGAAGAATCCTTGCTGGCCGGCCTTGGAGGGATTAATGACGTGGTAGACTCAGAGATATGTTTCTCCCTAGTTCTCTCTCCCTCTCTCTCTCTCTCTCTCTCTCTCTCTCTCTCTCTCTCTCTTTCTCCCCTCTCTCTCACCGTCTCTCTCTGTCTCTCTCTTTCTCTCTCTTTCTCTCTCTCTATTGCTCACACTCTCTAACCGATATATATTTATTCACATCACAGCATAATTCTTCATCAAATCTTTCAAATTTGCTTCCATCTCTCGAGCGTCAATTGAAAGCATCAGGATTTTCTTGCCGGATTCGAGCCTGAAAAATCCGTATTTTAAAGGGAGGATTACAGGTGGAGATCCGATTTTTAGCTCGATTTACGAAGAAACTTGCTGCAATTGTGAGAGAGAGAGAGAGGGAGAGAGTCAGAGAAAGAGAGCGAGAGAGAGAGAGAGAGAGAGAGAGCGAGAGCTAGAAACGCGCGCCTTCAGGCTAATAAGAGCTTCCAGTCCACCCTCTCATTAGTGCCTATACCGACCCCGTGTGATTCTGAATACCTGGAAAATTGCCAACGAGCAAAACTAGCCAGTAACCCCAAAACAAGCTAGCATCGTGAAAATGAAAGTGCCAAATCCACCATTTCGTCCGGCCGCTCCTCTTCGATAATCCCGAAATTACAGTTTTCTTCGATGCAACAGCACACCGTATTCCCGAGTTGGCTCCTGAAAGAAAGGAATCTAGATGCTGCCCGAGCTACCGTACCCGGTACACGATTCCCCAGGTAGATAGAGGGCATCTGGACGGCAGAACGTCGTCTCCCGGTCACAGCCACCGATATGCCATACTGCCGACTCCATCAGGCGAATGATCTGGAAATTGCAAGCGTTTCTTTGGAGACGGTTCTGTTGCATTAACCGGGGGGGGGGCTGAGCTTTGTTGTATATGCCCATAAAAACGCACCAACGTAGTAATAAATCTTTTACTAATAGTTTTAGTAAAATTTAACCAGATTTTAAGTGAAAAATTATCGAAAAACTATGTTATGTTGTGAACTATGTTAAATTCGCAATTTTTGGTCGAAAAACCACGTTTTATAGGTTTCAATTTCCTGAAAAAAAAGCTAAGAGTCGGTCTGGCTAGCTAGCAGAGAGCCTTTGAAATGGAAAAAAATTAAAAGACAGTGCGAACGGGCAAGCTAGCAGAGACCATTTGTCGAAACCGCCGGGAATTTCCACCTGATGATAGCAATGTGCCTCTTGTGGACAATCCGTCTTCTCGACATCCACCACTTGCATCTGGCCCGTCGTGTGGAACAGGGCGAAACTGAAAAAAAAAATAATTTTTACTGTTTCTAAAGGGAGTATGAAGGCCAGAGGAACATTTTAAAAATGAAAGCAGGACTTGTAGCAATCTTTTGAGGTTCCTGGATGGGGGAGGAAGAAGAGGAAAATGAGCAGCACCGCCCAGTACGATGACATTTTTTGGAAAAACATAAAAACTAGGACATTTTTAGGGCAATAAAGGAAGAATATGTAAATCGGAGTTATTTAAATGCCACCTTTGATTGCCAAATTGCCCCAAAAAAGCGACGATCTTTGTTAGGTCGTTTTGAACATCCCATAATCTCCGCTAGCATGCCTCAAAAGTCTAACAATCTCTGCTAGCCTGCCTTTCCGCTTCAAATAACCTCTGCTAGCCTGCCTTTCCGATTCAAATAACCTCTGCTAGCCTGCCTTTCGCGTCAAGAATCTCTATTGGTTGCCCTAGACGTCTAATAATCTCTGCTAGCTGACCTTCCCAGGCCTACCGATCTCTGCTAGCTTGCCCTCCTCTCTAGCATCTCTGCTAGGTACCTAGAACGTTTAATAATCGCTGCTATCTTGCCTTTTCGCCCAAGCTCTCAGCTAGATCGCCTGAAAATTCTGAGAATCTCTGCTAGCTCGCCCTCCCCAGCCCCCCCTTTAATTTCCAGCCAACCCCCCATTCCAAGTTCCCTCGATTCGTTTCATATCCCCATATGCCTCCCTCTCACTTCTCCCCCTCTCCCTCCCCATTCTGCCGTTTCCATGACTACGGTATGCTCCTCCACCCCATTTCGACACGCGCGCCTTCTGAAGGGAAAAGCGAGAGAGGGCGAGAGAGAAACCGATGGCTGGCCAGGGCGTCAATCCCCTTCCTTCTCCACACTGCTTCTGATTCTCTGCTTCTCTGCCTCTCTGCTGTCTCTCTCCTCTCTCGCCCTCCCTCAACAATTACCGGAGACACCCTCCGCGCGGAGACCCACAAGGCGGGTCTTGTGCTTTGCCTCGCCCTATCGGCGGATGATTAGGGTTTATGTGACTTTATAATCTCCTGCTTAGCTTGGGCAACTTGGCTGACTTGGGTTTTAAGCCCGGGCTCATGCTCAAACTCCTTAGGTATCATCAAGTTTTTGCTTACAGGTTGATCCAAGGAACTTTTAAAGCTGATTCTCCAGTTCTGACAACGGACTCATTGATTTTTGGAGCCTGACCGATCTCGTGTTTTCGCATTAAGGACACATCTCAACCGTGTTGGAAATTTGTTAAAATTCGGCCGGATTTGATTTAAACGGATACAGACGATAGATGTCTCGGAATTCCGTCGTTCTAATTCTCTCTCCTCTCTCTCTCTCTCTCTCTCTCTCTCTGTTTCTCTGTCTCTCTCTCTCTCTCTCTCTCTCTCTCTCTCTCTCTCTCTCTCTCTGTTTCTCTGTCTCTCTCTCGCTCTCTCTCTCTCTCTCTCTGTTTCTCTGTCTCTCTCTCTCGCTCTCTCTCTCTCTTTCTCCCTCTCTCTCTCTCGCTTGCCCATGGGAGTTATTTTGGTGATACTCTGCGTCATGCCGTGAGATTGCTGGAATCTTTCAGACAGTGGGTCACCGTCAAATTCCTTCATTACTGCAAATTTCTATGGGCCTTGCCAATACTTGAAATTCAGCTAGGTTGCTTGGTTCTTGGCCAGATCGCCCTTCACAAAATCTCATTTTCAGACCTGTAATCAGTTCCTTAAAGTTGCTACTACTTTTCTCTCTCTCTCTTTTCCTTGATGTTTGACTTCATCAAAGATTTCCCCTTCCCCGTCCAAAAAAAAAAATTACAAATCCACCATTCCGGGCCCTACATTTTGCATCGATTGAGAGCCACCTTCATGCTGCTTCCAACCAGCAGGCTGGCAGAGAGAGCGAGAGAGACAGAGAGAGAGAGAGGGAGACCACACGAAAATTATGACCTAAAGGAAGAGGGGACACCTGCAACAACCTTCACTTCTCCTCCCTCCCTCCCACCTCTACCTCCACCCCCAACTATACATTTAGCCAGCCCCGAAACGGTGGGTCTAAAACGTCCCCGAAGCGAGAAATCGAAAATAGGTAAACGGTTATTCCTAGCTTTTTGACGGTGAGAGAGAGAGAGACGGAGAGAGAGAAAGATCGAGAGAGAGATCGAGAGAGAGAGAGATCGAGAGGAGAAAGAGGAATCCAGTGAAGAGAGAGAGAAGAGCGAGACCTGAGAGAGGGATCCATGTTGAAGAGGCAGAGAGACCAGACAGGGATTAGGGAGAGAGGGAGGGGAGAGAGGACACACACCAAAGGGACACGCCATGTAAATGTAACCTTAGTATCAAACACTTCTCAGCACCTTTAAAATTGTCGAGCACTTACAAGCCCTAAAAAATTACTCAAACCTCTGATAACTTTTTTTAAAATTGATCCAGCGCTTATCCAGGTCCCTTTAAAAAATACAGGGGAACGGCAGAGGCACTTTGGGAAAATTTGGACCCAAGTGTCGTATTTTGAGGAAGAGCTCTAAGGTTGTTTTTAAATATGTAAGGGCGAACTGACCAAAAACTGTGGCAAAGTCTGGATTTCTGGGCAAGCAGGCTTAGCGCGGTTCCTTAGGATTTCCAGTATCATATTTAATGTAAAAACTTTCCCCAGGTGATTCTATCAGGGGCCAAATGTGGTGTCCCTGACAATCTCCATGGCATGTGTTTAGTGAAGAGAAGGTGTGCGTTGATCTCTATGGATGGCATAGCTATCTCTCTCTCTCTCTCTCTCTCTCTCTCTCTCTGTCTCTCTCATTCTCCCTATCGCTTAGGGATCCTTCTTCACCCAGGGCCATGAAGGATCCACCAACAGCCACATCCACAGCCACTACCTACTTCACCCAAGAAGTTCAAAAGTCCACCCCAAAGGTGGTCCCTGTTAATCTACCGGATAATCCCTATACTGATGTTGAGGAGGCGACTTATGGTCATTAGTACGGTAAGTCGATGGATACGGTATTTCTGCTAGGATTGCGTACGTCAAAATTAAAATACAATTTTACAGCTCGGCTCAAAAATTTAACTTTAAGGCGATCAACTCCAAAATATCAATCTAATCCTTAAAGTTATTATTATAAATAATTATTATCAAAATAATCTGGGGTTACGGTATTAAAAAGGTTACGTACATACCCGAACGGGCACAGCCTGCTTCTGGTCGGTCTCGAACTTGTCGTCGAGCGGGTTCAGCTTGGGCGTCGTCGACTCCTGCGCCATGATGGTGGTCACGCTAGAAGAAAAAACCATCTCTCTAATCTTAGCATAATAAGCAAAATTTGCATAATTAGCATCCAGCCCAAAACCCACAACAAAGCGGCGACTACGAGGAAGAAGAATCGGCTCATAGTGTGACTAGTCGGGACGGGCCGGTAGAGAGCGAGATCCGCGCACGAAGATAAGAATGCTTTGCCCGGTAAGGTTGGCTTCTTTTATACGGTAGAATGGATGCAAAATAGGCATGCTTCCGGTCTGGATCAAATTCGGTAATGTTAACGCGTTTGATGCAAATATGTTCATGGTAAAACGAGAATAGCTACCAAAAATGGACTTCTTTCCCGGTTCTGTGGCATTAGCGGGGGAAGGGAGTGGCGCTCTTTTTCTAAGGTGAAAAACCTTAAATTTTCGTTAAAAAGCCAAAAAATATCGATTTTCTATCAAAATTTCAGCAAAATCTTTTTCTAACTTTTTTCAACTGTTTTTCCATTTGAAATTTGGTCCAATTTTGTTAAAGACGTTATTAAAATGCTTACTATTATGTTACTAAACATTTTTAGACTTAATAACAATTCTCTTTGTGCTAATTCTCATTCTTCTCACCCCAGCCACCATTCACCCCAGAACAAACCCGGCCGTGTTGGCTGGATGGGCCGGACTGAAAGTGCTGTTGACCTGGGCGAGAGAGAGGGAGAGAGAGGGAGAGAGAGAGAGAGAGCGAGCGAGAGAGAGAGAGACCGATGAGAAACATATCCCGAACGCCGCTCCTTCCCATAGAAATCGAGAGCTATCACGCCTACAAAAAAAACGGAGGCAAAAACGTGGCTTCAGCCGGATATTCCGGATTATCTAGGCTCAGGCGAGCGGCTACAGCTTTCCTATCAAATCCAGATCAGAGCCTTGGGTCCCTCTGTTTTCAGGTCTTTTACGGCAAACCGCCCGCTGTCTGACATTTTTCCACAGCTTGCCGGGAACTGGTGCGTTATCGGGGGGGTAACGAGGAATCCAAATTCGCCTAGATTACGGCAGATAAAATTCAAGAAGCTGCTTAGACATCAAACCCCATATAAAAATTAATAAAGCTTGCAAAATTGCACGTTTTGTGGAAAATGAATAAAAAGTGGCCAAAAATTTCGTAATTGTGTTAATTTTACAATTATATCCTAGAGATTTTGTTGGCTTAAAGTTACTAAAAAAGCATAAAATTATCTAGGTTTATTACTAAGGAAGTTAGGCAGAATGAGGGCATTGAAGCGCTCTGAAAACCCTCGCCACCCCCACTAACTCACCAGAACCCTTAAATTCCATAAATTTCCTGAATGATCTCTGCTAGACTGCCCAGTATTAACCCAAAGACGGTCTCATTCCATCCGAACTCTTGACAGCTGGATGGGAAAATTTGATCAATCGAGAGCCCGATACCCAGGTGATCAGATATCTTTTCCGGTCACATTTTCTCCCGTCATTTCCTGACCTTTTAGCGCAAAATAGCTTATCATTTTCAACGCAATTTTTTGAATTTTTGAATGTTTTAGGTAAATTTTTAGGTATTTTTAGCTCTCAATTTCTCTCCTTTCCCACGCTGTATTTCCAGGGTTTCTCGGGGTGGGATTTATCGACAATTGAAGGTCATTTCCGCTCTCGTGGCTAGACTCGCGATTCTTGCGTCTTTTTCCGGCGGTCTACATCAATTTTTCTGCGGGTTTGCTGCTGCAAAATTTCGTTTTAATCTCTAAACTTAAAATTGAAGATTTTAAAACCTTTCTTATCCACGGAAAGTAATAATTAATATTGATTCTATTTCCGAATTTTTCATTATTTGTAAATTCTTAAAACACGAATTTTTTTAAAGGTACCGGCAAGGCCTGGTTTCGGAATTTTGGCTCTGGATTATTTAGATAGTTTTATGACGCCGCGAGACGCGATGCTTGCACCCCTACATTTCATTGCGTAATCGATTTTTTTTCTATACAGTGGTCCTATGGTGGTCAAGCGAGGCGTGCGCGTCGCGGTTCGCGGTCGCTGTTAAATTGAGATAAAATATTGCTAGCTCTGGCATGCATTTTAAAGGACCATGCAACCCATGGCTATGATTCATAGAATTAAGCCGTGCCCGCGACACGCGACGCGCGACTGCGGCATTTCGTTGCGTAATGGAGACGATACTTTAAAGGAACAGGAAAGGCACGACTATAGAGTCTTTGTCTTTTTACGGCGAACCCGCCACGCAACGCGCACGCGCCGCTTTCCATAGCGTAATGAGTTACGCCGCATTTACAGTAGCCAGCTAGCGGACGCGTTGCGGGTCGCAGCGGCGGCAAAATCTGGAGAAATCGACACCAAAAATGATAACCATGTCTTGCTCTGCAATTTAAAGCCCTAACGCTTGATTTAATTGAAGAAAAACCAATTTTATGTTTTTTGAAATTGGAGTTTTTCACCGCCAATAATGTTGAAAAATCAATCGGGAACCCGGAATTATTTTGAATTCGTTCGATGGCCACAGGGGGGCTGTAAGATGATGATTCATCCTCCCCGCATTGGGTGAGTGGCGCTCCAAAAAATATTGGCTTTTCCCCCGGCCCTATCAGTTTCTTTCCCCCATCCCCCACCAAGCCCCCCCACTCCCCCTGAAATAAAGCCCATTTTCCCCGGCTTGCCAATCGCCGGCACTCGAATTTAATCTGTGCCAATGATTTTACTAACGTTAAATAAATAAGTTTTATTTTTTTCGAATCTATCTGAATTTTTGCACTACTTATTCTTCATACTATATTTAATTTTATTGTTTTTGAATCAATTTCTATAAGCCGACTTTTATACCACTTTTACAAATAGTTTTTAGCCGATGCCGGCCCACGGCGATACGCGCTCCATGAATTCCTCAGCCGGCTGTGAGTTCTCACTCGGTTTTGGTTCTTTGGCATTATCGGGGGGGGGGGGCAGTTTTTCTGTAAATTCAAATTTGTTGATCAAAATGTAATACTGTTTTTTACTGTTTTTAGTATTCCTAAACGTCAAAACCTTACAAATTTTGAGTAACCTTACGTTTAATTGATTTTAATTAAAACCCTTAAGATTGCCTTTTTAGAAATTTCTGGACTGATAGGAAAAATGGGTTCCACCGATAACGCGAAAGAACCTAGAATTTAAAATATGGTGTAAGCATTTCCACAGCTAGTGGTGCGTTTTAAAGGGATGGTGACAGCCCGTTTTTAGAGCTGCTGTCGAGGAGAAATTTGCCGAAGAATTGAAATCTGTAATCGAGTGCTTCATCGAGTCAAGGTAGTCTTATTCCGTCATCAAAAACCGTCAATTTCCGGCTGGATTTGCCCGTTAAGAAGCTGGAAGATATAGGAAAGGTGCGGTTGAGGACGGCGAAAAGTTTGAGAAAAGTTGGTTTCCCCAGGGATCACGAGTATCACGGATCAGGATCACGAGTATATTCCCCAGGTTGACCGAAAAAAGGCGGACACGCTGAACTTGTGGAAGGTGTGCAACATCTACAGTGTTTATGCAGTTGATACGGACAATGTGGGTTTGGAAAAAACGAGGCAAGCTAGAGGAGTTTCTTTAGGAACCGCAAAAATCTATTAAATTGTTTTAGGCGATGCGCGAGGTCCGGAAATCCCTCAGAAAAATTATTGTCAAGGCGGAGAAGCAGCAGGAGAAGGAGAAAGCTAAAGATTTTCAGCTGACCGTCAATGGGAGCCAGGTAATTGTGGATTAGCTACCGTAATCGATTACAGTACATTCCTTCGCGACGGCTAGGGGATGAGTACCGCCCGCAGAGCTTCTTGAGCTCGCTGACAAAACGGAAACCCAAGGTAAATAATTTTAAAGGGACGCTGAAGACTTCAGCTTGGGTTTTTGGCTATGGATTAGATATAAATTATGTTCTGGCTACAAATTCGAGAATTTCGACAAGAAGAAAAAGGTATAGATCGACCTTTCCAGCCAACTCCCTCCGAAAGAATCCAGTTGCCAACACGAGCCCCATCTCCTCATTCTCATCAAATTCAAGTAGGGGATACGGTAAGTAGTCATGTTTGATAGCTATCCTTTTGCAGAATCTGGCGCTTCCGGAGCACGAGATTTACGATAAGCATCGGCCGAGTTTGGAGGAGGCACAGAGGTATCTCGCTCGCTCGTTCTCTCGTTCTCTCTCTCTCTCGCTCTTTCGCTCTCCCCCTACTGTCTCTCTCCGCCCGCTCTCCCTCTCTCGCTCGCTGTCTTGCTCTCTCTCTCTCTCTCCCCTCTGTCTCTCTCTAACTCTCTCTTCCCATCTCTCACTCTCTCACTCTCTCACTCTCTCACTCTCTCTGTCTCCCTCTCTCTCTCTCTCCCTTCTCTCCCACTCCTGAAAATCTCGATTTTCAGGGCCCTGTCAACCTGGAGAAAATCGTTAGAAGAAGAGACCCAAGAATCCACCGCCAAAAACCAGCAACACCCCTTCGTCCCATCCTCCCCAATTGACCAAAGACCCCCGCAACCGGCCGTTCGTTCTCGTAGCCACCCGGGACAGCCTAATAAATTGGTATAGTTTTCCATACACCTATCTAGCTTACTACCGGCCTTAACAGGACCCAACCATCACTCTTCCACCATCATTCGACCATCAGAAAGTACCATACCTTCCGCAACCCGACTACGATGGGCACCAGATTCCGGTTGGTATCGCTAACTGGTTTATAACTCTGGTGTTTATGCATTATCGGTGGGAGAACTTTTCCTGCAATTTAGCGTTCTGGTCTTTTTAAAACATATCCTGATTTGAAGTGTAAAAACTAGCTAACAAACTTCGAAATTTTGACATTTTGACCAAAAAATCGTTTTTTACGAATCAAGCCAATTTGGGTCCTAGCCCCCCCCCGATAATGCAAAAGCACCATAGCTCAATTCCAGCCTGAGCCCGAAATGATCAAGGATCGAAATGGGTCGACCCGACTCCGTGATGCTGGCCATACGCCCAGGCCGATTGTTAGGAGACGATCATCTTCAAAAGTGGTGGGTAGCTAACGCTACAATGCTAGGTTTCTGGAGTTAAGGCTCAAAATAATCCGATTTTCAGGATCAGGAAGTTGTTGCTCGACCTTTGAGTGATGTGGAGAAGCCGAAAACGAAGCCACCACTTGCCCAGCAGCTCTCACAGACAGCACCGGTCAAGTCGAGGGTTGATGACAGGCCACGGCCACAGGTCAGCTTGGGAAATTGGCTAGGTGGCTATGTCTCTTTAGCTCGCTCTGGCTCTCTCTCTCTCTCCCTCTCTCTCTCTCTCCCTCTATCGCTCTCTCTTTCTCTCTCTCACTCTCTCTCTTTCTTTCTCTCTCCCTCTCTCTCTCTGTCTCTCTCTCTGTCTATCCCTCTCTCTTTTCTCTCTCTTTCTTTCTCTCTCTCTCTATCCCGCTCTCTCTTTTCTCTCTCTTTTTTTCTTTCTCTCTTTCTCTCTCTCTCTCTCTCTCTCTCTCTCTCTCTCTCTCTCTCTCTCTCTCTCTCTCTCTCTCTCTCTCTCTCGCTCAATCTCTCTCACCCGCTCTTTTTGCCGCTCTCGTTAGTCGTTATGGCCGGCCTTATAGAATTCGATTACGCCACTTCCAGGCCCCTCGTAAACCTCACATCCTGCGCCCCGAAAATACCCCGCCACGCCCGATGCTACGCGCCACCATCGTCACCCAGGATTCGTGCGGAATGGTCGAAAAGGTGGGCGGTTGAGCTTCAAAATGCCGAGAGCCAGAATGGCTAGATATGTTTGACAAAAAAATAGCAAAACTTTCGTTTAGCAACCGGTGGCTCGTCGCCCAAGCAGTCGACTCGACGAGCCCCAGATTGTCAAGCTGTGAAAAAGCCTATTTTTCTCGATTTTGTGTATTTTGATTGTCCGGTGGCGTGTCGATGGGTGTATTGTGTACTATCAATTTTTCGGATCATGAAAGAATGGATTTATACATGCAAAATAGACAGAAACCGAGAGAAAGAGAGAGCGAGAGAGAGAGCGAGTCAGAAAGTGAGAGTGAGACTGAGACTGAGAGAGAGAGAGCGAGATAGAGAGAGAGCGAGCCAGAAAGAGTGAGAGTGAGACTGAGAGAGAGAGAGAGAGAGAGTGAGCGAGATAGAGAGAGAGAGAGAGAGAGAGAGAGACAAAGAGAAAAACGAAACAAGAACAATTATTACACAGAGATCATGAGGTAGAAATTCTCGATATTGCACAGTCATGAGGAGCCTAGCGTAGTGGACGAGTCTCAAAATGTCACAGTCAATAGGTGCGTTGCGGAATCGAGGATTTTCAGTTATTCTTCCGCTTCTCGGCGGCCCTCGCGTATTGGGCCAAATTGTAGATCTTTGAGAGGAGTGGATCTCCATTTGAGGTAGCCGATAAAGAGCTCGATTGGCTTCCGCTTAAGCCGATTGTTGAGTCGAAGCCCGAGGAGGTGGAGGCGATCTGAAAAAAATAATAGTTTACGCGCGCGCTCTCTCTCTCGCTCTGTCTTTCTCTCGCTCTCTCTGTCTGTCTCTCTCTCTCTCTCTCTCTCTCTCTCTCTCGACCCTGGCACAATCCGAAAATTAGCATAACTTACAGTAGGATTATTCTGCACTCCATTGAGCCCCATCTTTCCCATCATCGATCCAATCGACGGGAACCCTACGCCGACACCTGTGGACACCCCCACGCCCACAAATGGCACCGAAACACCCTGAAAAATAATTTAAAACTCTGAAACTTTAAATACAACCTGGGCTAAACGTTAAGGCAAAAAATTCGTAACCTACCCTCTGTGCCGACACTCCGCCATTATACCAATCGATTCCAACCCTGGAATTTGGTGAAACTAGAAGTTTACAGTTTTTGCTTTCCAGGGACTCATCAAAAATTTAAAGATTTATGTTATTTGTTGTGCTGTCTTGTATCGATTTATTTGTGTTCCCACCCCCGATAAGAGTCCAGTACCAAATATACTCACTTATCAGCAAGGCCAACATACGGCCCAACAGAATACGAATTTGTCACTTGAATCGGCTGCCCCAACGAGCCCTCTTTCAGCGGCACGCTCACCTGAATAAAATAAAATTATTTCGGCTCAGAATTTAAATTCCTTTGAAGAAAATATACCTCTTGAAATTTAATACGATAATTTGTCAAAAAACACACCAAGGTCCCACTGGCGCCCTCAATTCCCATAGAGTTGAGGATCGGCACGCTCCAGCCCTGCTTCCACCCGTACACACCTAATTTGCATAACTTATATCTAAAATTTTGCTCTCCAATTTTAAGACAAGATTTGCCATTAAAAGAACAACATAATTATGCCGAATTTTAACGAAAGGACAAGCTACAGTACCCATAAACCTTACCTTCATACCAATTTGCCCCATACTCCTGATTTCCACTCCAGAAATCCCGAACGCCCGTCTCATCCGAATATCCACCACCCCACGTGCCAAAATCCACCTGAAATGATGTAAACATTAGAAATATATGATTTAAGGCACCTTTCCATTATGGCCATTGCCGATAGCGCCTTCTTCATTAATTGGGTAGTACGGTATGCCTTTTACTCCCCAGTTATAATAAGTTAAACCGACGCCAGAGGACCAGGAATTAGCGATCGCACCTGAAATGGAGAAATATTTATAGAAAACCAAGGTTAATTTTCTCTCTCTCTATCTCATTCTCTCTCACTCTCTTTCTCTCTCTCTCTCGAACGGCAAGTGTACTCCCTGTCTCTACCCCCCTCTCACGCCTGAGGATTCTTTTTATCTGATTCCCTGTCTCCTTCTATCTTTCTCTTGCCCGCTCTTTCTCTCTGGCCCTCTCTCGCCGTTTCTCCCCTCTCTCTCCCTCTCTCCTTACCCAATGGCTTCGCCTGCTGTTGATATTTTGCACAATCCGCAGCATATCCCCGGCATCGTTCCAAGAATTGCTGCTCCACCTTTTGCACATAGCAATGCTAAACCCAATTTTAAAGGGATGGCGACACCCTGACCTTGGCGGCGACGGGCGCAAACTTGGCACACAGGGCCAACACTTCTTTATCCGAGACGCCAAGGGAGGAGAGCGGGACACGGCCTGTCTGCAAATTTTTAAAGGTTGGATAAAAAAAATTCAAATCCGTTTACCGTAGCCTTGAGGCGCTGCTCGATTTGGACCGTGTTGAGGCGGGCGGTGGACTGAGAAAATGGAAAATTATAAAATTACTTAAATCGAGCGAGAGGGTGCGACAGAGAGCGAGAGGGGGAGAGGAAGAGAGAAAGAGAAAGAGAGAGAGAAAGAGAGAGAGAGAAAGAGAGTGAACTAGGGAGGGCGAGAGAGTGAGAGAAAGAGGGAGAGAGAGGGAGAGAGAGAGAGAGACAGATAAACAGAGAGAGAAACGATCGACTAAATTAACGCGGTAAACTACAAGCTACAAACCTCTTGATCAGCCAATTTCTGCCCCTCGACCCCGTCCTCCTTGTCAAACGGCGAATCCGGCTTCTCCACCATATCCGCATCATCCACCTAATTCTTTTCCTTACCTGATTTGACCCTATTAATTACGGTAGCTACCCTAACCCTCAATATAGCGTGTTTTCTACTACCGTCCTACCGTACCGCTGTTTTGGCAGCCAGCGCTCGAAAACGAGCATAACCCGGGCGGCTTTTAATCTGGTCGAATGGATTCGTGAATTGCTCATCGTCGGCCTGAAAACGAGCATGTTTCTCTCGCTTTCTGTCTCTCTTTCTCTCTCTCTCTCTCTCTCTCTCTCTCTCTCGCTCTCTGTCCCCCCTCTCTCTCGCTTTTTTTCAACTTTGTAACGTACCAGTTTTGGAATTCTGTTCTCGGGCGAAATTTCCTCGAATGGGGTCAGCGGGACGGAGGGCTCAGGATCCTGGCCATCCAGATATGATTTTGGCTGGAAAGGTAACTTTAAAGGGACGCGGAAGAGCCAAAAATCCACCCCTTACACGACTAGGTCTCGACAGCTAGCACGGCTTGAAAAGACTACACAAAAAATTCCGAAGCGCTACTAAGGGCGAATTAATACACGCTATGTCTCCTCCATTGATGCGCAAATTTCCGGAAAGAGGCTACTAGACAAAACGCGCAAAGACTACAAGCTACACTGAGAGTAAACTTCCGAAAACGCGTACCTTTGGGTAGTACAGATCGGACAGCCGCTGCTCCTCGTCGCTCAGCCCCGATTTCTCCTCATTTTTCGGGGGTGGCAGCTCGAGGAATGGGAATACTAAAAAAGTAAGTAAGGTAAGGAGCGAGAAATCTCCTGGTTTCTCTCTCTCTCTTTTCTCCTTTTCAGCTCTAGTAAAATTAAAGCAACTTACAGGCCTTTGAGAAATCGAGTAGCCCGGTGCCCTTCTCGGCGTTGTTTTCAGAGACGAAGGATCCAATTCCACCCAAATTCATACGGGTTGAGGAGCCGGCAGAACGACCGAGGGTCGTGTCGCTAGATTACGGTAGATAATGCGATTTTAGGCGGTCCTACTGCTCCATATAGCCCAAATCTGGCTTCTCGCCCAGCGTCCAGGTGCCACTGTTGGCCGTTTCCGATTCGGTGCCTTCTGAAAATAGGAAAAAATAGCGAAGATTGGAAAATGTTCTCTACGTCTCTTTGTCTCTCAGTCTGTCTCTCTCTCTCTCGCTCTCTCCGTCTCTCTCTCTCTCCATGTCTCCCCTTCCAATTCTCTGTCTCATTCTCGCGTTCTTACCCACTCATCCTCTGTCTCTCTTACTCCCTCCCTCTCTCTCCCTCTCACTCTCGCTCTCTCTCTCCCACCTTGTAAAACTTACCCGGCACAAACTTCATCATTTGCATATGGCCATCACCAATCCCGACTTTCCCAAAGTTGGGCACATCCCATTTGATGTCATCCCCATCCTTCTTCCCGAACGCCAACGGCCCTATTCACGAATTAATGGGCGACTCTAAATGTTCCCTTACCTATCATTTGCATCATAGCTTTGGCTGCCGGCATTTTTCGGGGCTCGTCACTGTTGATCGGGATTTCTCGGGCTAAAATGAAATCGGGTTTTTAAGGATTAGCCCTGTAGCGTTGGCTTTAAAGGGATTGGCAAGTCAGGAATTCCCAAGGATTTTGTGGGGCCCATTTTCGTAAATATTTATAATTTTTTTGTTATGATTTTTAGATCTAAAAAAACCCGCTCCATCATAGCGCCGTACGGGATTCCTTGGAAAATTTGTTTCTCCCTCCCCCTCAGAATCCCCCCCCGCTAACAGTCCAGTGCCGGAAAATTCATAATGATGCCTTATTCGTTCCGTTTAACGTCAAAATCGTATACCTTCTTGAGCATGAGCTTGTAGCAATATAGGAAATATGATTAATAGATCTCGAAGTATCATGGTCAAGTTAGTGAAGCCTCCAAAGCCGCCAAAGTAAGTCGGCTTAACCCGTCGATGATCAATACTCGGCCTTGAAATCGTCTGGAGATATCCGGGGGAATGAAGAAAAGGGCTGCTTTGTGATGAAGTGAGGGAGATAGGAGTGCCGCGGAAAATAGGCTGGACAAGACAACGCTTTTGCTCAGCTCTCGACCGGTTCTTCGGGATGAAGCCTCCGGGATGGCATGGCGGAGGGAAGGGTGCCATATTCACTAACCGGATAGACACTGGAAAGAGAGGAAGCACAGGAAAGAACACCTCGAAATAAGTGATTAGACCGGAACGCGGTACTAAAGGGGCTGGGAAGGCAAGTTTGGTTGTTTCCAAATGGTTTCTGCTAGCTTGCCCGTCACGAAGAATCCTTGCTGGCCGGCCTTGGAGGGATTAATGACGTGGTAGACTCAGAGATATGTTTCTCCCTAGTTCTCTCTCCCTCCTCTCTCTCTCTCTCTCTCTCTCTCTCTCTCTCTCTCTCTTTCTCCCCCTCTCTCTCACCGTCTCTCTCTGTCTCTCTCTTTCTCTCTCTTTCTCTCTCTCTATTGCTCACACTCTCTAACCGATATATATTTATTCACATCACAGCATAATTCTTCATCAAATCTTTCAAATTTGCTTCCATCTCTCGAGCGTCAATTGAAAGCATCAGGATTTTCTTGCCGGATTCGAGCCTGAAAAATCCGTATTTTAAAGGGAGGATTACAGGTGGAGATCCGATTTTAGCTCGATTTACGAAGAAACTTGCTGCAATTGTGAGAGAGAGAGAGAGAGGAGAGAGTCAGAGAAAGAGAGCGAGAGAGAGAGAGAGAGAGAGAGAGAGCGAGAGCTAGAAACGCGCGCCTTCAGGCTAATAAGAGCTTCCAGTCCACCCTCTCATTAGTGCCTATACCGACCCCGTGTGATTCTGAATACCTGGAAAATTGCCAACGAGCAAAACTAGCCAGTAACCCCAAAACAAGCTAGCATCGTGAAAATGAAAGTGCCAAATCCACCATTTCGTCCGGCCGCTCCTCTTCGATAATCCCGAAATTACAGTTTTCTTCGATGCAACAGCACACCGTATTCCCGAGTTGGCTCCTGAAAGAAAGGAATCTAGATGCTGCCCGAGCTACCGTACCCGGTACACGATTCCCCCAGGTAGATAGAGGGCATCTGGACGGCAGAACGTCGTCTCCCGGTCACAGCCACCGATATGCCATACTGCCGACTCCATCAGGCGAATGATCTGGAAATTGCAAGCGTTTCTTTGGAGACGGTTCTGTTGCATTAACCGGGGGGGGGCTGAGCTTTGTTGTATATGCCCATAAAAACGCACCAACGTAGTAATAAATCTTTTACTAATAGTTTTAGTAAAATTTAACCAGATTTTAAGTGAAAAATTATCGAAAAACTATGTTATGTTGTGAACTATGTTAAATTCGCAATTTTTGGTCGAAAAACCACGTTTTATAGGTTTCAATTTCCTGAAAAAAAAGCTAAGAGTCGGTCTGGCTAGCTAGCAGAGAGCCTTTGAAATGGAAAAAATTAAAAGACAGTGCGAACGGGCAAGCTAGCAGAGACCATTTGTCGAAACCGCCGGGAATTTCCACCTGATGATAGCAATGTGCCTCTTGTGGACAATCCGTCTTCTCGACATCCACCACTTGCATCTGGCCCGTCGTGTGGAACAGGGCGAAACTGAAAAAAAAATAATTTTTACTGTTTCTAAAGGGAGTATGAAGGCCAGAGGAACATTTTAAAAATGAAAGCAGGACTTGTAGCAATCTTTTGAGGTTCCTGGATGGGGGAGGAAGAAGAGGAAAATGAGCAGCACCGCCCAGTACGATGACATTTTTTGGAAAAACATAAAAACTAGGACATTTTTAGGGCAATAAAGGAAGAATATGTAAATCGGAGTTATTTAAATGCCACCTTGATTGCCAAATTGCCCCAAAAAAAGCGACGATCTTTGTTAGGTCGTTTTGAACATCCCATAATCTCCGCTAGCATGCCTCAAAAGTCTAACAATCTCTGCTAGCCTGCCTTTCCGCTTCAAATAACCTCTGCTAGCCTGCCTTTCCGATTCAAATAACCTCTGCTAGCCTGCCTTTCGCGTCAAGAATCTCTATTGGTTGCCCTAGACGTCTAATAATCTCTGCTAGCTGACCTTCCAGGCCTACCGATCTCTGCTAGCTTGCCCTCCTCTCTAGCATCTCTGCTAGGTACCTAGAACGTTTAATAATCGCTGCTATCTTGCCTTTTCGCCCAAGCTCTCAGCTAGATCGCCTGAAAATTCTGAGAATCTCTGCTAGCTCGCCCTCCCCAGCCCCCCCTTTAATTTCCAGCCAACCCCCCATTCCAAGTTCCCTCGATTCGTTTCATATCCCCATATGCCTCCCTCTCACTTCTCCCTCTCCCTCCCCATTCTGCCGTTTCCATGACTACGGTATGCTCCTCCACCCCATTTCGACACGCGCGCCTTCTGAAGGGAAAAGCGAGAGAGAGGGCGAGAGAGAAACCGATGGCTGGCCAGGGCGTCAATCCCCTTCCTTCTCCACACTGCTTCTGATTCTCTGCTTCTCTGCCTCTCTGCTGTCTCTCTCCTCTCTCGCCCTCCCTCAACAATTACCGGAGACACCCTCCGCGCGGAGACCCACAAGGCGGGTCTTGTGCTTTGCCTCGCCCTATCGGCGGATGATTAGGGTTTATGTGACTTTATAATCTCCTGCTTAGCTTGGGCAACTTGGCTGACTTGGGTTTTAAGCCCGGGCTCATGCTCAAACTCCTTAGGTATCATCAAGTTTTTGCTTACAGGTTGATCCAAGGAACTTTTAAAGCTGATTCTCCAGTTCTGACAACGGACTCATTGATTTTTGGAGCCTGACCGATCTCGTGTTTTCGCATTAAGGACACATCTCAACCGTGTTGGAAATTTGTTAAAATTCGGCCGGATTTGATTTAAACGGATACAGACGATAGATGTCTCGGAATTCCGTCGTTCTAATTCTCTCTCTCTCTCTCTCTCTCTCTCTCTCTCTCTCTGTTTCTCTGTCTCTCTCTCTCTCTCTCTCTCTCTCTCTCTCTCTCTCTCTCTCTGTTTCTCTGTCTCTCTCTCTCTCTCTCTCTCTCTCTCTCTCCCCCCTCCCCCCCCCCCCTCTCTCTCTCTCTCTTTCTCCCTCTCTCTCTCTCGCTTGCCCATGGGAGTTATTTTGGTGATACTCTGCGTCATGCCGTGAGATTGCCGAAATCTTTCAGACAGTGGGTCACCGTCAAATTCCCCTTCATTACTGCAAATTTCTATGGGCCTTGCCAATACTTGAAATTCAGCTAGGTTGCTTGGTTCTTGGCCAGATCGCCCTTCACAAAATCTCATTTTCAGACCTGTAATCAGTTCCTTAAAGTTGCTACTACTTTTCTCTCTCTCTCTTTTCCTTGATGTTTAACTTCATCAAAGGATTTCCGTTCCCCCCGTCCCAAAAAAAATTACAAATCCTACATTCCGGGCCCTACATTTTGCATCGATTGAGAGACCACCTTCAGCTGCTGCTTCCAACCAGCAGGCTGGCAGAGAGAGCGAGAGAGACAGAGAGAGAGAGAGAGGGAGACCCACACGAAATTATGACCTAAAGGAAGAGGGAACACCTGCAACAACCTTCTTCTCCTCCTCCTCCACCTCTACCTCCACCCCCCATTTATACATTTAGCCAGCCCCGAAACGGTGGGTCCCTAAAACGTGCCGAAGCGAGAGAAATCGAAAATATGTGGTATAAGCTATTTCTAGCTTTTTGACGGTGAGAGAGAGAGAGATCGAGAGAGAGAAAGATCGAGAGAGAGATCGAGAGAGAGAGAGATCGAGAGAGAAAGAGATCGAGTGAGAGAGAGAGAGAGAGCGAGATCGAGAGAGGGATCGAGAAAGAGAGAGCGAGAGAGATCGAGAGAGAGAGCGAGAGAGAGAGAGAGGGAGAGAGAGGACACACACCTAAAGGGACACGCCATGTAAATGTATCCCTAGTATCCAACACTTCTCAGCACCTTTAAAATTGTCGAGCACTTCCTAAGCCCTGTAAAAATTACTCAAACCTCTGATAACCTTTTAAAAATTATCCAGCGCTTTTCAGGTCCTTTAAAAAATACAGGGCAAGCTGGCAGAGGCACTTTGGGAAAATTTGGACCCAAGTTCGTATTTTGAGGCAGAGCTTAAGTGTCGTTTTTTAAAATTCAGGGCGAACTCGCAAAAAACTGTGGCAAAGTCTGGATTTCTGAGCAAGCAGGCTAGCGCGGTTCCTTAGGATTTCCCGGTATCATTTTCAATGCAAAACTTTCCCCAGGTGATTCTATCGGGGCCATGGTGTCCCCCTGACGATCTCCCATGGATGTTTAGTGAAGGGAAGGAGTGCGTTGATCTCTATGGATATGTCGCTATCTCTCTCTCTCTCTCTCTCTCTCTCTCTCTCTGTCTCTCTCTTTCATCTATCGCTTAGGGGATCTTCTTCACCCAGGGCGATGAAGGGACCCTCAACAGCCACATCCACAGCCACTACCGCCACTTCACCCAAGAAGTCCAAGAAGTCCACCCCAAAGGTGGTCCCTGTTAATCTACCGGATAATCCCTATACTGATGTTGAGGCGGCGCAGCTTATTATTAGTACGGTAAGTCGATGGATACGGTATTTCGCTAGGGTACGGTACGTCAAAATTAATACAATTTTACAGCTCGGCTCAAAAAATTAAACTTAAGGCGATCAACTCCAAAATATCAATCTAATCCTTAAGTTATTATTATAAATAATTATTATAAAATAATCTGGGTTACGGTATTAAAAAAGGTTACGGTATAATCTTTACAACTTTTGCTATATTTTATACCTTTTCGCTTGCTAACAGTAGTGTCAGAAATTTGCGTTTTTCGACAAAAACGCGTAAGGACGCATTTTTTTGCTACGCGTATTACGACCTAAGTTAGCCCGTTCTAAGGTACAGTAGAAAAGCGAATTTTTAGCTCCCCACCCAAGGCGTCATCGTATCAACGAAAGAAGCGGAAGCGCGAACGCTGGCCCGGCTGGAATCGAGCGGATCGGTGAGTGACTGCGTTAACGCGCAGCGGACGCGTCGCGGCCAGACGCAGAGACTCCGCAACGCGTCGGCTAGGCGTTATTTAGCCTCACAAAGACGTTCGACGACAACGCAAACGCAACGCATCGTAACCCCCAAATTCTCACCTCTTTCAGTTGTCCAACCATTCCACAGCCGATGATCACATCCAATTGACAGTGGCAGCCGTGGCTTCAGGCCAAATTGGAGGCCGAGATGAGGATGAGGGCGTCGACATCAGGGAGGACGAGCTGATGGACGTCAGTGATTGCGCCTGGGAATAATTAATTTTTATCTGTTTTAGCCGGACGGCCTTTTCCAATACAAGAGAGGGAAATCGGAGCGGACCGGGGATGAGGATGATGAACTGAAAGGTTTGTTCGAAGAGAGCGAGAGAGAGAGAGAGAGAGAGAGAGGGAGGGAGGGAGAGAGGGAGAGAGTGAGGGAGAGAGATAAATGGAGCGAGAGAGAGATTGAGTTATTTATTTCCATTCCATCGCCTGGTTCAAGCTTTTCCGGTCCTTGCGCATTATCGGGGGGGATTTTTCCACTGGGCAAGAAATGTCTAATGAGTGTTTTAACGGTGTTTTTAGTAAAACTCTAGCTGTATTATAAATGGAAAACAATAAAAAAACTTAGAAAAATTTTTATTTGCAAATGTGATCGTAAAATCGCTATTGTTTGTATTTTTTTCAACAAAATTCGAATCTTTTTTACGCCTAGGCTCTTAAAAACAGTTTAGAAACACGTCCTGCATTTATGTTAGAAAAACTTGCCCTCCTCCCCCCCCGATAATGGAAAAATGCCTATTCTCCTCTCCTAATTTCGACTACCAAAATCCCAAACCCTGCCGGCTAAAATGTGCCCACCCTTCCCGCTTTAGCTAATGGCCCAGGGGCCATTTCGGGGCCCAGGCTAAAAGATGCGCTGCTCTCTCTCTCCCTTACCGTAGTACAAAGAAAAATCCATCCCCTCCTCGGGATGAGAGACATATTAATGGGCGAGAATCGGGTTGGCCGGGGGACTCTGGGGGCAACCTGTTCTCCCCCCTTTTGCCCCCTTTTACCCCCCTGGCTAGAGTCCCATTCAAATCCACATCCACCTCCCGGCCACATTTGGTGGTTGACCGGGCTGCCACGGGCGGCATGGATTTCTACAGTAACCCGTCATCACTGTTCGCCATTCCGAGACTGTACGCACAGCATACGGTGCTTAGGGGCGCGGCGGGTGGTGCGCAACCTCTGAGACAGCCTGGTGGGTGATTAAAGGGATCGGCAAGGCGGGGATTGGTTGTGGATTTTGCTGGCCATACGTTTTGCTGGGCTTTCCATAGATGCCGTTTTTCCGAAACGCAGCTCAGCGGCGCGTAATCCGCGTAATTTGGTACTGGTTTTTTAGCGGGGGGAGAAATAATTTTTCTGCCTAGAGCAACAATGAGTGTGTTTTTTTAATGCTTTTACTAGTTTTTGATTGGTAGAGAATTACAAAAAATATCGTAAAAACTTTTCAAAATGCGAAAATTTTGAAATTGTAGGTAATTTTTCATGCATTTTTGAACACAATTTAACATTTTTGAAATATTTCTAAAATTTTGATGCACTTTTTATCTCTAAAAACTTTGGAAAATGGCATAGAACTCAATTAACAAGATTACTTGCAAAAATTCGTTTCCCCTAGCGAAGAATCCCCCCTGCTAACAGTCCAGTACCAGTAATTTTTTATCGCATAATCGATTACAATAAAAAATCGTTAGTAAATCCATAACCAAAAAACTGTAGCCATACCTTCTCCGCTCCTTTAAGAAATTGGCAAGGTGTGGATTTCTATAAAGTTTGGCTAACTTTCAACCATGCTAAGAAGCGCCTCCCCAAGCTCCCTAGTACGCCCCGTTCCGCAAAGTCCACCTGCCCTTCCGGTGGTCATTCCGCCACTGTACTATTCCCAGTTCCCCACTATTCCTTCCAAATAGGGTCAGGGTCCATCCTTAGGGCCCGCTTAGGGCCCAAAGTGTTGAATTGTTAGAGACAAAGGGGCCACCTGACAAGAGCATCGTCTGGTTCTCTCTCTCCCTCGTCTGAATTCGATAGTAGTCCCGACAATAGGGGGAGGGCAGACCGTAATATTCGGGAGGGGGCTGTGGCCATTCCTGCCAAACTCTTAGTTGACGTTTCCCAAATGTTTCCTCGAGCTGCCCTTCTTGAGTATGGGGTGGCGGCTGTTGCTGCACGGAATAGACTGTCGCTTTGTGAGTTATTGGCTGGATCTCTTATCGTTTTTCTATCTCTGTCGCTCCATTTTCTCTCTCTCTATCACTCTCGTGCTCTCTTAAAGGGAGCATGACAGCAAGAGTAGGTTAGAATATTTCCCAAATTTCGCTTCAATTTCATCTCTCGCTTTTAGGCGTTGAAGAGAGCACAACCCTACTCGAATCCGGAAGTCAACCGACTCTTGGCACCTATCCAACTGCTCCATATGTCTCGACAGGGGACTTTAGTGGAACCATCGACACGTATCCCGTTGGACAGCATCTACATAACCCTACGTGAGTCTCTCTAGCCACCGCCGTTTGTCGACCTCGCTTTCTCTCTCTCTCTCTCTCTCTCTCTCTCTCTCTCTCTCTCTCTCTCTCTCTCTCTCTCTCTCCTTCTCTCTCTCTCGCTTTATCTCTCTCTCGCAAACCAAATCTAGAGCTATAACTTGCCCGTCCCTTTAAACCCAAAATACAACCTTCAACGGCCCTTTAAAATCCACCGAACTCGCTGCGGACGCTTATACCGTAAACTACCGTATCCCACGGGTGCGCTAGAAGTCCAGCAACATTTGAAAACCGTCAAATCAATAAAAAGAAACCTGTTGACGTGTGCCGTCAGTAGGTATGTTGATGGAATGAGGGGGCTATGGCTGAGGTAGAGGAGGAGGAGGAGGAGGAGGTGCTCCTTCGTCGTCTGGCCAACCAGTCGAGCAGCACATACACACACGTAGCATTCACTTCTTCTCTTCTTCTTGCTCGACAAGACGAAGAAGGTCTCCTAGGCGATTCTCCACCGAAACAACACCCCCCTTTTACCCCCTTCTATCCCACAGCTACCACCAGCCAACCGAACGAATAGGTTGTCATGGGTGTATAATGGAATGCCGGAGGGGTAGATTTGGAGGGGAAAGAAGACACGGTCGAGGCGTTCACCTGGATTTTTTGGGAGTAGAAGAAGCCAAACGCGGCTGCCCCTTAAAAGCCCCAATTCGAAGCCCGCGGAAACTTGTGACTTCAAGGGTCCTTTAAACGTCCGAAGCTTCAAGGGTCCTTTAAAGAGCCGAAGGTGTCTAAAAGTTCCATGTCTAGGCCTCAAACCGATAAAAATTAGCGTTTCGGGACCACCCGCTCCGCTCTCATGGCCTACGGTAGCCCGGGAGGGAAAGAGAGAAGGGCCCACTCCCGAATTCGCGACCACCTAATTTGCATATGGGGCAGGGGAGAGAGGCGAGTGGGGTTATGGTAGCTCTTCTCTTAGCCGGAAATTTCACGAAAGCTACTAGCTTGTCGGAATCAATGGAAGAAAATGCTAGAGAGACCGAAATTCCTCCAGAATCGCTGCTAGCTACCCTGGCGAAAAACACTCTAATCACTGTCATGGGCTAGATAAATCGTATACCTGGGTTTTTGGGGGCTGGCGGTGTGTTGGGTTGTGTGGATTGTGAGTCTTGGAGGGCTTAGGGTCTCCCCCTGCCATCGCCGCCCTGGCAACGTCTAAAGGAGTCGAGCGGAATGGGCAGATGGAAGAAGAAGGGAGGAAGATGTTAGAATAGAGACGACCTCTTGTAGCCCATCTGCTAATCAGCATATGGTCGAAACTAAGTCGACGGAAGCTTAAGCCAAGCCTAAGCATAAGCCAAGCCCAAGCCTAAGCCTAAACCTAAGCCAAGCCCAAGCCTAAGCCTAAACCTAAGCCAAGCCCAAGCCTAAGCCTAAACCTAAGCCAAGCTCAAGCCTAAGCCTAAACCTAAGCCAAGCCCAAGCCTAAGCCTAAACCTAAGCCAAGCCCAAGCCTAAGCCTAAACCTAAGCCAAGCCCAAGCCTAAGCCTAAACCTAAGCCAAGCTCAAGCCTAAGCCTAAACCTAAGCCAAGCCCAAGCCTAAGCCTAAACCTAAGCCAAGCTCAAGCCTAAGCCTAAACCTAAGCCAAGCTCAAGCCTAAGCCTAAACCTAAGCCAAGCTCAAGCCTATGCCTAAACCTAAGCCCAAGCGAAGCCAAGCGAAGCCAAGCCAAAACCTGAGCCAAAGCCAAGCTCCGCGAGACCAACCCCAATACCTAAGCTCAGACCCGAGCGGCCAAGCCTAAGCCGAAGCCCCCGCCTAACCCTCTTCCAATGCTGATAGTGACTGGTGGTGTAGGGTATTTGTTGGTTGTCCCGGGGATCTCCCCCCTTTTATAGAAATTCTTCTTGTTCTTCTTCCTCCCTCTCTTTTGAATGTCTCCATAGCCACAGCTCCACCGTTTCCCAAGTGATCACCAAGGCGATCGGTCTCCCCTCCTTCCATCCCATGCCAACCAACCCAGATATACCCTTCTCCTGCCACAAATCCGGCACATACCTCGCCCCGGCAACCGGTACACACCCCCTAGTCGGATTCACGGTTGGCTAGGGTTTGTTGAAGTTTCTGAAAGCTTGATGTCACGGTCCCTTTAAAAGTGTCTGAAAATGAAAGTATTGCTGTTAGCTGAGCACCAGCTCGTGCTCCAGGGGGTTGTCGCATCTCAATATCTATCTGACGTCTTTCATTCTCTCTCTCACTCTCTCGCTATCTCTCGCTCTCTCTCCCTCTCGCTCTCTCTTTCTCTCTCTCTCTCTCTCTCTCTCTCTCTCTCTCTCTCTCTCTCTCTTTGTCTCCCTATGTGACTCCCTCTCATTAACTCTTTCTCCCATCTCTCTCTCTCCACATCGCTCTTGCTCCCAAGATTTTTCTATCGCTGACCGTCCCCGAAAAAACTCTGCTAATATACCACAAAATTTTCGAAGTGACTCTCCCTCTAAAGAACCGATTCAGCGGTCTAACCATATTTTTCTTTCCCCGCGATACGCAACACAAACGCACCGATATCGAGCAGGAACTTCTTGAACTTTCGGATTCGTTACGCGATGAAAGGGCACGCGTTGCTTGTCGCGGTTCGCCAGTTCCCATAGAAACCCTTTTAAAGGCCCGTTGAAGTCGCATTTCCTGCTTTCCGACCCACTCCTTCCACGCCCATTTGCCCATTTTGCATTAGCCGGTAGATTAGTGGGGGATAGGGTTTTGGCCAAACCCATAGATTAGCTCCCGGGGGCCCAACCCTCACCTGGCCCTAAGCACTGGATATGAGGCACAGCAGCAGCTGGGAATTGTCGGGTGGGAGAGAGAGAGAGCGAGAGATGCCCCGGGGGATAAGCGACTACGGTATCCACTCCGGGCCCCTCCCTCCCTCTCTGGGCCCTCATTAGTGGCTACGGTGGGGGTCCCAGTCCCATGTAATCAGCCACGCGGCCCGCCGGCCAGACATTGATTTTTGGCGGCCCTTTTCTGGTTGGGGCCCACGCGTGAGGGACTTTTCCCGGTTGTTTGGAGTGGGAAAAGCCGTAGAAAGCGGGGGACCAACTGAAAAGTACAGCTAGAAATGATGAATTTTTCAGGGTAAAATGGTTTTTCAAGAAAATTTTCCTAAAAGGGTTCTGCTGGTTGCCTTAAAAGGCCAACGGCGGATCGTGATGAGGGCTTTCAAATGACATGATATCAACACAGAAGATACATCACGTGTACCGTGAGCGACTACGACTAGGCCAGTTCCTAAATGCTCCCAGCTAGCTTGCCCAAAAAACTGGTCAGCCTAAACGAAGCTGATGAACTTGAAGTGGCCGCGGGTAAAGCACTTCATAACTCCAATGCTTGCTTTGATCCCTGGAATTTTCCTAAGTGCTCCTAAGTTGCTTGCTAAAAAAATGTCAGTAACATTTCTATGATAAAAAACAAGGCGTGAACAATTTTCATAAAACCAGTCTTTTCCCGAACGGTCACTGCTAGCTTGCCCAAAAAACAGGTCAGGTTTGGACCTTTAAAGGAGGAGTGGCATCGAGACGTAGATTTGATCGCGTGTAGTACGGTTAGCTAGAAGGATCAGCTTTTCCTAAACGGTCTCTGCTAGCCGGCCCTAAAACTCGATTGGCAGTAGATCGAACTTTTTAAAGGGACGATACCTTTCCCTCGACTAATTGCCCCCGTTTTCTATTCCATGACCCAAGGGGTGGGTGGCTGGAAATTGGTGCCCTGGTCTCTCTCTCTCTCTCTCTCTCTCTCTCTCTCTCTCTCTCTCTCTCGCTCTCTCAGGGCCAGGTGGGCCTAGCTAAACCCATCTAAAGGGGTGGAGCCACCAGAATAACATCCGCAACCTCACTATCCTCTTCGTCTATCCTTCTAAAATATTCCTAAATTCTGCTACCGTATTCTTTGGCCTCCCCATAATGTCGAGAAGCCCCGAAATGGGGGCCTTCGAAGTGTTGACCCTATCCGAGATCACGCTCGCCGAATTGAACACCACCAATTCCAGGGGCGCCAACTATTTGTATGCGGACCCGGCGTATGCTTCGTACTATACACAGGTATGTTTTTAATTCGTTTTAATGGCTCGAATAATTTAATACCCTAAATATCGGACATTTTAAACCTTTTATTTTAGGTATATCTATAAAATTTACCGTTACATTATCGGGAGGACCAACTCTTTCCTTAGAATCCAGTTTTTCCATTCCAAAAACAATTTCTAAACTTGTTTTTACTATTCTTAAACAAAAAACTTACAATTATTTATGAAAAAATACAAAATGGATAGATCTTTCGACCCAAAAAGGCCGATTTTTGAACAAAATTATAGATTTTTAAAAAATTCACACGTTTTAGAAGGTTTTTTCACCGAAATCAAGTTAACTTTTCCTAAAATACTATTTAAATGCTAACTAATCTTACTAGACATTTCTGGGCTTCTAAAATTAGGTTTCTTATCGTACTTCCCCTTACAGTACCAACCGTCAAATGTCCACTCGCCACAGTCGTACCCCCTGCACTCCCACCAACACTCTGCCGCCTCGCCAGGTATCACCATTTTTCAAAATTGTCAATTCTAATTTTCTAGACATTTTTTTGACTAGAATACTGTAGCTTTCCCTTCAACGAGTATTTATCCAGGTTAAAAAAATTTAAGATTAGCGAAAACCTTCAATTAATCTCGAAAATGCGTTTTTTTTTGGCCTTGACAATCTCTACACTAAAAAAATCTATCGCTTTGGCGGCTCAAAATTCAAAACGTAGCTATTAAAAATATTACAGCGCTCTCCGGAAGTATCGACGATTCCGATGGACAACTTGGACACGCCGCCAGGGCCAGCCCGCAAACGGTGGGTGTTTTTGGGGTTTGTACTCTGTAGCCAAGGTCCACGCTATAATAACGATTTTAAAAATCTATTTGGAGTTTGTAGCCAGCGTGTATATCGCATTTCGTACCTTAAAAACGCAGTAACGACTTCGGGGATCCCAGTCGAATATTTCTAAGGTTCTAGCATTTAGAATCTAGCTTCAATATGCCTTTAAAATATGAGCTTAGAGGTTGTAGCTCGAAATCTGGCTTCAACGGTCCTTTAAAATTATCCCGCTGGCTTAGAATCCGTAGTTTGCAGTCTAAATTTTACCTATCCAAATATAAAAAAGTATCTAGCTAAAATCAAACCACAAATTTGTCATCTAAAACCGTGAGAACAAGCAATTTTCGCCTAAAAACCCTCTGGTCCAAAGTTGTCGTTCCGAACCGTTGAATTGACCACATTATAAGGTGACCCATAGAGAGAGCAAGAGGTCGCGCCACACACCTGGCCCTTTCTGGGGCCATTTTGGCCGACTTGGAATGGGATCAAAGCCCACGTCCACCCCCAATTATCCTCATATTCTGCGGATTTCCCCGCAGCTGCTACTGACGGTCCGGCCCTGTCTATTCAAACCGATACTCCTTGCGCAATTTGCATATTCCTGAATAATCTTTGCTTGGAAATACCTTTAAAATAATTTTTTTCTTGTTTTCCAAAATCTATGAAAAGAGGCAGACAGTGATTTTTGAGAAATTTTTTGATAACCCATTAATGCGCAAATCTGCGGGTTTTCCGGTAATTTTTTGATTTTACCCGATCTCCTGCCAGGACCACCCAGCTGCCACCCGGCCCCTTTTTATTCGTATGCTAATGAGGGCGGCTGGTTGGCTCGTCAATTCCGCATTTCATCTGAATTTTAAATCCCCCAAAATATACATTGAAATATTAATGTGGGGTCGAGCGGTAGGTGCGAGGGTTGGGTCGTAAAAGAGGGAGCGTGATTATTAGGATTCGGGGTTGCTACAGGGAACACCTGTTGACAGATTGAGACAAGACAGGGAGGATGAGGGATGACAATGACATTACTCAAGGGATGTCGCTCTGTCTCTCTCTCTATCTCTCTCACTTTATCTCTCTCTCTCTCTCTCTCTCTCTCGCTTCTGCAAAAATCGAGAGAACATATGTCTTGCGTTTTTGGTTTTTTTGGGCCCCTTGCGTGACTATCCCATATTTTCTGGGTATGGCTAAATAATTATTTGTAGGAAAGAGGGAAAGGAGAGAAAGAGAGAGAGCGAGAGAGAGCGAGAGAGAGCGAGAGAGAGTGAGAGAGAGTGAGTGTGAGTTAGTGGCAGTGAAAGTGACAAAGCGGGAACCCGAGGTTTTTGCACACTAGTGTTTGCAAAAGAGATCCAGAGAGCGAGAAAGAGGGAGAGATAGAACCAGAGAGAGAGAGAGAGAGAGAGCGAGAGAGAGCGAGCTAGAGAGATCGACAGCCAGACCGACAGTACAAATTATCCCCTCATCCTCTTACCATGGCCCCCAACACCTGGTCCTCCCCTTCTCTGACACCTCAAAAAGGCACCGGTCGCTCGCAGTTGCTCATATCCAGAAATTCCAAATCTCTACACTTTGTATAGTTTTTTATCGAATATTTATCTGCTATAGGTGTTTGTATTTTATCTCTGTAAAAATCTGAAAATTCTTTCGAACCTGGAAACTAGAGACTTGCGATATTTTTTTTGGTAGAGCAGATCCCGTAGGCCGCGCTTGACAATTGTAAACAATTTTAAAATTTTAACACAATTTGGCTTTAAACAATTACGCCATGGAAATCCCTTTCTCGCCCCTTTAAAAGCCAATTGCCAGCCCCCTTTCAAAAATCCCCATCCAGAAAATTTCCCCCCAGAAATGTCCTAAGGGGCATATGGCCGTGAAAAGGTGGCGGCCAGTCACTATGGCAACCAACATCCTGAGTGGCAGGAAATGGTAGTCGAGGTGGATTTTAGAAGAGAGAGAGAGAGAGAGAGAGAGAGAGAGAGAAATATCCTTTTTAAAGAGGCGGATTAAAGGGACCAACCGGGGGGTGGGGGAGGGCCCTTCCCTCCATACCTCTCCCTTGCTCCATATTCAGCCTTTCCATTTTTTAGCTCTCGCGGCCCTGACAACCCACCATAATTCTCGTCGTGGCCTTCGAATAGCAAACCCACCCAAATGCCAAAAAAATTTAAGGCGTTTTTTAGAAACGCTAGCTAATTTTTGAAAAATAAAGTGACAACCCGACTTCCGAGCACCTTTAAAGGGGCGTGGCCTCGATGTCCTTAGCAAAAATCTGTATTTTTGGATGTCTTTATCCCTTTAAACCCGACGCCGTATTTTTCTGGTGTTAGAAAACGACATTTTCATTTGATAAAAACCTAGAAATTTTTTCTATTTTGCCATCTTGCCTTGCCTGGCCCTTTAGAGCTTACGAAATTTAGATGAATAATTTGCTGCCGCCATAAAATGGTCGTATTCCATTACGCAATGGAAAGGCGCGCAGGGCGCGTTGCGTGTCGCGGGCGTTCCAGAAAACGGAGAAAATCCACAGCCCTCAAAATCCACCTTCCTGGCTTGCGCGTGCCTTTAAAAGTATCAACAATACCGAATCCTTAGCAAACGTCCCTTTCCTTCTCCTTTAGCGACCAGAGACAATTGGCCGGTTGCCAAGACCACCCCCTATTTTCCACACCCACCCAACCAACGGCCACCCAAAAGGGGGGACCCATTTTCGGGGTATGTGGACCCAGGGCTAAGGTACCTCTATAGAGAGAGAGAGAGACAGCTAGGGGCTGTTGTCAAGGACACTACCCGCCCACAACACAACAAATCCCAACGAAATCCACATTTTTGGGTTCGGTTACACATATATTCTTGACTTTAAGGTGCCTTTAAAAATCTACAGATCCGCAATCTTTGACTTCGGCCGTCCTTTAAACTTTGGTAGCGCTTGAATGGCTCTTTGAAAGTGCACGGACAGATTCAATTGTTCTTAAAAATTGCTTAAAAGGCTCTATAAAGCTTTCAATCTTCTCTCCACCCTTCCCCGTCCTCCTACCATTAATGCGCCGATACCACAACCCTTCAGCATCCCCCTAACCCCGGAATGGAACCCCGAATCTACGTCGACTCCCCGTCACCCGATTCCCCGCCCAGGGGCAAAGAAAATTGGAGCGATGAACATGTAAATTTCCAAAATTTAAGCTAGGAAATGGCATGTGCCTTTAAAAAAGGATCGTCCAGCAATCGTTGACTTCAGGCCCCCTTTAAAATGCAAAGTTTTAGTTGAAATGGCTGTACGAGAACTATGAGGTGGCTGATGGAACATCGCTGCCGAGATGTACGCTGTATGATCATTATAAAAAGTGAGTTAATAATTTTTGACATAGATTTCTCTCACTCTCGCTGTCTTGCTCTCTCTCCCTCGCTCGCTGTCTCTCTCGCTCTCACTCGATTGCTGTCTCTATCGTTCTCTCTCACTCGCTGTCTCTATCGCTCTCTCTCGCTCGCTGTCTCTATCGCTCTCTCGCTTTCTCGCTCTTGCTCTCTCTTGCTCGGTCGCTCTCTCTCTCGCGCTCGGTCGCTCCCTCTCGCTCTCTCTGTCTCTATCGCTCTCTCCCTCTAGCTAGCTACATAGTACAGAAAGCGAGAGCGAGTTAGACAGAGGGAAAGCGTGGGAGGGCGAGAGAGAGAAGAATATCGAATTACCGAAGTCGAATATCCTATTTCTATTATATCATCCTACTTCCAGACATTGTTCCGACATTGGCCTCGACCCAGTCAACGCGGCCAGTTTCGGCAAACTGATCCGTTCCGTCTTTTCCGGGCTTAAAACAAGAAGATTGGGTACGAGGGGCAACAGCAAGTATCACTACTATGGCATACGGTAAGTGGGGCAATTTCTAGAAATGACCAATCTTGACGTTTTTCAGTATTAAACCCCAATCGGCGCTCAACCACTTCCCCGAGGAGTATGGGCACATGTCGAAGAAGTACGGTGATTTCAAATTTTTAAAATTATTAAAAACAGATACCTAAAATCTTAAACTTTTAATAACTGAAAACTATATGCAAAAATTAAATTAATTTTTTAAAAATTAAGAACTGAAACTTTCAGAAAACACCTCCAATCTACTCAAAATCTCAGGCGAAGCGAGCGGTTCACCAAGTAAGTAATGGAGCTAATTTTGAGGCTTTAGGGGGAAGTTAAAGCTTGTAGCTTGTAGTTTGTAACCTGTAGTTTGTAGTCTATACGTTTGCTATTTTTTAGCTCGAACACCTCGTACGCGGCCGAACAGGGGCTGTACAACAACAACTACGAGCGCAACTCCTCCTCCACCACCCCGCAACGTGAGAATAGTACGTTTTTTACGTAACTACGAGATGCTTAGACTTCATTTTTACCGATTCAAGCTTTGAAAACGTTTTTTATACCTTTTTGCAACGAAATTTCAGACCTGGATGGTGAACAACCATACATGCTGGGTGAGGGCCACGTCCCCCGGATATTCCCCGATTTCTCGACGATGGGACCGAATTTGGAGAATTCAAAGGTAGGCTGATTACGGACGACAAAACACTAAAATGTAACTTTTAGTTGGAGCCGGCCCACGTCATGAAACTGGTCAATGGATATCGCGAGAATTGCAGGGTGAGGAGTAGTACACTTGCAGAGGAGCTTGGGCTTAAGCTTAGACTTGCCTGAGGCTCGGTTTAGGCCTGGGCTTAACTTAGGCTTAGGCGTAGGCTTAGGTTTAGGCATAGGCTTAGGCTTGGGCTTGGGTCTAGGCTTAGGGTAGCTCCGGCTTAGCTTAGCTGGCTTAGGATTGGCTCTAGCTTCGGGATGGGCTTGGCTGAAACTTAGGCTTAAGCTCAACCTCGGCTGGGGCTTGGTCTCTCGAGAATTGATATGCTTGGAATTAAGAAGCTTAACCATGAAATTAATGTGATCTGTTTTTCAAGCCTAGTCAGAAGTTAATACCGTCATTTAGGACATTCTAAACAACATCCGAGAACTGCGCTTCGACCTTCTTGAAGAGACCTGGACGGGATTCTGGCAAAATGAGATGATTCGGGAGGAAAGGTACGGTCGACTCAACATTCCGTAGCTTACTGTAACTACGTTTTCAGATATCCGATTATGAAGGGAATCCCGAATATCCAACTCCACGTCCTATGCGCCATTCCTCAGGTAGGCCATTTTTGGCATCAGGTATTTTGGTGGTACCTTAAAAGATAACTTGAAAAATCGAATTTCCCCAAAAATCTCTGCTAGATCGCCTCAACTAGATTTCTCGTGATAGCTCCTTTTTTCCTCCAGAGTCTTTGCTAGTTTGCTTCTATGCCAAAATTCTGACGAGTTCCTCCAGGATCTCTGCTAGATTGCCATTTTTCTAATTTTTAGGTAAATTTTGATTTCCCTAAGAATCCCTGCTAGCTTGCCGGTTAGGCTCGTTCCCTAATAATCTCTGCTTGGCTACCTAGGGCAGGGAAAATTCCTCCAGGGTCTCTGCTGGCTGGCTACTTACTTACCCTATTTTTCTAGTACCCTGCATTTTCCTAAAGTTTCTCTGCTAGCTTGCCAACCCCCTTTTTTCAGGTTCAACAATGGATGGTGCAGACGGACTACTATTTCTACCAAGTTCTCGTTGATGTCCTCGTCCCAAATGTTCTCTGCTCGACCATGCGATGTAAGTAACTTAATACAAGAAATTATATAAAAAGTTTTAGCCGATATGATCACAAAAATTCGGAATGTGGCCAAATATCTGGAGGGCCATATGACAAAGGCATTATTGGGACTGCCGAGTGAATTGGTGGAGCGGAAAGTGGAGGCTGTTCGAGTGTTGGCACAGACATTGAGGAGGTGAGGAAGAGAGAGAGAGAGAGAGAGAGAGAGAGAGAGAGAGAGAGAGAGAGAGAAAGAGAGAGTGAGAGTGAGAGTGAGAGAACGATCGAGAGAGAGTCAAAAAGCGAGAGAGAGGGAGAGAGAGCGAGAGAGATCCATCACAACCCTCAATTTAGATACACCTCCCTGAACCATGTAGCAACAGCCGCCCGAGGTGTCCTCCAGAAAAGCGAACAAATCCAGCAAATGCACGCCGATTTCAACAGGTTTGTTATCGGGGGAATACGGTAAGGCAATCTAGCAGGGATCATTTGGGGAATAGGCAAGCTAGCAGAGATTCTTGACGAAATCTGACACTTCTACTTTCATTCGCCCCTTTCCAGAGTCGAAATGTCATGCGTCCAAGAGCAAGCGGGTTGGGTGTGTGCTTGTGACCCGGGCACGGTTCAGCACTTCCAGAACTCGTTCAAGTAAGTTGACTTCAATGGTCCTTTAAGAGCACTGCATCCGGTTTCCGCTACATTACACTTTACCGCAGTCATTATCCCAAATTTTTAGGGAAAATCTTGAAAAGCAGACGAGCCTCGAGGGGTGGGCCCAGTGGATGGAGGCTGTGCTGGATAATGTAGGATTTTTATTCTACTGTCTTTTTTAAATAAAAGTTAGTATTAAAATTATGTCAATTACGACAATTATAGTTATATTTAGTGTTTTGCAGTTAGTATTTACACTTTTAAATTAATTTATTAATTCATTTTAGTACGTCATCAAATTATGTAAATTGAACAAATTTCGCTAACGATTAAAATTATGCACATTTAGGTGCTCGCCCGCTATCACGACAAGCCCGTCTCCGAGCTGTCCGACGTCGCCAAGCAGTTCTTGCTGAACTGGAGCTTTTATAAGTAAGTTCATTTTTGTTGCCGCGACACGCAACGCGTCAGTCTCCCTTTTCATTGCGTAATCTATTGCGAGGCGCTCATCAAGGAGCTCAAACGACTAGCGCGTTGCGTGTGGCCAAGAAAGCCCAAAAGCATGCCTTGCCCGGCCCTTTAAACCGCTGTAATAATCCTTAAATATTGGCTTTTTTACAGTAACCTGATAATCCGCGACCTGACGCTCCGATCGGCCCATAGTTTCGGTTCCTTCCACCTTCTCCGCCTCCTCTTTGATGACTACATGTTGCATCTGGTCGAACAGAGACTAGCAAAGGTATACATGGCATAATCGATTGCGTCCATAGTAGCATTTTGTAGGCAGCCGGCCGACCCGTGATCACCGTCATGGCCAAGGGGTTCAGGGCAGATTTGATTCTGTTTGAGGAGACGACGCAAGAGGTTAGTTATTCTCCGAAGCAAACCCATCGTTGAGGAGCGCGAAAACTCGCAGTGATCATTGGGGAAGCTCTGACTTTTTGTTATTTTCAGAACCTACTTCCCCATCCAATAAATGGTGAACGTGGAGGGGATGAATGGGAGATGATCACCCATGTTGACATCGAGACTGGCGGAGAATTGATGTATGCTGAGGAGAAAATGGTAATTTTTGGTGGGATCTCAGGCTGACTCGTCCCTTTAAAGATGTAAATGCTATTTTTCAGATGCACTACATGAATGGAGACCAATCAATCGAACGCCAGGTGATACTCGCACAAAATGGAGGTAAGGATTAACAATCTTGAGGAAATAGGCTAACTAGCTGAGATTTTTGAGGAATAAGCAAGCTAGCGGAGATCGCGAGGAAACAGGCTAACTAGCTGAGCTCTTTGCGACAAGTTAGCAGAGATTCTTTAGGAATCGCCGAGCTCCCAGAAGTTCTTGAGAAAAAGCCAGTAGAGTCTGTTAGCTTCTTGAGACACTGGGAGATCTAGCAGAGATCTTTAAGGAAACTGGACAGCTTGCCCTGGTCATTGGGGAAGTGGGCAAGCTAGCAGAAAATATCTCGGAAACCAATTATCAAACCCTTATGATTTTCAGACGAAATCGGTGACGGAAAACCGTTGGACAAGTGAGGTCATCGTAAAATTCTCTAAGAAAAGCCAATTGTGATATTTTTTGTACTTTTTGCTTTGTATTTTTTGATTTTGTGCATTTTCCTCCTCTATCTTGGCATCGCGCCAACATTTGCCTAAACAGTGCCATTTTTGTAAGTATTAAGTCTAAGCCCTGCAACTCGCTGGATCTCATTTTTTGATTGTTTTCGTGATTACATAGCTTATTAGATTTTTTTGCATTTTCCTTGCCAATCCCACCCGCTAGCCCGTTTCAGAATAAATATTTTTGTGTGGTTGAATTATTTTTAGTTCGCATTTTATGCAAATTTATGCAAATTTGGAAGGGATAAATTTCTGTTTTTCTGGAATTGGGGAGGGGGTCACCGCTTGCCACAAAACACGTAATAAGTTAGCACGTTTCGAGAGGGGAATGGGAAGGGAAGGGGAGAAGGGAAAAAGATCAGGGAAATGAGAGCGAGCAGTACAGTATGCAAATATCAAAAATGACAATTCAGAAATGGTAGGCGCAACATTGCAGTTCGTTTTGCATCCTCATCGTTTCGAGGATTGTGTCGTCGGGGAAGGCATTGGCATTGGTTGTCGTTTAGAAAACTGAAAAATCGAGTTTCCGGAAAAATTTTTACGTGTAGTTTGACTTTAACGCTCCTTTGAATTTTATACGGTGCTCCTCAAGGATCTTTGCCAGCTGTTTGTTCTATTTTTTTGAGAAGGTGCTTTTCAGGAAGGATCTCCGCCAGCTAGCCTACCCGCCAGAAAATCGTCAAAGGGCTGTTTTCCTCAATAATCTCTGCTAGCTACCTAACCTAAAAAAAATCTGTAGAATCCTTAATACCTCTAAGTGCCTAAAAATTGAAATTCCTCAAGAATCCCTGCTGGCTAGCCCCATACAGGTTCACAAAACCCCGCTTCCCCAATAATCTCCGCTACTGCCCCGCGGATTTTTGGAAATCCTAGAAAAATCCTGCAAAATTCCTCAATAACCCCTGCTACCTCCTTGCTCCTTGATAACATACCGTATCCAAGTGCCCGTCCATCATTTGGAATCGGCATCGGTGGCAAGGTCGGTTCCTCCTTTGGTGCGGCAGCAGGAGCAGCTGTCTCGTATCCTTCCGCGGCAGTCGGCTTCTCCTCAGCGGGGGCGGCAGGCTCATCCTTTGATGCTTCGGCTCCGGCTCCGGCGGCTCCAGCTCCAGCTTCAGGTTTCTTCTCAGCCTCGGCGGCTGGGGTTTCGTATCCTCCGGCCGCTGCTCCAGCTTCGGCTGGCTTTTCGGCTTCCTCCGGCTTCTTCTCTTCCAAGGCTGGCTTTTCAACTTCTGCGGCAGGGGCGGGGGTTTCGTCTCCACCGGCGGCACTTCCGGCTTCGGCGGGCTTCTCGACTTCCGCAGCTGGCTTCTCCTCGGCCTTCTCTTCCGGCTTGCTTTCAGCTGGGGCATCATATCCTCCAGCAGCGGCTCCGGCTTCAGCAGGCTTCTCGGCTTCGGGCTTGGCTTCAGCGGCAGGAGCCTCATCTTTCTTCTCCTCAGGCTTGGCTGCCTCGGCGGCGGGCTTCTCAGCCTCCGCAGCTGGGGCTTCAGGGGCCTTCTCCTCAGCTGGTTTCTCCTCAGGCTTGGCTTCAGCCGGGGCTTCATAACCGCCAGCAGCAGCTCCAGCATCAGCCGACTTCTCAGCTTCGGGCTTGGCCTCCTCGACGGGCTTCTCGGCTTCGGCCGCAGGAGCCTCATCCTTCTTCTCTTGCTTGGCTTCGGCGGCAGGGACATCATAGCTTCCGGCGGCGGCTCCAGCATCAGCAGGTTTCTCGGCCTCAGCAGGCTTCTCCTCTGGCTTCACCTCCTCAGCAGCGGGCTTCTCAGCCTCAGCAGCTGGGGCAGGCGCGTCGTATCCTCCAGCAGCGGCTCCAGCCTCAGCCGGCTTCTCAGCTTCGGCGGCCGGAGCTTCAGGGGCTTTCTCCACGGGCTTAGCCTCCTCAGCGGCTGGTTTCTCGGCTTCAGTAGTTTCAGGAGCTGTTGCGTATCCAGAGTTGGCGCTCCCGGCCTCGGCGGCTGGGGTTTCGGGTGCCTTCTCTTCTGGTTTCTTCTCCTCGGCAGGGGCCTCATATCCTCCAGCAGCAGTTCCGGCATCAGCTGGCTTTTCGGCTTCGGCAGCAGTCTTCGCCTCGGGCTTCGCTTCTTCAGCCGTTTGCTTCTCAGCTTCGGCAGCGGGAGCAGGAGCGTCGTAGCTTCCAGCAGCAGCTCCGGCATCTGTTGGCTTTTCGGCCTCGGCAGCGGGGGCTTCAGGGGCCTTCTCTTCCGGCTTGGCCTCCTCGGCAGGCTTCTCCTCAGGCTTAGCTTCGGCAGGGGCGTCGTATCCACCGGCAGCATTTCCGGCTTCAGCTGGCTTCTCGGCCTCAGTAGCAGGAGCGTCATCCTTCTTCTCCCCAGGCTTGGCTTCCTCAGCAACAGGCTTTTCAGCTTCAGTGGCCGGGGCGTCATAGCCTCCAGCGGCGGCTCCAGCGTCGGCAGGTTTCTCGGCCTCAGCAGCCGGCGCTTCGAGGGCTTTCTCTTCAGGCTTCTTTTCCTCGGTGTCTGGCTTTGCAGCTTCAGCGGCAGGGGCAGGAGCATCGTAACCTCCAGCGGCAGCTCCAGCTTCGGCGGGCTTCTCGGCTTCAGCAGCAGGCTTCTCTTCAGCCTTCTCCTCAGGCTTCGCTTCATAACCTCCCGCAGCGGCTCCAGCTTCGGCAGGCTTTTCAGCCTCGGACTTGTCTTCAGCCGCAGGGGCTTCGTCTTTCTTTTCCTCCGCAGCGGGCTTCTCAGTCTCAGCGGCAGGGGCGGGAGCGTCGTATCCTCCAGCTGCAGCTCCAGTCACGGCAGGCTTTTCGGTTTCCGCGACGGGGGCTTCAGGAGCTTTCTCCTCAGCCTTAGCCTCCTCAGCCGCAGGTTTCTGGGCTTCGGTGGAAGGAGCAGGAGCATCGTAACCTCCAGCGGCGGCTCCAGCATCAACAGGCTTCTCGGCTTCAGCGGCAGGCGCGGGCGCTTCTTCGGCCGGCTTAGGCGTCTCCGCAGCTGGGACAGGGGCATCATATCCTCCGGCAGCTGCTCCAGCCTCGGCGGGCTTCTCTTCTGGCTTAGCTTCCTCCTTGGGGGCTTCGGGCTTCGCTTCGGCGGCAGGTGCAGGGACATCATATCCACCAGCGGCAGCTCCCGCTTCAGCAGATTTCTCAGCCTCAGCAGCAGGTGCTGGCTTGGCCTCCTCAGCAGGCTTCTTGGTCTCAGGAGCAGAAGCAGGAGCAGGAGCATCATAGCCGCCGGCAGCTGCTCCGGCATCGGCCGGCTTCTCAGCAGGCTTTTCCTCTGGCTTAGACTCGGCTACAGGGGCATCATATCCTCCAGCGGCGGCTCCAGCTTCGGCTGCGGGCTTGGCTTCTTCAGCAGGCTTTGGCGTCTCAGCAGCTAGAGCGGGAGCATCATATCCAGTGGCCTCAGCAGCTGGTGCAGGCTTCGACTCCTCAGGCTTGGCTTCAACGGGGGCAGCCGGGGCGTCGTATCCTCCAGCGGCGTCAGCAGCATGAGCAGCATTATACGCTTCCGTGTCTCTGGCCTTCTTCACCTTGGCAGCGGCGGCGAACTCGGGATGCCAGGCGAACACGTTCAAGAAGTTGTCCTCATTGATTTTGCTCACCGGGTAGATGCCGTTCGGCTGAAAAAAAATGGATTGGAATTTGATTGCATTTTCGCTTAAAAATTTTTGTTTGGAGGAAAAATTACTTTTGTTTTTGTAAGAATTTTTGTACCCTACCGTATTAATCGCAAATTCGCCAGTCGATTCAGCGGCCCTGAGCGCTTCGATGGCACGCTGGATTCGTTCTCTAAAGCGAAGGATGTTGCGTACAGCGTATTGTATCGTACTGTAGTGGGGCGGCTGTGGAGAGGACGAGGAGTGAGCCGAGTAGAAGTAGGCTCCTCATCTACAAAAAAAGGTTAATGACGGAATTGCGTAGCGTATAAAATAATCAAACAGGAAAAAATAACAAAATACGGTTCGATACGCAAGGGCCTGACTTACGTATGGTTGAATACGGTAAGCTACGGGCCGATAGGCTACGTTCTGACACGTTAGAGGTACGGTAGGGACAAATTTGTAATAAGGGATCATAGCTACGTTTTGAGACCGTTAAGTTATGCTACATTAAGGAACCTTAGACTACGCAGCGCTACGCTACGGTACGTTAACCAGATACGCAAGTTAAGCTGGTTGATGACAGCTTATCGTGGGCATCGTGAGGGTAGGGAAGTGTTCTGTTAGTTAAATTAGATAGTGTAGAATCGAGGATACAGTTGATAATTACGATAAGCTACGCAAAGATACGGTAGCCTACGTAAAAATACGGTAGGCTACGCAAAGATGCGCTAGACTCCGGAAAGATACGATAAAAACACTGAAAAACGTTGCTATAGTGCAGAAGCCAGGCGGCACGTGTAAAATTTTCAGCCCATCTACCCTTATATCCAAGCTCTACGGTCGAAAAGCTGAGTGGATTATCGGAGACTGACGGCTGGCTAGAAAATGCCTGCTGGGCGTTTTGGACGGGAGGGAGGAGCAGAGTTGGAGTGGAGGAAAAAAAGCTCGAGCCACAGGGCCTAGCGGCAGCTGGAACAGTGGACGAGATCCAGAACGCTTAGCGGTAAATCTTTAGACGGACCGTCATTGGGGTGTCAAACGGAATCTCTACATTCGGACCTGTCACTTTGCCGTAAATTTTGTGGCAAGAAACCCCTGAACAGCTATAAACTCTCCAGACATTTGCTTAAAAGCATGTCAGGGTTCTCGCTACGGTAGCTACAAATATCAGAGTGAAAATAGACTCGAAAAAGGTATCATTAAACCAAAATATAACATTCACCAAATCCATAAGATTTTCTGGCTTCTGAGTCCCTTTAAAAATGGAAAATAGCAAAGATAAGAGCAAAAATAAGCAGAACCAAATTAAAAATATAATAATAATCATCTTTAAAGTCAAGAACAGCCAGAATATATCGTAAAGAAACGGAATTCCCATATTCCGGCAGGATACTGCAACCAGGACTACGGTATATGCGTGTGGATAGGAGTGTAAGGGAGCTAGGGGGAGGGAAAGGAATGGCACGACTGTCCAGCCCCTCCTTTATACCGTCCAAAGTTTCGGTCCGTAGGGGAATGGGAGAAGGAGAGAGAGAGAGAGAGAGAGATAGAGAGAGAGAGTGAGAGAGAGAGAGAGAGAGAGAGAGAGAGAGAAAGAGACTGGGGGAAGGGGAGGGGCTATCGCATGTCTTTAGGTAAAAAACGCAACGATAGTGGGAAAAGAACACCTAGAAAGAATAATCTTTTTGTTTTAAGTGAATGTGTGATATTGGCGCTGTATTGTCTCAACTTTTGCAGTATTAGATGACCCCTTGAGGTGATGGAAATCATATCAGTTTTTTCGTGAAGTGACCGGAGGGTAGGGGTACCGTACTTTCCGAAAATCGTTTTTTGTTCTACTAGCTTTGGTGTTTGATATCTAGAGATAGAGATAAAGAGAGAGCGAGAGAGAGAGAGAGAGAGAGAGAGAGAGAGAAAGGGAGCAAGAGAGAGTGGAGGGGAAGGATAGAAGGCTATTTTTATTAATTTTTTAAGCTTTCGTTGAGAGCTACAGCTATGAAATCGGCTACTTTTTTTAATCCGGTATACTCATGCTCACAGGCTACAGCCAAGCAAAGACGGTGGCAGATCACGATCCCCAATCTCATAAATCCCAACGGGATACTCATAGCGCCATTAGAAAACACACATTAAGCCTCGATAAGAAGTCTTGATGTCTAGCTTTCTCTTTTCTCTGGCGCGATCTTTGTCTCTCTCGCTCTCGCTGTCATTATTTATCAACGGAACGTTAATACGTTATTCTACAGTATCTTGCTAATCCGGCTGCCTGGCCCGTTTTTCTAATGCCTGTTTTTTCCTAGCTTTCGCTCTACCGCTCTCTATCTCTCTCTATCTCTCTCTCTCTATCTCTCTCTCACTCTCTCTCGCTCTGTATCTCTCTTCCCCTCAGGCTATCCGCCTCCCGTCATCCCCTCGATCCCAAAAAAGACCATAGCCTTGTCTATCTGTGTGTGTGGATGTGTGTGGAAGACTGTTCTTGGAAGCCAATTTGCTCAGCATTACTCATTTTATAGATGCCAGTTTTGGATAGAGAGGGAAGGTGGATAGTCTGCCATCCACCAAATGGCATCGGAATGCTCGTTATCTGTCATTAAGCGTACGCTACGTTACAGAAAACGTTCCTAGGTGTGTTCTGGCAAGTAGCAAAAAAATCGGGCCGAATACTTCGGTCCTTGCATTAATGAAACGCGCCCAATGCTTCGAGGCCATCATAAAGTGATTTTGCCGAAAAGTATCTCCTAAATAGCGCCTTTAAAAATGATTTAAAGGGACGGGCAAGGCATGGCCGTGGATTCTCGCCATAGAAACACTATGGATTTTGGGTCCCACTACGACACGCAACGCACCGAACGCACCGAAACCGTCAAGCAGATGCGCATTGCATGCCGCGGCCGGCTCCATAGCTATTAAAAATCCATACCCATGCCCTTACCCGCCCCTTTAAACTCTATTTTCTTAACCCGAACCGATAAAAGCCAGTTCGTCGCAGGTGGCCATCTTCCAGCCACCACCTCCTCCTCCTCGCCCTTCCATTCCACCTGCGAACAGATGACGATCAAGCTGGATGGCCAGTAGTCGGAATAGGATGGCAGGACTGAAATCGACCCTTCCTCCATCCCTTACGAATCCATACTTTCCACCCGAGCCATCGCACTAGGGGGACACTTTCCCTCTAGCCTCGCGAGTCTTTTGGGGAAAGTGGGACTCAATTCCGTGTTTCGCTTTTTAGACTTTTTTTAGACTACGGGGCTGGCTAGTAGCTGCAGGTTCTGGGGAGGCTAACAAAGAGTTTTTAGGAAATTGCAGGGCCCCGGGACGGCAGGATAGCAGGGATTCTTTGCGGAATACTAGACCTCTAGGGAGGGCAAGCTAGCAGAGAATTTTTAGGAGCCGCCGGTCCCCAAAGAAGAATAGGCTAGCCGAAATCCTTGAGGAAAAACAGTGGGTCACGAAGCTATGGAAGCTAGGAGGGATTATTTGGGTTCTGAGATATTGGCAATCCAGCAGAGATTCTTGAGAGGAGCCATAAGTAAGCTAGAGAACTTGTAATTCTCTTCCACTAATGCGCAGGAAAACATCGTTCGGGCTAGCTAGCGGAGATCACTAGGGAATTTGCTTCGATTCGTGAAACTCGTATCTGCTCGTACGCTCCGGACTCACAGCTTCTGGAGGATTCGCGGGCGGATTAGCCGAGATTTTTTCAGTATCAGATATGCTCAGCTCCTTTAGACGTTCCCCTTTCCATTAATGCCCATTTACAGGAGGCAATCTAGCCGAGATCATTAGGGATCCCTGTGCCTCATCTTATCTGTAGACTCAATCGGTCCATCCGAACATAAATCCAGGAGTGTCTGGCTGGAAGGCGAAGGTGACGTTCCTTGTGGAACGGCTCTCTCCTGCCAACCGGATCCTACAGAAGATTTGCATCTATACCCTCAAGCTATGGCATGGAGAGAGAGAGAGAGAGAGAGAGAGAGAGAGAGAGCGAGGGGGGAATGGCAACAGATGACCTCAACCGCCTCAGGAGAAAAAGCAAGGGGGATGGCTTGAAAGGAATGGCTTGAAGGGATGGCCAATGGCCCGCAACGACCCCATACTATCCACACACCCACGCACACACAAACAGACAAACAGACAAACAGACACACAATCACACGTACAGCCCCCGTCGAGAGGAATGAAATGGAATCCAAAAGGCAATGGTGCGTCGTTTGCTGCGTGGGAATTCTATTGGTATGCTCTGCAAAACTTTTGGGAAGAGACGGAAATGGGGGCAAGTCATCGCTAAAAATCTGTCTTTTTAGAGCAACCAGATACTGTAGTTTGTTAAGGGGACAAAATTTAGAAAATATGTGATTTCCAGTACTTGACTTTTTTTTATTCTAGTACTCCGCGAAATTTCAATTTTTTTTTTATGCTATAGCCGCGGCGTAGCCGCTTACGATACTGTATTTTTACTAGATTCTGCGTGAAGAGGTTTAAATTCTTGAATTATGGTGAAAATTACCGTACTCTAAAGATGCCTGACGCTGCCGCGGCGCGTTCCAAATCCTTGAGTTATGCGCGCCCGGTTTTAAAGGGACGAACAAGCTAGCTGATAGGTACTTCCCAAGCGTGTTTTGATGCCCTACATCGCTCTCCGTTTCTCTCTCTCTCTCAACTCTCTCACACACTCACTCGCCAGCGTGTGACCGAGACAATTCCCGTGTCTTTTTTGCTCTTACCATCCTCACGTGCTCGCCCAAGTGTTCTAAGATCTTCTACCACTAGTTGGTGTATAATTGGGACGGGCTGACGTTCGACTACCCTCAGGAATTGACCCTAGAAGTGGCAGACAGGCGAGAAAGAGAAAGGGAGAGAGAGAGAGAGAGACAGACAGACAGACAGACAGACAGACAGACAGACAGACAGACAGACAGACAGACAGACAGACAGACAGACAGACAGAGACAGAAATGTCTCGAACCATTTGCCCCATTGCTACAATTTGCCCTTTCTCAACTCGGAGCTTTCCCCGCCAGTGGTGTCTATTGGAGCATGGCGTAGTTGAGGGAGAAACGTGGGGTGAAAGCTACAATGGATGTATCGCCTTTCAGGATGTGTTGCTACTTTGGTCTGATATTGAGGGACGGTATGGCAAGATGGAATGGCTTGACAGGTTGGGCAGATTTAGCTTGAGCTCTTTTAAAGGGACGGGTAAGGCATGGCTATGGATTTTTCTAGTTTATCCTTTTCCAGCCTCCGCGACACGCAACGCGCGCAATCGCGTTGCCGTAAATTCCATCTGAACGAGCCGTATTGAATTGCGCAATCGCTCGGTTGTATGCGTTGCGTGTCGCGGCGCAGTCGTTTAAATCCTCAAAAACATCCCTTCGAAACGCACACGTTCCTATTTTCGGTATCAATGGTTATTTTGCACGTTTCCGACAAGCGCGTTGCGTCCAGCGGCTAAGACCAAAATTCATGGAAAATAAATGGACACAACTTGCCATCTTCTTTAAGTGCCTCTACATCATTAGAATTCAAGTTTTAGGCATTTTATGGCTACAGATCTTGACCAAACATCCGAAAGGTATCGGCGCAATCGGTGCGATCAAAAAGTGTCAACCCTAAAAAATCCGATTTTCCGGCGAGCGCTATCGTAATTATTGACTACGTGATTAGCCAAAGATCTGCCAGCGGGAAAGAGAGAGAGAGAGAGAGAGAGAGAGAGAGAGAGAGAGAGAGAGGGAGAGAGACAGACAGACAGACAGCGAGCGAGCAACACAACGCTAAAACGATGCTCACTGAAGTTTCCAAAACGCAGTGAGTTGATCAGCATTTCGGTGAAAGTTGCATTATCAGTCCACCGCGGGTGCTACCGAGTTTTCCGAGAAGCTCCGCGCTACGGCCGACCGCCAAGACACTGTCAAATTTATTCTCCGCGAAGAAAAGACTCTGTGGGGGCAACAAATGAGACCGATTAGTACTGCACAACATCCCAGGGGCGTTCAAAATAAATAAAATAGGGAAAAATCGATAAATAAGACTGGTTTGAACAGGAAATCAGTCTAAAAACGTTGGGTTTCAAGTATCCATATAATTGCACAAATTTAGAGCGTAAACTGAACGTAATGTACTGGAAATTCACTACACTGCACTCCAGTTTACGCTCAGATCCTGTGGTCTCTTTTCGGAACACCGTAATTTCTGTAGAACTCTTCAAAGTCGTCAAATTCAGATGTAAAAACCACAAAATTCATAACAACAATAATAGATATAACAAAAATACTATAATTCGCTATTTTTACTTTTAGAATTCATCGCGAACGTGTGCCCCAGCGGGGGCTGGCTTTGGCGGTGTCTTCTTCGTCTGCACGTCGGCCAGGTTGATCGACTCGGAGGCGACTTGGAACCATTGGTCCTCTTCTTGCACCTAAAAGTGTGTTGTTGTTAAGGAATTTTATACTAGGATTGTTGTAACTTAAATTTAAAGTGAAAGCTTACCGCCAAACCGGCCAACTTGCGCGCACCTTGCACGAGCTTCACCGAAAGAGCCCATTCACCCTGAAAGTTAGTTTTTATTTACTATATAATAAATAATCATAAATTAAATACCTATAATATACTTAGTTAACGATAAACCGAAAACCCACATCAAGCTGTGGCACCGGAAGTGGTCCCATATCGATGAGACCTGATTGCTCGGGGCCCATACCGGCGGTCAGCTCGACGAGGTCGAACTGGCCGACCGTCTCCAGCAGCTTGCACTTGTCCTGGGCGAATTTGCACAGCGGGAAGTCGCTATAATGAGAATATTATTAAACGTGTTTATAATGTTAAAGAAAGTTGCTAAATTCCCAAAGTTCGGATTTTGATAAACACGGCAGAAAAATGCCTAAAATCGGTGTTTTTCGAGTGAACTTTCTCGAAAAACGCTATCTTTCAGCAACCGTTATAAGATGGGTCTTGCTCAGAAACTCATGCTCTATCGGATGAGCTATACTAGCAATAGCTGTATCCTTCGGCATTCGATAAAACTTACCAAACTTCAGCGGGCACAAACTGGTTCTTGCTCTTTCCGTTCTCGCACACGGTCCCGATCATCCACGAGTTCTTCTCCAGCGAGATGTGCAGCTTCAAATCGCCCTCCGATTCCTTCACAGCGCGATTCACCAGCACTTTGCCTAAAGAAAAAATTGGGTACTGGTTTGTTAACGGGGGGGGTAACGGGGAACTCCGGTTGGGGCCGGTAGGGTCCCAATGATAAAATATACATATTTATATAACTTTATACTCGTTTTAAAGTATAGAAAACTCAAAAATCGCAGTAAAATTCTCGGAAATTTTTTTTAGTTTTGGTTAGAAACTTCATTCTATTCCTCATTCATTCATTCATTCATTCTAACTTAGAATGCAGGACAATTATAAAGAATTTCGACTGATCTCAAACTTCTACGTTTCTAAATTATTGTATTTTATTTTTCCTATGTTTCATGGCTTTTCAGTAATCAAAATTTCCCAAAAACGCTAAGAAAAGCACTATAAAACGCAAAGAAGTTTTCGAAGCCATGTATTGGCTAGTTAGCCCCCCCCCCCCCGTTAATAGTCCAGCACCAAAACTTTTTTTGCATTCACCCGAACACCACACAGCAATGATACCCCCCACTACATTGGATAGGCGTGCAATCACGAACCTGATTTGAACTTGAAATAGCCGGGGAAGTTCCACACCCCCTTTCGGCCATCACAGGCCGGCTGCTTCTTCTGAAAAAGAAAGGGAGCCGTACTACACGCCGTTTCCGATCATACCCCATCATAAGTGAGCAGCTGCACGTTCTGGAACTCCACTCGACCCTTCCCTGAAAAACACTGGGGGTTTTTTTGGGATCAAGGGGTTGGCAGATTTTTAAAATTCGCCAATCTTCAAAAATCCCGGGCTTTCTATCGATTCGAGCTAGCGGGGCTATGCAACGTCTTCTAACGAGGGCTTATCAAGACCGCGTAAATCAAACACGGCCACCGTTCGGCTGAACCTCGTTTATCAGCCCCCGATAAAGCCTGGGCTAGCCAGTCACTAGGGCAATAAATTAGAATCCACGAAAGACAGAAAGCTACTGTCGAAACTTTGGTTCTTTTGCATTATCGAGGGGAATGAACTCTTTTTCAGGATCCAATTTTCACCTATCATGCGCGGAAGTCTTTCTGAAAGCGCTGTTACTATGCCTAATCGTGAAAACTTTACAAATATCGATTTTTCGAACAAAAACGGACGATATTTTACCAAATTTTCGATCTATCAATTTTTTTAGTTTTTAGATAGGTTGTCTAGCTGAAAGACAGTTACATTGGACCAAAAAAACTCCAAAAATACTCCCAATTAAGTTACTAGACCCTTATAGACTTCCACAAAAAGCCCCCCGATAATGCGAAAGAAGGAAAATTTATACGGTTTTGTAGATATGAAAAACCCAACGACCTAAAAAACCCGGCCAGGCCGAAAATTTCAAACGTACTTTACAGGTGCTAGGAACGCTAGAACACTCCCATAAAAAAATTAGCTAAAAAGCGTCCAAGAACCACACGACCCTGACGTACCTTTCATAATATCGTGAATCTCCAGAATATTGTCCACCCCATCCTCACACGCCAGAATCGAGGCGACGAAGAGCGCTGCCGAGAAAAGAACTACCCGCATTTTTCTTTGGTCGCCTGAAAGGGGCTAAAAATGGGATAAAACTTCCAAAGCTTAAACTTTTCACATTGAAAACATCAAAAAAAAAAGCTTAAAGGGGCTTTAACGTGTCACTAAGCCGAGCAAGGAATCTTATGTAAGTCTAATAATACTAAAAAATGACCGATAAAAAGATATGAATACCAAGAAACGCGTGAACACTTGGCTTGCAGCTTATAAGATTGACGGCTTGCCGCCAGTACTGTGAAATGGGTGGGTAGGCAGCGAAGTGAGGGCCGGCTGATAAGCCCTTGGAACTGACACGTTTATCCAGCCGCCGCTGATTTGGCCTTGTAAAAGGCGGAGACCCCCGCGTTAGTCCACGTTGCTTTAGGCCTAAAGGGTACGAGCAAATGGATTTGATAATTTATGGCAAAATTTGATTATCTCAGTACCAGAGGAATAGTGATTGGGTCGGAAAAACTGGGTAAAACTGGCTAAAAATACCTAAAAATGGCGAAAGATGGCTGAAACAACCGTTCGCACCCGGCTCGTGCAACGAAAGCGAAATTCCGGTCAGCTGGGGAGGACGAGCCGACGCGACTCCTCTACAATCCATTCGGCTGACCTCCCGACCCGGGCTAATCGCCCCCCGAAACCCTGGGATGCACCTCAAGGCTCCAGTTCTGAGGCTGAAGGAGGGTTCGAAAAAATGTTAGGCCAATATCACCAAATTCATCAAAAGAATCGAGGTCGCCTCAAATGGTCAGCTCCATTTCCGGGTTTTTGAAATATAAACATTGCAAAGTGGCAAACGATGTTGCAGTTTCCCATCGGATTGCAATCAGAGGCCTGCAAAGTCTTTTCTGAAAGTCCAACATGTTGGACTTAGCAGACTATAGCAGAAGCTGTAGACGTTGTACGGCTAAAAATGAGTGTTCTAATTAAATCATTTTTAAACCATTTGTGGATCTTTGTCTTATAGACGGTATTTTTAGTTACCGCGCCAATTTTTGAAGTGGAATTAAATTCCCAAAAATACCCAAAAAAAACATTTTAAAAACTAACCAGTTTCTAGGGTACGAAGCGCTACTACACTGGTCCGCATAATTATGGAGCCACCCACAATTTTCCGAAAATCTCAATTTCTGGTGGCTTTCGTGAAACACTTTCTATTAGTGAAAGAAGCCGTATACCATCACAACTTTACACAACAAGTCCGTTTTTTGATTCGACGACACAAAAAATTTTAACGAAAACTTTCGCCTAAAACGCTCTTTGGAAAACACGCATAATTATGGAGCCACTCGAGTTCTTCACTTATTCTTTTTTTCGTTATCCACACAACCATACTGTTTTCTTTTAAACGTAATTAGTGGATTATTATTTTGCTGGATGACACGCGGGAAAGCCCTATCTGACGTTGAAAAGGGTCAAATGATGCGAAATTGACACAGGGCCTGTCACATCGACAAATCGCTCCGGATATGGGCGGAAGCCACAAAATTATCGACAATTTCGCCAAAGATCCAACTGGATATGGAAAAGCAGTACGCCCAGGCCATCCCCTACTCTTTTCCGATCGTGAAACCGACTCATAATTCAGAAGGCATCCAACCAAATCACGGCCGCTGCCCGAATTAAAGCCGATTTGAGGCTAGATTTCTCGACAGAAACCATCCGAAGCGTGTTTTCGAAGAGCAACTTCATCAACTGGAGGAGTATGAAAAAAGCTCCGATGGTCGTCCAATGCCATCGCCAAGATCGTGTCGCAATTGTTCGGCGAAATCAGCGGATAGACAGGCGAAAAGTAAGGGTTCTTTAAAAGGCTCAAAAGCTCTTCAATTAATTTTTTGTGACGAGAAGAAGTTTAAATGTGATTCCCCAGACGTGTTCCGCCACTATTGGCACAATTTGCAAAAAGACCAGCTCCGATTTGCCCGACGCAACTTTCGAGGCGGCAGCGTCGTGATGTGGGCAGCCATTTCTTCAGAAGGACCAGTAAAATTGTGCTTCGTCTCTCATAAAATGAACGGAGTCGGCTACCGACAAACGTTGCGATGGGGAAATCTGCCATTTTGGCGAAGAAATCGGAAGCGAAGGTTCATTTTTCTGCAAGATGGGGGTCCCCCAGTCGAACTCAGGACTGGTGTCAACGGCGAGGAATCGATCTTCTGGCCTGGCCAACCTGTTCCTCTGCTCTGAACATCACCGAAAACGTTCAGGGGTCCATGGTACGCAAGATTTACCATGGAAACAAGACTTATCGGAACGTAGGCCAGCCCAAGAAGGCCATAATCGACGCATCAAGTCGACCAAAAGCTGCTCGATTGCCTCTATCTGAGCATCGACAGCCGTCTTTTCCAGCTGGTACAAAGAAATGTAGCCGCCACCGATTCTTGGAATTGTTTTCAGCGATTTCTTATAGATTTTCCATATTTTATAAAAAATTTTCCAGAGTGGCTCCATAATTATGCGTTTTTTCCAAAGAGCCTTTTAGGCGAAAGTTTTCGTTAAATTTTTTTGTGTCGTCGAATCAAAAAACGGACTTGTTGTGTAAAGTTGTGATGGTATACGGCTTCTTTCACTAATAGAAAGTGTTTCACGAAAGCCACCAGAAATTGAGATTTTCGGAAAATTGTGGGTGGCTCCATAATTATGCGGAGCAGTGTATAAACAAAAGAGCGTAAACAGGATGTACGTGTACACTTCACCCGGGCGAAAAAAATTTCAAATTTTATTTTCTTCCCGAAAATTTTCGAAAAATGGTCGAAGCCAAGAAGGATTCGAAGAAGCCCAGGTAATAACTTCCGGGATTTATTTTGAACTTTTGCATCCACGCTTTGTCCCTCTCTCTTTTATACTCTACCATTAGCTGTTTATTTGCTCTGTAGACCCGTGAGACGGTGTTATCTGTCGCATCTGCTCTTTGCTCGCTCTCTCAAATGCCTCCATCGCCGTCTGAGTCTCTCCCATTGGTCTTGCCGCGAAAAGCTCTGTTCGTGTGCTGTCTCCTCGTTGTGCAATCCCGGGGATACAAACTGCAAGAATGGGCCCACTTCCCACGTTTAACTTTTTTATCACTGAAAATTAAATTATATTCCAGAAAAGCACCAAGAATGGCGTCTGATGAGGGAACTGCAGCCGCTGGATCGTCCCGGGGACGTGGAGGTACCTGTTTTACTGTTTTTTTTTGTTCTGCGGAATCTTCTCTCTTGGTCTTCGTCTCTAAGTCAAATTTTTAGGACATCGCGGAGGCGGTGGTGGTGGCCGTGGACGTGGCGGAGGCCGTGGTTCAGACCGGCCACAAGGCAGACATCATGGCGATCAAAAAGAGAAGCAGCGCGAGCTGACCAATCGCAAGGTCGACATGCGCAAATACGACAAGATGATCGCCTACAATGAAAACAACTTCTCCGACATTGTTCAAGTTGACCCGGTCAAGGATGAGTGCACGATTTGTTGCAAGGTTCGTTTTAGCTACTTCATATGAGGGTCATTCCATTTTTTTTTACTACTTGGATAACTTCTTTTTTTAGCTGAACGACGTCTTTGGCGTTGGTCCTTGCCGACATCCAATTTGTATCGAGTGCGCTATCCGCTTACGGTAAAACAAATATTGTTTTGGCTAAACGATATTTTTAGGGTCTTGGGCGGTCAAACGACTTGTCCGGTGTGCCGTAGTGAAGTGGATATTGTAAGATCCTTCAGCAAATTTTGATATCAATATTTTTAGATGTGCTTCGGCTTCGCAAAATCTGACCTATCGAAGATTCGGTTAGAGGGTACGCCTTCAAAACATCCGGACGAAGAGCGGTTCAAAGTCACGTAATCCAGCTATATTTTTGCGTGATCTAAAGAAATGTTTAGGTTTGAGAACGAAGCGGCCGGTATCCGATACGAGAAGTACTTGGCCCACGTGTGCAAAATTTGCAAGATGTAGGCGCTTTTTCGATCGCTCTGAACGTATGTTGTTTCAGGGAGGACGGGGAACGCTTGGAATTTCCGACTTTCGTTTCGTTGCGCCAGCACATGAGCGAAATACATCATCTCAGCTATTGCCACATATGCACCGACAACCTGAATTTGTTTTCTCGTGAAAGGAAGACTTATACAAGGTTTTTACCGTTTTCTGGTTTATTTTGAAGTTTCAGGGAGAACTTGACGCGCCATCTCAAGTTTGGCGACCCGGAAGACAAAAGCCAGACTGGTAGGAGACGGTTTTCCTTGAGTTAATTTTGTTTTAGGCCATCCGACCTGCTTATTCTGCGATCAGCGTTTCTTCGACGAAGAGCTGCGCTATCGTCACTTGCGAAAGGACCACTTCTTTTGCCAGTTTTGCGAAGCGGCCGGCACGTCGCTGAACACTTTCTACGGGTATTCATCATGCTTTATTACTTATTTTATGTTTTTAGGAAACACGATGAACTTGTGGCCCATTATGTCGAGAAGCACTATGTGTGCGATGTGCCCGAGTGTAAACAAGCTGGAATCGCCTTTGCTGATCCTTTCGATTTGAAGATTCACAAGGTAGCCTCAAAATCAGTTGCGTTAGCGTTCTTTTAGTCAAAAGATCATGGAAACAGCCGGCAAGGCATTCAGCTCGACTTTCAATATTCGGATCGCCAACTCGGACGCGGTGCCCTTTCGGGTAGAGGACGTGGTGGAAGACCGGAACGACCGGCGCGTGAAGAAAGGTGTTGGAGTTTTTTAGGCCTCTTACATAATTTTTTAGGCCTACCGGTTCTCAAACATCCCGCTCTCTCAATGTTGTTCCGGCCGAGCGGCCTGAGCAACCGGTCGATAGGCAAGCCGAATTTTCAAATTAACTGACCGTAATCTAGGCCGGAATTTGTGGTGGTCCCCTCGGCCCAATATCGTGGCCCTATCCGCTTCTCCACTGCTCCGGCCTACAACACGTCTGCCAATGCCGAACAATTCCCCTCGTTGCCCGGTTCATCCGCCCCTGCTGCGGCCGTCAACCCGAATGCTTTCCCGCGTTTGGGAAAGGTGAACAAGCCTGGACAGGCTCCTAAGGTACGCAATTTCTCCCATTTTTCTTACCATTTCGTCCAGGCTCCTGCTCTCAACCAGCACGAGGCTTTTCCTTCTCTTTCGGCGCGTCCCTCAGCTAGCAAGAAATCAGCTGCGGCCGGCGATTGGGGTCGGCACACGGTAAAATATTCAAAGCATTCTGCAATAACTTTCTAGGGCGTCCACGCTGTCATCGACGATGATGAACGGCGAGCTGGATCTTCCCGAGCTGCTCCCACTCCTACCAACAAGATATCAGTCGTCCCCAAACCTCCTCCCTCGCAACAAACGAAGAAGCCACCTCCGCAGCCGACTCCTCGCTACGAGCCTGTCGAGGATTTCCCTACGCTTCCAGCGGCGGGTCCTTCAACCATGTCGCCTCGTCCAAAGCCGACGGCAAACTACGCCAATAAGGTATTATTTTAGGCTCGGCTTTCTTATCATGGTGATTAGGCGGCTGCTTCGCAACCCCAGAAGATTGGCGGTTTGCTGGCTCATGCTCAGCCAACACAGCAAAAGAAAAAGAAGAAGAAGACAAAACCGGATGTGCCATATGTGCCGCCAGAGTATGTCGAGGTACTTGCAATCCTTTCGTCGTTTGACCCGTTGTTCTTCCAGCCTCCGGAAGCGGAATGGGAAGATGTGCCCGTCAAGCCGAAGATTGTGAAGGGCAAGAAAGTGAAGAAGGCTTTGGAATCGGTTAGTTTTATAAAACGCGAGAAAAACTATGTTTAGAACCAAATTGTCGGCGCGGTCGTGCCTTCTGGATTCTCGGCCCTGAGCCGAGGCCGCCAGCCGAGCAGCAGCGAGGAGAGTGACAGCGATGAAGAAGAAGCGGCAAAACCGGTAATGAGTTTGCAAATTTTTTAACCATCTTTAGGCACCTGCAAAGCCGGCTGCCAATCAAAACAAGCCTGCTCAGCCCAAAAAGCCGGCCAATGATGAGGAGGCTAAGACGAATTCGAATAATAATATAAACTTGAAAAAGGTGAATTTTGACCTCTGGCTTTCAACCTTTCAACCTTGTTTTCTAGAATTCTTCTACAGCTGAGCCCGCTGCTCCTGAAGCCGCGTCAAAGCAGAATGGAGGAATTTTGAGCGGGGTAAGAGGATGGGTTTTGGCTTGCTTGTAAAACCTAGCTCTTTCATTGTCGAGGGCTTTTGTTCGTTAGTGACTCTTGTGCATGATTTCAGCCCGTGCCCTCTTTCGGCAACGTTGCTCAGCACATTGTTTTTTATATTTGTCATGTGGTAAGCCGGTGTTATAATTGGGTGCAAATAAATTACCGTGTTTTTCAGCTTTTCTCCTTCACGGACCTCATCTCCAGCTGGACCAGCCCCGTCGTCGTGGATTCTGCCCCTCCGGGCATCGCCGCTCCAGCAAAGGTAATTTCCATTTCCCGTCCTTGAAAACATAATGTTAGGCTCCGACGCCGACCACAAACTCGTTGTCATTTGCGCCGCCGCCAGGATTCGAGGGCGTCGTGGTATGCCTCTTTCCATATTCAAGTAATTTTTGATGCTTTCAGCCGAAGCCCAACAACGCGCGCCACTGACGTATGAAATAGGAATTATTTCTTTTTCGGGTCTACTCGAGGGCCATTTGCCGCTGTCGCTCGCCTAGCGTTGCTTTGTGAGGTTTCGATTCGCGTACTTTCTGTTCTATAGCTGTGTCTATCCTATCGTCCCACATATCTCGCATGTAGTAGGGTTGCTTTGGCACAGCTAGCGGAACAATAGTTGCGTGAAAAGAATGCTTGAACATCCATATCCGTCCCCTTTGAGCCCCCTCCGCTTCTCCTTTTGAATATCCACGTAGTTCTCGGTTCTTCTCCCCCCTTCCCCGCCAGTTATTACGAGTTTGCCCTTATCTGCACTTGTGATACGATCCCCGTTGTTGCTCCAGCTTTTTAATAAATTTTATCCCGGTGAAACCCGAGTGAAGTTGCCGCGTGTTTCAGGGTAAACGCATCAATTGCAGGGATCCCTAGAGGGCGACCCTTGGCCCCTGCAGCAAACTCGTGAATCCATCAAAAAAGAGGGGTTGACGCTTATGCGCGGGCGACCATTAGCCCACTTCCCTTTGGGAATTCATTTGGAAGTTGATCTGTGTTCTCAATGGTTTGGCTGAGGCACCACGTTCTGAAGTTGCCGTGGTGAAAGCCGGCGCCTACTGCTTGTGTAGCACTTCTCATAACATGGCTCTTTATCAGCAACCCAACTAGCATCGTAAAGTCACCGATTTTGGCTTCCTCACCCCTTGAAACGAATCAATCGTCAGCTAGAATGTTGCGTACTTTGTGCCACGCGCCCCTCCACAGAAGTCTTCGGCCGAAATGCGAGAACACCTGCAACATTCTGGGGCGTCACCCCCCCTGCGGGCGCCCACGGAAATGAGGATTCCCTAGCCAAATAGCGAAGGTTTCAATATCACTCCACCCCTCGTTCTCCATTTTCTAGCGATCCTTGGTCGTTCGGGGTGAAATTGAGAGGGCCGCCCAGCCGTTGCCATTCTTAATTCGACCGCTCATTTGGGATTTAGGCTCATTTTGTAGGTTTTCAAGGGGTGAAGAAGTCGGGGGTTTCACGGGTTGCTCATTGGCACGTTGCCACAGACCACTAGATTCTTCGCATTTTTCGGGCGTTATTTATTTCATTTTTTCGAGTTTCTAAGTTTGATAATCCCCTTAGGTGATGCAAGCCTTTGACAGCTATTTCAATATTTGTCTCCGGCTTGTGACGGCTCTACTGGCAATCGGGACCAATGTGTTGATCGTCTACACCATTCAACGATTCCCGCGTCTCCGCGCGAAGCCCTACAATGGACTCATCTCAATATTGGCCATCGCCGATCTATTCGTTGGTGAGTAATGAAAAGTATACTTTTCGTACCTTCTCCGATTTCAGGTGCAGGTCTCTTGATTCGCGTGGTCGAATCGATTGTGAGAGAGTTTCAAGGGCAAACGATGTACAGCACTCGGTAAAAACAATTTAAACTTTCAGAATTGGGTTTTTAGAGCGTGCACAATGCTGGGTGCTCTCCATCTGTTTGGCTATCACATGAATCAGATGGCGATCCTTGTCATTGCAGCCGATCGGTTGTACGCCGTGTTGTCGCCGATTGAGTATAAGAATCGAGTTAGTTTTTATTTGTTGACGTATTTACCACTTTTTAGCAGTATTAGTTTCCCAAAAACGTATTAAAGGGCTTTAAAGGCTTTTCCGAATTTTAAAACTGACATTTTTTTTCCATTTCAGGACCCAACACCCTACGTTTTGCGCAGCTTCTTTATCGTGCTGATCCCAGCAATCGTTGGAATTGCAATAAGATTGAGGTTTGTTACTTTATGAACTCTATGTTTTTTAAAATTTTTTTATTTAATCATTTTTTAGTGAGCTCGAGTTCGAGGACGATCAAACCGACGTGTGCAACTTGAGTAGGTTTTGTTTTTATTAAAAAAAGTTGAGATTACCTAGGCACCACCAATATTGACGGGCTTTTCGCACGTTTCTGGTGGACCCCATTCTTCATCGGCATCTCGATCGCCATTTTCAGTTAGAAAATACGATTTTTACAAGCAATTAACTTCAGTAATCTACGGCGCAACAATTTGCGTAATTAGAAAAGGGTTCCGCGCGGAGGGCAGCGAGCGCGAATTTTCTCGACAGCGGAAAGTACGTGAAAATGGATAAATATTTAAAAATATTCAAAACAGGTGTTCGTGACGATATCGCTGGTGCTGCTCACCTACATTTGCTGCACAATGATGCCGGCGGTTTTCGTGTCGATCGGGGTTTATGCAAGGGTTAGTTAAAAAAAATAAAAGCGTGCTGCAAGTCAGCCATTTTTAATAGCAAATTCTACTTTTTTGTATTTATAAGAAGCAGTTAGAAAGTTTTTGACGTACGTTTAGGAATAATAAAAAGAGTGTAGAAACGTATATATTTTCAGGCAGATCCCAGCTGGTTTTCCGCGGTCTGCATCTACGGTGGTCTCGTTTCCGGGCTGAACTCGGCGTCGAACATTTTCATTTACGGCTGGAAATACGAGGAACTGCGGAACGGGATGATCCAGGTTAGATTGCGAGAATCGGTGAGGCGTGTCGGGGGGATTCGAAAGAGTCTATTCCGGATGTGGGGTACGGCAGCAACCGGGTCGAAATGGGCTTCTAGCATGCCATCGGGTATTCTACGGGGCGTGCTGCCCACCATGGCTTGCCAATTAACTTGGGATTCCGCAGAAATTGGAGCGTTTTTATGCGTTTTTTCGCGATTGTCCTAAAATTACTTTCATTGAACGCAGAAACTTGGGCAACAGAAAGAACTATAAAAAGGCTAGGATTAGTTTTCTTTGCCTAATTTATTTAGTAATTCACCCTGGTTTTAATGTTTTTCTAGGCTTTCAAATTGTGTACAATTTCGCCATTTTCCCAATTTCAGGTGGTAACCTGCCGCCCGGCCACCATCCAACGCGAAAACAGCTCCTACAATGTGCTAAATAAGCAGGCTCGCCGGGACGACGTTTTTCTGTAACGGTAAGTGGGCCATTTTTTAGTTTTTGGTAACCTAATAGGTACTATGCTGTTAGTGGAGGGGCTAATTTTCATTTGTTTCGCCCCATTTTTCTACCTTCCTAACACAGCAAGCTGGAAATTTCGTGACGGAGGCAGGGAGGGCTATTAAATTATTTCCCCACCCGGGACCACCCGATCCTTGTAAGCGCCCAACCTCAAATGGGCTTTTCATTGGGCGATGCCCTCCCCTCGAGATGGGTGATTCAGTGGCCGGAAATTACCGCCCAAAACCGTGTCGAATTGCCCCTTTTATGGCCGCCAGATTTTTGCGCCCGAGCCTCGCGCCTCATTAAAACTTTGTTTCTATGCCTCGGATTTGGTTTTTTTTTCTAAACTTTAGGTTTCAGTGCCGAACGTTGAAACCTCAGTCTTATTCCCGAATTGGTTCGGATTAATTTCGGATTGAAATGAGGGTATTTTTTCAATGAAAATGTTCTAAAAGTGCGCCCAGCAGTTTCGGAGGGCTTCTTTTCTCGGGCCAAAATCAAAGTTCTGCCCCAAGAAAGGGGGAGGAAGCCCCTCCTTAGCGGATTGGATTACTGCATTCGGATTGTTCAGTCTGCGTTTTTTTTTCGTTCCTTCGATTCATAACTATGGGCGCCATTTTGAGCTGTGCTGGAAAGCGCTTTGTCCTCCAGTCCCTTGCGGTTAAATCGAATCTTTCTCGGCGGTTTAAATGGGTTTTTTTGGGGCAGATTGGCTTCCGAGATTCGAGTTTGAGGGCGCATGCTAGTAGTTGGTAGTGGTTTTGGCAGTTTTTTTGGGGGTTTCACTGGCCGCGTGCGCGTAGCGGTCAAGAGATTAGATAGCGTTTTGTTAATCTAGTTTTTGATTTTTTTTAAACAGCGAAAAAAAATATAGGCGTTGTTTTGTTTTTGTTTAGTAAGGTCTTTTCAACTTCAACCGGAATTGAAGCTTCGACTGGCGCACGTTTTTGAAGATCTCGGAGTCCTGACTATAGATTTTCTACGCGCTGCAGCGTCGCGACACGCAACGCGCTGGAGCGCAGTTCCATCGCGTAATGGATTATGACCTCTTTAATGTACGTCTTGCTTGTCGCGGGCTTAAGAGATTTGCGTGAATTTGCGTTGCTTTGCCCGACCCTTTAAAGGGACAGGAAAGGCAGCGTATGGATTTTCCGCCAATTTTTCGACACGCAACGCGCTTCCGATTTTCATGGCGTAAACAATTAGGTTTATTGCGGAGACCAAGCGTTGCGTGTACGTTGCGCCTCGCGCTGGTGTATTATCCATAGAGCGTGGACAGCCTAGAAAATCCCTAGCCTTGCCTGCCCACCCCTTTAAAAAGCGTTGACGTGAAACGGAAAGAAAAGAAAAAGTATGTGACGTAAGCAACGTGCTAGCCTTGTTAATTGCCGATGCTTACGTGGGTGACTTCAGCCTAGAAAGTAGGGGGGCCTTTCCGGTTCTTTGGCCCACCCCAGTTTCGTTAATTTAACTTTTCGGCTTCATTCTCCCTTCGAAAAGGTTGGGCTAAAGATTGCAACGTGGCCGGGGAGGGGGGCATTCCATTGGAAATCGTGGAATCGGAATCACCCCACCCGGATGGCCCAAATAACTCATTTTGCACGGGCTGGGCCCCAAGAAGAAGGGCTTAAGCCCCTGGTTCGAAAAAGGCCTAGGGGCAAACCCCTTTTGGAGGTTTGGCCTTGGGCCAACGAGATGTTCCTCCAAATACCTCCTCCTCCTCCTCCTCCTCCCCTCTTCTCATTCCACACGCATTCCATTCCATTCCTCTACCCAAAAGGGGATACAAGAAGATATTGCCCCCCACTGGATTGGCTCTGATATTAAAATCTGGAAGCGGCCATCGGCACGAATCGAGGCGGGCAAATGACCCCATCCACGGCAGCGTCTTCCGCTTCTGCCTACTACACTTCACCCATCAACCGGCCAGAGGTGTCGTGCGTTCTCTTAAAGGGTTCGAATAGGCAACGCTGGCTGTAGATTCCACTTATGGATTTGCTACAGATTTTTTCCGGACGCTAAGCCGAAACCTGAACTTTACCTGACGTGATGGATTCCGCCCTTTAAAGAAACTGACAAGGCATTGAGGCCAATTTTTTTCGCTTAGTTTTACCAGTTTTTGCGGGCATTTAGGGCTAAAATAACAATTTTTGGAATTGCCCCCCGAATTAGGCGAATTATTTGGCTTCCCGATAACGGACTTGTTGACTTATTTTGATAAGGAAACCCCGAAAAAGTGGAAAAGCCGATTTTAAGCCTAAGTCGCACCGAAATTCGTGGCACAATCCTTGGTCTCGTTTTTCAGTTGCTTTTGGGTATTTTCAAGCTTTAAATCCTACTATTTTTTTTCTGGATATTTAGCATGTGGGAAATTGGACAACCCACGTCTGGCGCTCATTTTCATCCTCATTTCCCAGTAATTCAGACCTAACGCCTTATTTGATTCTTTTTTTGCTTTATTTCGTTGTAGTTTCGAGTGGAAAGTCCAAAAATGGGTGCAGGAACTGCCGCTCAGAAATGTATGACGCTGCCTGGACGTATTTTTATGACTTTTCTGGGTCTTTCAAACCTCTTTAAGCTTTTTTAGACTCTTAAGAATGTGTAAACTACTTTTATATTTTTTTATATTAAATTGTGTACACATCCTTTTCCCACAAGGTTGGAGAATCCTACTTTGGCAGTGCAGTCGCCTTTATGAGCCATTTTTGGGGGTTTTTGCAGCTTTTCAAAGCTTTTTTAAGTCATTAAGAATATATAAAACTATTTTGATAATCTATATAAAGCCTGAAAATCCTAGCAATTCTTTAGAATAGACATAAATTGCTATATTTTGCGGGGCAGACTAATTGGCCGCCGGGCTGCGACCCGTATTATATTTTTCCGGGCATTTCTGCACGAATCCTGAGCGTTGCACTGCCTGTCAGGGCGCGCATGGGGGTGGGGGAGGGCGTGGCCTAGTGGTCTAAGGCGCCGGTCCCAACTTCAGGCAGAGGGTGCTGGTTCGGTTCCTCTGACCGACAGAAGCCCGTTAGGGTTTTGCACTTTTTTTTGCAAAAGGTACAGATGGGGATCCAAAACCGATCTAAAGAGAAGCCCAAGCGGAAAATATAAGTTTTGCTATTTCCCGGGCTCTAAAGAAGAAATTGTCTCAGATGGTGCCGATTCGCTCAATAAAGGAATATCATAATAACAAAGACATGTACTGCCCAAATTAGCACCAATTCAATGATTTCAAGCCCCTTCATCCGTACAAAGCTGAAAACTTTGACTAGCGTCAGTTGTTCAATTATTAGGATCTCTCATTCAGCACCTTTTTTACTTCCCAGGATCGCAGAAGTACCCAATTTGACAGTACCATTCTTTTCCGATGAATATCGGTTAAAAACCCCGGAAGAATGAGGCTAAACGCAAAGAAAAACGCGGCGCACAAAGCTCGTATTTTCTCAATTTTTCCAGCTTAAATCCTAGATAAATCCTTATTTTCACGCTAAATCACCCTTAAAACCCCTCCCAGAATGTGCGCAAGAGTCTTCTCTATATTTCGTATCGGTGGACTCCCCACAACAACGTCGTTTTCGAAAGTTATAGGCATTTGAAGTTGAAAATTTGTGAGTTTTTTTTGGCCCCTTTCTTTGCCTCTCTCTCGAAAAATCATAGATCGGTAGGCAAGCATAGTGTGCGCACGGGCATAGGAACGCTACGGAGCGCCCCCACCTCTCATGAGCGCATTTCTTAATATCTGACAGCCAGTGGTTGACCACACGGAATGAATAAAAAGAAGAAAGAAATACACGTCTGCTTCCTACCAATAATAATTATTTGTCTGGCGTTATTAGTTTCCTGCCGTTTCGTCAATGGAAACCAGCTGCCAGTAACACTAAAAAATGGGCGCAGATTTGACAATATAATTCTGAAAACTTTAAAACACAAGATATCTCTTTTTTGTAGTTTTTGACAAAGAGCAAGAATTTCCGCGAGTTGACGAAGAACACCCCCGCGCCCCGGCCGATACCCCCCCATCTCATGGCCTCTGCCCCCGGCCCCCCCATCTCTCTTGAGCCCCCTCCCGCCCCTCTCTCCCGTCCTCCCATGTGGTCTAGTGGTTAGGATTCGTGGTTTTCACCCACGCGGCCCGGGTTCGATTCCCGGCATGGGAATTACTTTTTGCTTTTTGGGATCCGAGCTCGTTTAGGGGTCGTTGGGTTGTGTAGGTGGTTCTTATGCTATGCTATAGCTCTTCGATATCGTATGCCCCTTTTTCAGATGACGGAAGTCGTGCATTCGACGTTTTTCCTGGTGCTCCGATTTTTCTTCGCGTTCCTGGCAATAGGCGGGAACATCTTCATCATAGCTACGATACAACGCTATCGACAGTTACGGTCGAAATCGTATAACGGGTTGATTTGTTTGCTGGCATTTTCTGATGTTATTGTAGGTGGGTGGAGAAGTTTAAACATCGCAGCTTTGAGACCTTTTTAGGTGTTGGTCTTTTGACACGGGCTGCGGCTACAATTGTTCATATGATGGAGGAGCGGCACGATTATACGCCAATGTACGGTAGAGAATAAAGCAGAAAAAGGGATATTGGGTGCTTTTCCGTTAACCGGGGGCGGGGCGTTATCAAGGGAAACGATTTTTCATTAAAATTAAATTTTTCTGATTTAAATATAGAGAGAGTGAAAAATTTTCTCCATTCTTAAACGTTAAATCAGGAAAAAAATGATTTTTCCTTCAAAAATGGCCGATTTCGACGAAATTTCGAATTTCTTAAATTTTAAAAGCTTGTTGAGTAGTTTTGCGATTTGAATCGAGTTAAATGAGTTTACCCTGCCCAGGCCCTTTAAACCGAAAAAAACAACCATTTTTCCAGGCACTGCGTCTCGATCGGCGCTCCAAATGTGTTCGGGATCCATTTGAGTCAACTGTCAATGCTTTGCATTGCCTTTGATCGTCTGTATGCTATTCTAAGCCCTATCGGGTATAAACACCGGGTACGATACCTTTGGGTTACTGTAACTGTGGCACCATTTAGGATCCGTATGCCTATCCCCTCAAATGTCTCCTATTTTGCGTGGTGTTCAGCTGTGTCGGGCTGGTTTTTCTGTTTGTAGGCGTCGAAAACGATCATATCGCGCGGGTTTGCAATATTGGTAAGTTGAATAACAAAATAGACACTACACAATAAAAATAAAATAATAAATAAGTTCAAAAACAGTAAAATATTTTTTTTTATTTTTCACTTTTTTAAGTTGGATAATTTTTATAAAAATTGATGGGAAGGCTTAATATACCATTTTCAGAGATTTAAAAACTACGCAAAACTGTTCATTTGAATCACTAAAATTAAAGCAATAATTTTCAAAAAATTGTTGTTTTATAAACCTTAAGTTATGTTATAAAATTAGTTTTCAAATTTTAGACAAACTCTCCATTTAAAAATGTTGTTTTCTATGAAGTTAAATTTCGTTATAAAATAAAATTATAGAACAAAATAATACCTTTGTGTTTTCAAAAGTAAAAAAAATGAAAACTTTCCCATTTCAGGTGACAGTAAGCCGAACGGGATTTTCGTTATGTATTGGACGATATTCTTCTCGATTGTCACGATTCTACTCTTTGGTGGGTTGTATAAAAAATGAAGAGATTTTTTGGCATTTTAGGCGCCTACGGTATCACGTTATTTTTGGTGCGGCGCGGGTTTTCGATTCAACGAAAAGCCGAGCTGGAGAGGGAATATTCACGGCAGACACGGGTCGGTTTTTGACTTTAAGAGGAAGGGGTCCATAAGAAATCCATGGAGCTGCCTTGCCAGTACCTTTAAACGGATGCCCAACCTTTACGCGGCTCAAAAAGCAAAAGCCATGCAGCGCTCGGGGGTCGAACCCGGGACCCCCGTTTTGTAGGCCTGGATGCTATCCATTAGGCCATAGTGGCAGGCCATTCGATGGGATGGGGACGCCAAAAGAGGGAAAGGTGGCCGGATTCTGTGCAGCATTGGGGGCCCCATTACCGCAAAATTCGAGCGTAATTTGTACTGCCCGGAATCCATAACTATATATTTGCCGCCAAAACCTTGGGTATCCCTTTAAAGGGAGGGTGGCAGCAAAATAAGGCTTGTAATTTATGCAAATTTCCAGGTTTTTGTCACAATCTCCATCGTGTTGCTGTCCCACTTTTTGTGTACGGTAGTTCCACTACTATTTATCGCTGGAGGATTGGTATTTAAGGTATGTTTCAGATCTATTTTTGTAAAGTACAATTTAGGCGTCGCCCTCCTATTTCTCGTATGTTGTGCTCGTGACGGGATTTCTCTCCGGCGTCAACGCCTCGAACAACATTTTCATCTACGGATGGAAATATAAGGTTGGTGGGCTACGCTACACTACGCTATGCTATGATGCGCTTGAGTACGCTAAGTCACAGTACGCTACGCTACATTATGCCGAGGACGCTACAGTACGCTCGGCTACGCTTTAAAATACCGCAAAACTTCGATGGAACACTGCGAAATTCAAATTTTCAGCCAGAATTTATCTTTAGTATGCTTTAAGCATAAGTGGAAGGCTTAACAAATCAGAAGGCAGTTTCATTATGCTGCAAATATATCTAAAATCGTTTAAATTTGTTCGAATCGGATTGTCCATAAAATGTTGCTAAAATCTGCTATTAGGCTACGCCACCAAATTCAGACCAATCGATTACGGAAATTTGGCGTAAAAACTGGATTTTTTGCTCAGTTTGAAGCATCGAAATACACCATATTTTTTTAGGAAATGCGTCGATATATGGGGCTGATGATCCGCTGCCGGGATGGCCCTCATCTACAGCGCGAAACGTCGCTATTTTTCTCGAATGCGCGCGGCGATGTTTATGTCTAAAATTCTACCGTATTCCTTTTAATTGTGATTTTTAGATTTTACTGCTAATTTCGATAGTTAGTTTTAACGAAATTCTCGATTTTTTTATTGGGATACGGGTTCCAAAAAATGGCAGAAATTGTATGTTTTAGCCCGATTTTTTTGCGGCGTACGGTGTACGGTGCTGTACGCTCGGTGTACTGTATTTTTATGTAGCATGTCGGATTATTACCAAGTTTATATCCCATCATACTTTTATGTATCAATTCCTTTCGGGTGCCCTCCGGTTTTCCATGTACAAATCTTGTATCCTTACGCGTGGTTGTGTGTTCTGGAATGTAACGGAATAAGACGATTTTATTACGATTTTTATGCGTTTTTACACTTTGTACAGGTGCTTTAGAAATTTCAGGGGCCAACCGATTACGCCACGAAAATCAGAAATATCTGCCGCATCGAGCCGATGTTGAAGAAACCTGGAAAAGCGGGGTTTTCGAGCCTACGGTATCGGGGTGTCAGTTTCTCGTACGGCAGCGAAACGGTGCGTACTTTTTCGGCGTGTTTCGTACGGTAACGGAAGCTGCGTATTGCACCGGAGCGTTGCGTAGTCTATCAAGCGAAAATCGCGTACCAAATAATAGATGGTCGTCGTATTTAGCGGAATTCTGGTGATGAGAAGAAGGATCCATTTTTGAGGCCATTCTAAAGGGGCTGTCAAGCGGGGGTATTTTTTGGAATTTTAAGGCCGTCATCGAAGCATTAATGGAAACAAAACTGGTAAGCGTCTCAAATATCACGATTATAGGTTTACGCAAATTTAAATTCCCTACCGTATCTCAGCGAGGGGCCGGGCTACCGTAACCGCAACTAGGGCAAGAAATAAAAAGCAGACGACGGCAAATCGGCGCATTATAATAGTAAAAAATTTAGGGGGCGTTATATTGTGGGAAATGATGGTTTCCCAGGGCCCGATTGGGAGTCTAAATAGTGCTCCTTCCGGGGGGCGAGTGAAGAGAGAGAGAGAGAGAGAGAGAGAGAGAGAGAGAGAGAGAGAGGAAGGGCATACATATGATTGGCTATGATGCAAAACAGCAGAATCGGCTTATCAATAAGGCCCTCTCCAATCACTCAACAGTCTCCAGAATTCAGAGGGCACATCATTTTAAAGGGCCGAGCAAGGCAATTCTATGGACTATTGATTCGTTTTGGGTACTGGACGCTTAACGGGGGGTTTAATGATGGGACGTTAATTTTGGTTTTTAAAAAATGAGAGAAGTTATACAAATATTATCAAAAATTTGAAATTTTTGAAAATTTGACCTTTATTGGGAATTTTTCATACATTTTTGAGGGGAATTATGCTTTTTATATCGAAAGTTGTGCAAAATGCTATAAAAAATTGCTCTCCGCAGCCCGCCAAAATCCCCCCGCTAACAGGCCAGTACCTCGCTATGGTTTTTAGTTCCGGTGCGCCGAAGAACGCAACAATTTTTCCTACCTCTCAATTTATTCATTCCACAACCAGAAATACAGGATTCGATACGTTCAGAAAAACACAATAAATCCAAAAAATCATCAGTATATCGAAGCCAAGAAACACCGTCAATAGGGACCCGTAAAAGCTCGTTTTAATTAATGGGGTACGGTAGATGCACGAAAAATTAAGATCAGTCTTTTAAGGTACGCTTCAATACTCATATCTGCCAATACGGCCGGTGAATGGATCTGGATGATAGCCGGGGAGGAATGGGGGTTTGATGAGATGTCGATGGGAGTGTCGCGTAGCCGGCCCTTCACGTTTCGTCCAGAGTGAACGAGGGATATCAGGAAAGAGGAGAGAAGAAGATGAAGAGGAAGAGGAGGATACGGTAGAGGGGACCGTACGCACCAATCCTGTTACCAGAACGAATGGACCGAGGGCTGGGTCTGGAAATGCGGGGTTGGGTTAGGCTCCTAATTATTCTGTCTTGGTCTCTCTCTCTCTCTCTCTCTCTCTCTCTCTGGCTTTTCAAGGGACTATGACACAAAAATTCACCTCGAAAGTGTCGACTATCATCTGGATATCGGTGGATCGGAGGTAGCAAGGAATATGGGGCAGCCAAGGGCATCAGAATCCAAATTACGATTGTTCGCAAAATCATTGAAGACTTCTGGAATAAAAAAATTAGGAGAGCATAATTTTGTAGAGAAGGAGAGAGGTAGCGAGAGAGAGAGAGCGAGAGAGAGTGAGAGAGCGAGAGTGAGAGAGAGAGCTTAACCCGAGCTACTGTCTCTCTCCCTTTAAATTTGACATCATAAAATATATTGTCGACAATTCCAACACTAAGAATTAATCCGATAAATGCCCCATTCAAAGCACAACCCAAGCAAAAATTATGAGCTCCTGGAAATTCCGGGAAAGGCCCAAAACTGCGGCTTTTCCCTGACGGCGCAGGCTCGAGCCGCCTACGCCCACTGGGGGGTACCAATTGAAAGGGCCTCTATTCGACAGGATACCCATAATTCATCAACGCCCCTGGTATTCATTCTGCTCCTACTGCTGCCTTACCAAAATGTCAGATAACAAGATGGGCCCGCCGGGAAGGGGTGTTTTTAGGAAGGCTGGAGGCTAATTTTGGACTGGCCTACTGCTTTTGGTAAACCGAATGATCAAAAGGGATCATTTGGATTTTAAGGGAACCTGCAAGGCAGGGCTATAGATTTCGTTGAATCAAGATTCTTTATGGATTTCACTGCCGCCGCGACCCGCAACACTACTCCTGCCGTAGCGACTTGTAGTCCATCAATCGATGGAAGCGGCACGTGTGCATTGCGTATCGGGTGATCAGGTTTTAAGCTAATCCATAGCTACTGAAATCCGTGGAAAGGCCTGGCCCGCCCCTTTAAAGGGGCGGTGACAGGAAGGCCTGCGTACCGGAAGCAGGTAACTTAATAGTAGAGCGGCGAGAGTGATATCGAGAAAGAGAGGGAGAGAGACAGTGAGAGTGAGAACAAGCGAGAGTGAGAGAGGTAGAGAGAGGGGTAGAAAAAGAAAGAGAGAGTGACAGAGAAGGTGCGAGAGAAGGAGAGAGAGTGAGAGAGCGAGCGAGCGAGAGAGAGAGAGAGAGAGAGAGAGAGAGAGAGAGAGAGAGTCATGGAGATACTCTGTGACGTTCCTATCCCCAGTCTTACAGGTATCTATAGTTCTAAGGGTATAGATAGGTAGATCATAAAATTGAGATGAGGGCCGCTGATGAATCAACAGACACATCTAAACCCTGCTCCCGCCCCCAACGTATTTTCAAGCCCTCCAAATATACCACAACAACCCTGTCTCCTCGTGATCGACACCAAAAATGAGGCGCCATTCGAATTTTGTAGCATTGATGCCTTGCATTAGTGCGTCAATGAGCGCCAATTCGACGTCGTAGAAGCCCCTTGAGAGAGACGAAAACCGCTCGAGTTGAAGCAGTAAATCCCGCAAACATCCAAAAATGGGGACCATGGGGTACGCTGGGCAACCAAAAAAACTAATCCGAAAATAAAAATGTGGGTGTGTGGATGCGAATTTAGTGTGCATTAATTAATCGTAGCCCAATTCATGGACGATCCCAGAATGGAACGACATGGAACCAGAGATTATGAAAAATTCAAAAAGAATTCTGCAGCGCTTACAGAGCCCCTTTGGGCGCACTTTGGATGCGAAAAGGCGGATAAAAATTTAATGGGGTATCACACAAACTTGGTTTGTATCCAATTCACACTCTAATTTGTAGTCTAGAGTTTCACTTTTCCCAAATGGCCTCTGCTATGGTGCCCGATGCCCGACAAAATCAGCAAAAATATCTGTTAGCAAAATTTTATGGCTCAGGTCAACCCAAGCCAAAGCAAAGCGTTGAGGGGGCCTAAGCCTAAGCCTGGCCCTAAGCGCAAGCCTAAGCCTACGCCAAGCCGAAGCCGAAGCCTAAGCAATTGTAAGCGTCATTTCTCTAATGATCGCTGGCGAGCTTAAGGTTCATTACATGCCAGGCAGCTAGACGAAATTTACATTATCCTGACAATGACGTCATTAGGAAGGGAAGGTACACAATCGGAATTTGGTTTAGAGGGCTAGAAATGGAAAGAGAAGGTGATGGAGTTGAAATGACGCCCATCTTGGATACAAAAAAGGCAAGGCTTTTCCACAAATGTGGCCAATAAAGGAGAAGGAGGAGGAGGAGGAGAAGGAGGAGAGAGAGAAAGAGAGAGAGAGAGAGAGAGAGAGAGAGAGAGAGGACCCAAGGGAACTGTCGTCACAATCCCACTAATGGATACGCGGTTAGGAATTTTGGTCAAAGTTCTTTTTCCAGCAGAGCGAGAGAGAGAGTGAGGGAGACAGAGAGAGAGAGAGAGAGCGAGAGAGACAGACACAAAGACCCACAGACAGAGAGAGAAATCAAATCAAAAGATTGTATTCCTGAAATTGTCATGATTAAGAGAGTACCATAACCCATTACGTACTGTAGTTTCAAAAATGCCGTAATTCAGGAAACTTTAAAAAGGGCGAATTTGTGAAAACCTCGAGACAACGAATTCAAAGGAATCAAGGATCTAATCGGAGGCGACAAGTGTTGTAATTGGAGGTGCGAGGAGGAGGCGAAGGGGTGCGAGGGTTGAGAATTCCCTGGGGATCCTCTGACCGTCCCCTCCCCTCCTCTTCTCTCGTCATCATGCCCTCCGGCTATTTCTGGATATCTGTAACGGAGTAGCCACACCGGAAATAGATCCAATGCAGATTTTAGCTAGATATCTTGGAAAAGTTTAATTTGCGGATTTAAAGGGCTTGGCAAGGACGGGTTATGGATGTCTGGATCTTGAAGCGGCGCGACACGCACGTAATCAGATCTTGAAAAAAAATTTGAAAACGAAGATCTTAGGTGGCTAAAGATTAGCTAGATATTTCGACTGAATCGCAACACGCAGCGCGCACGCCCGTCATTCCACCACACAACACAGTACAACATTCTCGTGTCCGCGTAACGAAGCGTACGCGTCAGGCACCGCGTACGGCGTACCCAAATCTTTAGCATCTCCATAGCCAACCTCGAATTTTGGGATTTCTAGAAAAATACCGTATTCCCGTCAAAACAAAAAAATGGAGCGTGGAATAAAATGAACTTTCTAGCAAATTGAATGACCAGATGGAGGCAGGTGGTTTATCAAAATAAATTCTAAAATTCTGACGCACTAATGGGATACAGTGAACTGGGGGCGGTGTTTTCGAAAATATGAAAGGGCGTTTTGTGTGATTTGGGATTGGTGGCCGGAGATCACTACGTAACTGTGTATCTCTCTCTCGCTCTTTCTCGCTCTCTCTCTCTCTCTCACCCTCTCTCTCTCTCTCTTTCTCGCTCTCATGTCTCTCTCTCTCGCTCATTCGCTCTTTCTCCTCTCCTCTTGTAAGAAATTTGTTAAGAGATCTACGTCTATCTAAAACCTACGGTAATTGTTATCAGGTGCAAAACGTAAACAAACGGTTACTGTAGCCGTAAATAGGCGTAGAGTGTTGTTTTGCCGAGTTCTCGCCAATGCTAAGGGGCTAGATGACGAGTGACGAGATGTCTAAATTGGCCTCATCACCCCCGTCTCTCTCTCTCTCTCTCTCTCTCTCTCTCTCTCTCTCCCCTCTTCCACAATGAGAATGGAAGCCCTTAAAATAGCTGGTCCAAATGGGAGCTAAAAGTTGCAGCTCTTTCACCCGTCCGCTCGACCCAATTACCATAAGCGTTGCTCATTATCCAGCGCGTGACCCGTTGCACTCAAAATTGGGCCGTTGACCCTCCGGTTAAGGCGATTTAACCACCCCAAATGTCGAGCTATTTTGGGAAAAGGTCAGGGAGTATTGGAGTTTGTAGTTTAGCTTTGGCGATGCTCTACATTCGAGCATTAATGGCTAACCCGGGGTATTTGACTAGTCCTTAGCGCGTTCGTATTTTACTCTCAAATTTTAAAAACTTTTTGAAAACTTTCGCTTTTTAAAAAATCTGAGATTTTTGGTCGAAAATCGATATTTCTTTTTATTTTTAAACTGGTAAAGTTTTTGCGTTTAAGATATTAAAAAAGCCGCTAAGAGTCACTTCCGTTATTTATATTTCAGATTTCCCGTGGCTTGTCGTGACCGCGGCAAAATTTAAGGGCAAAAATCTATAGTCCTGGCTTGTCCTGTCCTTTAAAACTCACGAATTCATTTTTTAAGGCGATCTATCGAATTTGTAGTTCGTCGTCCAATAAACAGAGCCGAAATAACTTTATTCTCGAAGAAAAGCAGGGTTCCTGCCATGGTTCTATTGGACGAGGAGGGTGAGACGATCGGGTGATGTGGCGAGGAAGGGAAGACGGAAACGGGAAGAATAGGGGAACATCCCACCACCGCCTAGCATCGGAATTGAACGGACGGGACGCTCTTCTAGCCAGATGGAGAGGGATACGGTAGCCAGATAGGTGATGCAGAGGAGGATACTGAAATTTGAGGAGGTTGGATGGAATAGAACTTCGGCTTAGCCTAGGCTTGGGCATTCGCTTAGCTTAAATTGGGCTTAAGCTTATGCTTAACTTAGGCTTGGCTTAGGCTTGGCTCAGGTTTGGCTTAGCTTAGGCTTAGCTTAGGCCATCTCTCTCCTCTCTTTCTCTCTCTCTCTCGCTCTCTCTCTCTCTCTCTCTCTCTCTCTCTCTCTCTCTCTCTCTCGCTCTCTCCGCTCCAAAAGGTCATTCCATCAGAATTGTAGCCCCCACCCAGGTGATCCCAAATAAAAATATTTGCCACCCCCTCACGTCGACGAGCTGTACGAAAACAGGTGAAAAATTAATGCCTAGCTAGTTGACCTGCGCAACCTACGCAATATTAGCACTTTTTGATGTTCAACAATCACTGGGGAGTTGATTAAAGGAGCGAGCAATGCATGGCCACGGTCAATAAAACCCATATCTCTTTAAATCCAAATTTAAAAACTCACATCGTGAAGCAACGCGTCATTCCTGTGGACGAGATCTGTGGGGGGCCCGAGTTCTCTGAACAATTCGCGTATATTGAGCGTTATTAGGGTCGTGGAAAAATACGTAGAAAAGCGTGGGATTGACCGGAAATGAGTGGGATTTTTGGGGTGAGTGTCTGAGAGTGAGAGAGTGAGAGAGTGAGAGAGAAAGAGAGATTCCCGAATTCAGCTTTCATGCGTTCCTCGATTTTGATAAATTAGCAATTAAAAATGGAGATGATTGATGTGATTTGCCAAAAGCTGGAGCAGGGAACACTTCCGGAATTTTGGATCAGAGAGAGAGAGAGAGAGAGAGAGAGAGAGGAGAGAGAGAGAGAAAGAGAGCGAGAACGGGCTAGAGAAAGTAAGAGATAATGAGAGAAAGAGAGACAGAGTGAGTGAGGACAAGCGAGAGAGAGAGAGAGTTAGAGAGAGAGAGAGAGGGAGATATATTAAAGGGACTGGAAAGGCAACTCGCCCATTTTTGCTATCGGTCCCTTTAAACACGTCGAGGGACCAAATTTTCGTCTATTACTCTGTAATACCGTCCAAATGCCATTCCCAAACAATTCGATGCTTTATTGTCTTACGAGAGGAAAACGAAAACTCTCAGCGGGATTAGATTGTTTGGAGGTGGAGTGAGTATGGGGGCGGAATGGGACTTCTTTTTTTCGGGGGTTTTGAGAACAGATTTGGGTACGAGAGAGGGGGGATAGACACAAAAACACTGTCGGAAAAGCCAGGTGAAGCCGTTGGGGGAGGGCTTGGAAAACAGGTGGGGAAATTCGGTGGCTGGGAAAGCGGGGGTTAATGCTCAAAAATCGAGACCAAAAAATGTGCGAGTTTTAAAGGGATTGTGCCAGGAAGAGAGCGAGAGCGAGAGAGAGAGAGAGAACGAGGACGACAACCTTCCTGTCACGCTCCCTTTAAAATCGACAATTACCGAGGAAACCGGAAAAGGGGTGGAGTAAATGGGGGGCGAGATCCGAATGTGGGAGAGTAGATTAGGCCATTTAAATTGGATGCCCAAATTAAAGGAGTGTGGAAGTGGCACCGGATGGCACTTCCCTATACATTTAATTCCGTCTGTTTTTAGGTAAAAAAGCCGAGTTCAGTACGTTACGATGCCGATTACACAGGGTTACTGTCGGGGAAAATGGTGCTAGACCGTTAGCGGGGGGATTTCCATTTTTTACCTGAATAATAGCGTTTCATGTTTTTTTTAAAATTGTTTTTAGTGGTTTTTTTTATTTATAGAAAGTTATAAACTGTTTGAAAATTGCTGTTTTCATTTTGTCTTTTCCTAACATTTTTACCAAATTTTCGTATCTAGAAATGGTGCAAAATGCTATGAAAGGGGTTATAATTCTTTATGGGGCCGGAAAAAATTGTCCCCCCCCGCTAACAGTCCAGTACCAAAAATGGCGGGAAATTAGGATATTTTTCCTCAGGTTACGGTATAGGGAATCTTAAATCGTGCGAAGACCGGGGTTTACAAACTGCAAAAAATACAAAGCATGAAAAAATGACAAAAACAAACGCGAAATACGGTAATCGAATCAACGGCGGAAAAGCTCAAGCGGATGAGGGGCCAATTTTGGAGCCGCGGGGGTTTTTTGGGCCCCCAGGGGGAAGAAGCGGCTGGGATTGGCCCTCAGAATTTGGAATGGAATCACGAGGCGATGGGGGGAATCGTCGAGCCGTTTTCCCGGCGAAATTTGGTGTGAAACGAAATGGATGGAAGGGGGAGGGCTAGGGGAAATGTCAACAAGTTGTCGAGCGGAATTTAGGGAAAATTAAGAAAAGTGGCAATAATTTTTCGGAAATCCGAGCGTCGAAAACGGCTTTTTCGAAAATCGCCATTGCAAACATTTATTTTTAAAAATCAGAGTTTTGTAAAATTCGCATGGTTCTCCGATCGTTAGCTTGCTCCAAATTTTTCGAAATCCTGATTTTCGACAGCCTGATTTTCGAAAATCTGCAGTTTAAAAACGACTTTGCGAGATTTTTCGACGCGTGATTTTCGAAAAATTCCTTTGGAAATCTTGAGTTCCACCAAAATGCCATCAGAAATCATCAAAAAACGTGGCACTCATTTGCATCCTCCCGAATCGGACATCCGAACGATCGAGCAAAGTCCGGCTGATTCCGCAACGGGCCGAGAACGCTGAACAAATTGAATCTGTGGGGCATGGTGGTTGGGGTGAAGCCGGGGGCGTCTTGGATTTATGAGGCTCATGGGGGAACGATCGCGTCGAGGAGGATGAAAAATCGTGCTCAAAATGACGTATTTTTGGCAAAATATCCCAGGAATCCCAAAGCGTCTCCGCTAGCTAGCTTGCAAAATTCTTCAAAGGTTTCTGCTAGCCTGCCAAGCGCCCCAAAAATTCCTCAATGCTTCGCGCTAGCCTACCAGTCGCGCGATACCCTCCAAGCATCATTGCTAGCTTGCCCAAGTGGTCCTCAAATTCCCCAAACGCAATTCCTAATCCCTAAATCACAACTTTCCTACCGTAATCTCTCCTTCTCATGCGCATTCAACGTGGCCGGATCCAGGACGGAGCACCAGTTCTGGGCATAGCCGATCCAAAAGGCTTGCGAGACCGAGACGCCAAGACCGGGCACCAGCTCCCCTTTCAGCTCGTTCGAACGCTCGAATGCCTGGAAAAACGGGTGAGAACGACTGGTTAAAGGGACCTGGAAGGCATGCAACGGCAAGGATCACTATGGATTTTACCTCCAGTACGCGACACATGCGCAGGTTTTTCACCTTTTTTGACTTCCCAGCCCTTTTAAAAACCACAAAACTCATACCATCCACGCGGCCTGCAACCCCAGATTGTCGGCCATATTCTCGGTGAGCGTTTGCCGGGAGTTTGCAATCTAAAAGAAGCATAACAGTAGTGTCACGCTCCCCTTAACGTACATCAGCCTCCTGGCCTCCCTTCATCTCCCCGTATTGTTGCACAAAGCACTCCCCGCTTTCCGTGTATTTTTTCATCGATTCTTGGGTCCAGTATTTGCCGAGACTTCCGGTTGTTCCGTACCAACGGCCTGAAAAAGGGAAATCTCTCTCTCACTCTTTCTCTCTCCCTCTCTCTCGCTCTGTCTCTGCCTCTGTCTCTCTCTCTCGCTCTCTCTCTCTCCCTCTCTCTCTCTGTCATTCTCGCTCTTTATTTCTCTTGGTCTCTCTGTCGCTTTCTCTCTCTCTCTCTCTCTCTCTCTCTCTCTCTCTTTCTCTCTCTGTCATTCTCGCTCTTTATTTCTCTGCGTCTCTCTTTCGCTTTCTCTCTATCTCTCTCTCGCTCACTCTCTCCCACTCTCTCTCTCCTTCTCTCTCCTCTGGCAACCCAGGATTTGGAAATAAATCTTGCAACACCTTGTGGCGTCACTTTCCCTTCTACAGAGCCATCTAATTAAATGGATGTGGAAGCGAGAGAGAGAGAGAAAGAGAGAGAGAGAGAGAGAGAGAGAAACGGAGAGATCACCAGAATTCCACCCAAACGGCTCCCTAATTAAAATCGCGAGTCTGAATGGGGCAAGGAAAAGCGGTCGCTCCTAGAAATTCATTTTAATTGAAGGTGTCGGAGGGGGGGGGGAAACTTGCATCATCGTCGCGAGAAAAGCGTCACATTTTAGCGGGCATATTTAGGCATCAGAAATTGAACTACAACTACAGAAATCGATATTTGTAGCTTGAAAAGACTACAACAGAGACTACAAGCACGGAATTATAGGCAGCGGAGTTTAAAGGGGCAGCGACAACTGAAAAATCCCTTCAAATCCCCACCTTGAACATCAAACGCATGCGCAATTTCGTGACCAATGAAAAACGCAGCCCCGGCGTAGTTGGAGAACCTAAAAATTCGATTCTAGATCGCGCCCCAGCTACCGTACCCCGGTTTCGAGTGATCTGCAAAATTCCTGGTAACCAGGGCCATGGGGTAGACGACGACGTTCCGCTCGTAGTTGTGGATGGCGTTCAGGGTCAAGCTGTTGGTATTGTCCAGCCAGTGACTACGCGAGACTCCCTTCGACAGCCTGGAAATGGGGTACTGTAGGTCGGACAATTTTAAGGGGACTACCTTCCCAAATCTCGGCGGTATTTGCGAGCCGAGGCCATGACCATCGTCCAGAAGAAGTCATCTTTACGTTCCGGCTCTCCGTAGAACTGGAAAAAGCTTTCCTTGATGACTTTCCCGACTATTTAGTAGCTCTGCCGATTTCATTAATGCGTAGATATCTAGTTAATTAGTAGATACTAGGTACATTTCAGTCTCTCTCCCCCAAAACTTGTACTTTCCCCCCAGCTACCGTACCCCCGAATCTGATCTCCAATTCCGCATACGAAAATATTTACGCAATGAGCCAGCCAGCCGCACGGCTGGCCCGTTCTAATTATTTTTGCACAATTTCTCCCCCCTTAGGGGGCTGGGGCTGGGGTGTAAAGAGGAGCCGAGTGGCGCGGAGGAGGAGGAGCGGGTTTGGGTCTTGTTTCTCCCCAGGCATGCCCTCAGGCTATTTACGGGAGAAATGAGAAGCTGCTTCTCCGCGTGCGGGGGGAGGCTACGAAGCAAACATCTTCACGGCGTTTTCGGGAAAGTACGTTTTTCAGGGTTTAAAGGGGTTGTGAAGGCAATCAAAGAGGCTTAAAGGGATCGGGAAGTCAAAAATTACTTTTGAAGGGTTCGGGAAAGCAAATCTTCCGTACACCTCTAAAGGCCCCGTGAAGTTAAACCGACCTGATCTGCCTCAAAATTCAGCGCCCCAACGTCGTGGACCTGGTCCGGAAAAGCGCCGAAAAACGTGACGTTGCCCAGCTAAAAATATTGGATTAGCTACCGTAATCCGTAGTTACCGTAGTTTCCGAAAAAATTTAAATTTTACAATTTTATAATCGTCCCTTAAAGTTACTATAAAAAACACAAAGCTAAAGTTTAAAATTTAACAAAAATAACATCTGAAATGCTTTTTCAAAAAGCTTTAAGGGACTTTTCGTGCTATTTCGTGCTATCCAGCTCCTGAACCGTCACTTTTTATTTTTTAACAATTCACCCCTTTCTAAAAATATTCCAAAACGCTCCCACCAACGTGGGGGCGAGCGGGGGCGCAAAATAGGCTATTTTACGGGTGGCGTGGGCGGCCGATGGAAACAGGAAATTTGAATATTATTGGGGCAATTTAAAAAGAGCAAAATATCGAAAAACGAGCCTTTTGCAAGACGTGGCGTCGCGTGGGTGGGTCGAGGACTGCGGAATTTTGGATGATTTGGCCGTAGGAGGTTCGGACGTCTTCGAAAAGTCGGAAGAGGAGGGCTTTGTTCTAAAAAACGGGTTTTGACTGTAAAAAAACTAAATCAGCTTTTTTTAATATGTGTTATATGGTTGAAAATCAACATTCTATTTGAAAAGTCGATATTAGCTTTAAAAATTTGTAAAATCACCTTATCCGCAGCGATCGGGTCCAATTTCCGGAAGAGAGCCGCTGTCGACAACGGAAAATGGCCTGCAAAATTTTAATTGTATTTTTTGATTTTTTTTTGCTTGTATTTCCTGGCGTAATGAATACCTAAAAATTAATACGAAGTTTTTTAATCAAATGAAATCCCCTTAATTTCGATACCTGAGAGTCTGGCGATGCAGAACTCCTCCCGAAGATTGCCGGAAGGGACGTAGAGGGCTCGGACGATCTTAAAGAGATAGGGGCGGCATAAGTCAATCGATTACGCGAGGGAAGGAAAATGTCTCTGCGCCTCTCCTCTGGGAGCCCTCTCTCGCGCGAGATCGCCGCGGGACCTGTTGAACCCCCCCTCCCCAAGGGGGGGTTCAACAGATGCCGTCCTCATCTCTTTAAAGCAAAAATTCTACGACATCTCTGCAATGATCTTTGCTAGATTGCCCACTGAATTTTCCTAAAAAATCGATGCTAGCCTGCCCACAAGACCAATTTTTGAAAACAAAACTTCGCAAAAGATTCTTATTGGATAGCCAAGCCACCCGTTTCTCCAAAAATCTCTGCTAGCTCGCCAGGAAGGCAGAAAATCGATTCCTCAATAACCGCTGCTAGCCTGCCATTCAAGGCTTAAAAGAGGCTCAAATGATCCCTGCTAGACCCTGGCCCACATTTTCGAGGCTAAAATTCCCCAATAATCCCTGCTAGCTGACCTGAAATCCAAGATTTGGTGCGGGAACAGATCGTGGAATCTCTGCATACGAGAGCGTCACCGTCAATATTCTCCATTTTATGTAGTCCTCCAATGCCTTCAATCCTAAAATTTGCCCTTTATTCGCCAGGCTTACGGTATGCATACCCTCAGCAGTTTGTGTATATTGATCCAGGATTAGAGACAATTTCTCCAGCCATCTGATGCCCGCCTAAAACTCGGGTTTGTTTCTTAAGTATGGGCTTAAGTCGAGGCTCACTCTCGGGCTTGGGCTCAAGCTCAAGCTAAAACTCCAGGTAAAGCTCAACTTAAGGCAAACGCTCCAACTCAAGCTCAAGCACAAGCTAGATAAAGTGTCTTTGCATACCTTGATGGCGATAGGTTGGTCGTGCTCGACTTGATAGCCCAGTAGCTTGCTGAGGAAGTACAGCCAATCAAACTGAAAAAAGCGGGTTTCAAAGGAGCATTGAAGGTCTTGAATTTGTCATTTTTTAGTTTTCCACTCTCTCACTTTCGCTCTCTCTCCCTCTCCCTCTTGCTCTCTCACTCATCCTCTCTCGCACGCTCTCTATCTCGCTTTCTCTCGCTCTCTCTCATGCATCTCTCTTTCTGTTTCTCTCCCTAGCGCTCTCTTGCTCTATTTCTACCGCTCTCTCTCACTTTCACTCTCATTCTCCATCTCTCTCTCTCTCTCTCTCTGCTTTAGTAAGCCTTCAATTTCAAACAAACCCCTGGCACGATCCTGGCCAACTCCCGGACGGTAGACACATTATACTTCTCGTGGTCCATCCCCTTGCCCTCGTGCTAAAACGTGGACACTCTACCGTAATCCATAGCATCTGAATTACCACAGTAGATATCCGCACAAGTCGCCACTCCAATTCGATGGCTCTTGAGAAGCTGAGGCGAACTATGTCATCTTTGATATCAGCTCCCGAGTATCCGGCCATTTGCATTCCCATCTCGAAAAGGTATTGCATTTCCTAAAATTTTCGTTAAAAATTAATATAAAATGGATAAAAATCGTAACTAGAAACTTTTTTGTAGTTTTTAGTTTATCGCCTCGATCAGTTTAAAAGAGCTAGGCGCAAATAACGTTTTTTTTTCGAAGGCTACGGTACTTTTAAAGGGGCAATGACAGGCCGAGTTTGTCTTAATAATTCTGCAATTACATTTTCTAATCTTTTCTATAGTTTGTATCCCGGCCTACCGTACCGGATGTATCCGCCCAGCCAAAAAATCCTCGGCCCTCAACTCGGTCTCCTGGGTACGGTAGAGCATCGCAAATAGAAAAGTCGGAACTTGCTCTTCGATCTGGAAATGATTTGGGGTAGGGCTTAAGGTGCTTGAGCTCCAGCTTCAGCTCATCTGCTAAGCCCATGCTCAACTAGCTCATGCTCCGTTAGCTCTGCTAAGTTCATGCTCCAGGCACTGTCAAGTTTAACAAGCTCACCGTCAAAATATACTTCTTCGAGTCCCCGTAATTCACATCAACGCCCAGCCAAAATATCGGGAATGTCGCGTAACTGAAACTGACTGAATCAGCCGCTAAACCTTCGAAGTTACCTGTAAGCTTGAAGCATGAGATCTTCGAAAAAGTAGGAAGGTAATATGGGGAAGGGGAGATCACCCAATCTCCATCCGTTTATCGACTAAAAATGTATTCGAAATCCATAAAATACAAATAAAAATAGTGTATAATAAAAATACAAAAATCGCGATTATTGAATTGGTGTTAAATTTTCATTTTCATTTGCTATTTTGCATTATCGCGGGCGGAGAGTTTTTCGCAGGATCTCTCCATTATAAATAGAGGAAGCGCTTCCGACTTTTAATTTTCGTAAATGCACAAAACTTCACAATTTTTTATTAAAGGATACAAGAAAATATAGGTTTTCGATTTATCATAGGTTTTTCGACGTTTGTCACACTTTTTCCACTTGAAATATAGTTAAATTACTAAAAACTGCACTAAAATACTCACATTTACGCAACTAAGAATTTCTGGAATTCCAGGTGATAATTCCCCCCCCCCCCCCCCGATAATGAAAAGAACTTTTTAATGCTTGAATACCTGTATCAACTGTAGCCATGGTTGAAGTCCGATCTGCTCTAACCCGGCCGTATCCATACACTTTCCAAATGTGTCCACAACCGCCGTCTCCCCCTCCGACAATTCCATCGAGATGACACGGTATTTGACTGGAATTAATAGGACTTCAGGGGAGTTCTAAAGTCTCCTCAAACACCTCTGCTACCTTGCCCCGGTGTTGATGTTGTATGTGTTAATTTAATAATAATGTTTAAATGTCACTAAATTCCTCGTTTTCCGTTTCAATACTCCGTACTTTAGTCAATTTTCCACCTTGCAGTTCCCGTTAAACCTTAAAAGCAGCTGCGATTACCGTACTTTTCGTGAGAGCACTGCAGAGTTGGCTATGTGTATGCAGTCCATTTTCGGCAATACTGTGCCACTGTTGTCCGAGGGACAATCTGGACACTGTTCGGTTGATCCACCTAAAAACGTGAATGATACCGGATTGTTGGTCTCTCTCTCGCTCTCTCTCTCTCTCTATCTCTCTCTCGCTCTTGCTCGCTCTCCACCGTACCCTCCACAGGAATATCTGTAAAAATCCTGGCACGGGTCGACGTCAAGGTCCATTTTCTCCGCCATGGCCGCCGTGGCCCGCACGCAGCCAAGGGAGGTGCACGCTGCAAAGTACGCAAGATTACGGTACTGTCACTGTCATTTTTGGTCTTATGAACCAATTATATGATGTAATTCCCCGTTTACACCTTCTGGTCCCGTTAAAAGCTCATCTTCATCGCGCCTGGACCGATTACGGTATGTGATTACGTTATTTTTAGCCTTATTCGCCTCTTTAGATTGGAATTTTTAATTGACGGGACTTTTCAAGCGATTACGATATGTAAAGAGTCATTTCCAGGCACCCTAACCACCCCTTTGATTTTTCGAGCCCCTTCCCGTACCGAAATTCCGCAACATTCCCCCTGACGGCACGACCCAAATGGCCCTTCCCCCCTCCATTTTTTGGCGCTCGCCGCGCACATTTTATTGCCATTTTCGCGGGGGTCTATTTGATTTCGCATCCCACGCATGGATTTCCCCCACCCATAAACATAATGAACAGCGCAAAATAGGGGTCTCTCGACGAATTTTTATCCAAAACCCGGCTAAAAAGTTTTGAAAAAATCAAAAATTGCCCGTAGCCGCTCGGCTGAAATTTTGAGGGTTGAATGGCGCATAAATTGGTGGTTTATGGGCTGTAATTTGGCGCGGTCTGTACTTTACGTTTTTCCCCTGAGCTTGGGCCGCAAAAAAGGTTATTATTGTTCTGGGAAAAATGAACTCTTTATGTGTTATAGAACCTTGAATTGCCGCAACCCGCTCGGTAAAACCCAAATTTTCTCAAAGAAATCCTGCTAGCTTGCCTACATTTGCCTCATTGGGAAAACCTTGGATTACGGCAGAAAACCACATTTTTAAACCGACTTTTTGTGATGAAAAATGCGTAGCTGATGAAGGCGATGATGGCTGTGGTGGCGAGGAGGAATAAGGGGCACAATATAGCAAACAACAATCGATCGCGTCGGCCGGTTGCCTGAAAAATCTGTCGCTCTCTCTCTCTCTCTCTCTCTCTCTCTCTCTCTCTCTCTCTGTTTCTCTCACTCACACACTCTCTCTCTCGCTCACTCCCTCTCCCTCTCAAACTCACTCTGCCTCTCGGTTTCTCTCTTTCTCTCTCTCTCTCTCTCTCTCTCTCTCTCTCTCTCTCTCTCTCTCTCTTTTCTCCATACCCTATTAGCCGCCTTTCCGATGAGACATCCATTTCCGGCAACTGTCGACTCGTCTCCATTATCGTTCTAAGACGCTCCATATTCTACCGTATCCCCTTGAAATACCTTATTGGGACCCCTGTTGGGACACATAAGCAGCGTATAGGCCCTGATTGCCTCGTTGTTCTTCTCCTCACATTGGGGCCCTCGACGGCCAGGGGGGAGCAGCGGATCGGCCGACGAACACGCCGACCACCCTTGCCACGATGCCCTGGAAAATCGGATTTAAAGGGGCCGGCAAGGCACAAATGTGGGCGCTTTGCATTTTCCCAGCGTGGAGCCCATAAACGTGACTTTCCGGTCTCTTTAAAGCCATTGCAGGCCAGCTAGCAGATACGGGTGTGGAACTCCTTTAAAGGCACCAGGAAGAAATACCAAGAGTCCTTGTTTCCTATGGATTTCCGCTGAATACATTACGCAAGGCAATTCCGCGCTCACGCCTTGCAAATCCATAGCTTTCTCACACCACGCCTTTAAAATCCTTATCCCAAGCAAGCGCGCAAAAACCCTTTAGGAAACCCCTCGAAAAAGCACCTCTCCCCGCTGGGGGTCCTGGAGGGCGAGTTGTGATGAAGCGAAGGGGTCGTCTTGGCACGTGTCCAAGAATATACACAAATGGAATATCGGAACCCTGGGGGGTACTGTAGCCGAGTGGGTCCCACCGCGAAGGGAGATAGAAAGGGTCGGCGGGGGATCGAGGCCCTGCTGGGGCCCCACCCCTTCCACTTTCCCCGCTTTCTCCCTCTTCTTATTTGGCCCATCGGAAGGTGCGAATTCGCAACTCCTTTCATCCGCCAATTCATAATTGAGACCTCGCGGATAGGGATGGGGGATAGAAATTATTTCTGCCTTGCCCCATGTCGTCGGGTGATGTCGACGAAAATAGGGGGAATGAGAGGATTCTGAATGGGGCTTCAGGATACCTTTAGGAATATTAACAGTCGTATGACCAACGAGACGGTTGCAGAGACTTTTAAAAAGGTTCCGCAAAAAGCTACGGTGGGCTACGCAGAATTGCAAAAAGCCTACGACACTCGACACGCCGCACTCTCTTATCCCCTTTTTCTTTCACTACCCCCGCCTACGACCATACCACGTTGAAAGCACGGCATCCCGTCCGATCTGCCAAGTTAAGCAACGTTGGGCTCGGTTAGTACTTGGATCGGAGACGGCTTGGGAATACCGAGTGTCGTAGGCTTTTTGCAGTATTTTTTCTCATGGCAACTCGGTTTTGGGTTTTAAAATGTTGCAAGGCTATTTTAAAACGAGCTTTCAGGCGTTTTTTTACAGAAATTAGAGCATTTTACCGGATTTTGCAGATGCCTTCACAGCAAATTTCCCCCCATTCCAACTTACCATTTACCGGATCCCGGCCGAGCACCTGAATCCCATGTGTGTGTCTCTGCCCTCGGCCCGGCTCGTGGATCGCTAAATATATTATTAATCCATCCCATAAAAGGCGTGTATAAAAAGAAAATGGGGGCAAAAGATAGAGGTTCCAGGATATCTGCAAATCCCCCAAGCAAGGCCAATTTGTGGGATTTGTATAGTAAAGTAATGGGCTAAAAATGAGCCTTTTTTGACTATGGGATTAGTGATCCCGGGAGGGTGGGGGTTTGTTAAAATTGGGAGGAACGGTGGGGCAACGTGGGGATTAATCTGACGATTAGGGGGTCGTTTAATGAAAAAGATGATGGCACGTTTCACTTAAAGTGACGAAAATATATAAGAAATTACGTTTAAAGGAGCTGAGAAGTACCCTTGATTTTTGTGGAAAGTAGTTTGGAAAGAAACCACGACGCAGCCGCGCGCCAAGCTCCCTTAATCTGCGAATTCCGGCGTTATTTCTGGAATCTCAACGAAAGGTTCTTTTCCATTATCGGCGGAGGGGTAAAAATCTATAAAAGAGTAGGTTTTTCGGAAAACTAGTCTTTTCAGACGATTTTTAGATTTTTAGAGGTGTTGCTACTTTCTAGAAGCTTCGAAACACAGTTTAATTTTACCAAAAACATGATTAGAATTTTCGCTATCACATTCCTAAAAATGAGAACGACCTAATCTTTTTTGGGAGCCCATTTGCAACGTGTTAGACTAGAGCAAGCATGCGCAATTCACGCAATTCCGTTCGGCAACAAGTGACGTGATGCGGCCGCCAGAAAGGTGTCTGCAGTGGACGCGAATTGGATAAACTTTGACTCTCCATCCTCCCCACCCTCGCTCGCACACGTCTTCAAGACGTCAGAAGAGAGTAACATGGACAAATTGAAGTAAATGAAAGCGAGCGGCAAGCTGCAGAAAGTGGGCTGAGGTACGGTAAGAGTACGTCAACTTTGGTCATTAGATTTCGCACGAAAAAATTTCTGCAAAGTCTCAGGGTCCAGGGGAATTTGCAGGTTTCAAAGTTGTTGCTTTTGGGGGGGGAGGGGGGGTTTTCCCCCCACAAAACTGCCACAGGGGGGGCAGGGAAATTTTCCGCAGGTAAGGGCCTTCCCCCTGGCCGGGGAAAGAGTTGAGGGAAGGTTGAATCTGACCCTTCCTAGCCCCTTTAGCGTAAAAAAATAGATTTCCAGACAATTGCAAAACACGCCGCGACAAAACCTGAGTGTTCACGCTCTCCCTTTGAGCTTCCCATCCAATTTCCGGGCCCTAACCAACAAACCCTTTCTTAGAAATATTTACGCGCTCTAGAACGTAAAACGATCAACTCCACGCTTCCACGACCCAAAATCGGCCCGGGAAAGTTCTCGCGAAATCAGCGCGGGTGGCCGCTGCAGACAGTTCACGAAATGTTCTTCGATTTTCAGGAGACGAAATCTACACCTTGATCTTCTCTAAAAAGCTGGCCCAGAAAATAGCCAAAAAATCTCAAGCGGAAGTGGTGTCGGCGGGTCAAAAGACCCGTGATGACATGGCGATCAGTCAGGAAACTCTGCTAGTCAGCCCCCACTGGGCCATAGTGATTTAGGAGGGGCCATTAGATGGGTAACAGGAGGCCAGTCCGCCCTAAGAAGTGACCCAGTGACGTCTCTTGACCTTTTAACGACACATCCCGCCCGGAGTTGCCAACCGCTCCGCAAAGTTTGACAAAATGGGCATGATTTTACCTTCCAAAAGCATAGCGACCCGTAGATCTGCTTGTAGCAAAAAGCTAGCCTGGTCACCAAAAGTGCAAGAAGCCTACGACACTCGGGATTCCCAAGCCGTCTCCGATCCAAGTACTAACCGAGCCCAACGTTGCTTAACTTGGCAGATCGGACGGGATGCCGTGCTTTCAACGTGGTATGGTCGTAGGCGAAAGGGGAAAGGGTAGTCGGGTTGAAGACA